ACCACTGTGAAGTGACTCAGACGACGAAGTCTATCTAGAATTTATTATCGTTGTTGGTTGAAGTGTAGCACTAGCGTTTGGCCAAATGCGCGGTGTAATCTGGTTGCAATTGCGTCTGTGATACGCGAAATGGAGATAGGCCGTACAATAACTGCTTTTGAACTGTTCAAACGAATATCGCAAGAGACGGTTTCTGTCCGATATTGTCGTTGTTTGCGACGGCAGGGGATTTCCAGCACACAGTATTATAATGGCAGCATGCTCTGTGTATTTTCGAGACTTGTTTTAGAACAGAACCAAGATGCCGGTAGGATAACCTTAACCGGTCTAAACCCAGTAGCTGTAAATTGCTGTATGAAATATATTTACACAGGAGAAGTGCACGTTACTATCGGAGTCTGCATGGTTTTGTCTGGAAGCGGCTGCTTATTTAGGAATCAGCGGCATGTCAGACAAGATATGTAAGTCTCTGATCGAAAACATAAGTCCGAAAAATTGTTTGGTTATAAAAGATATGGCCGAGAAATATGACAGTGTTTTGGCCTCAGAAGCTGCGGAACGGTATATTTTACAAAACTTTGAGTCAATATTAGATTGTAAGAACTTTGGTTCATTGCTAAAACTCCGCGATGTTATAAAATATCTGAAATCTGATGAAATCGTAATATCCAGCAAAGATGTGCTATGGAAAGCCGTTCTGACATGGGTTAATTGGATATAAAAACAAGAAGGACTTTTTCTTCGAGCTTTTAAATACAATACACATAGAACATTTCCCTGTTGAATATTTACACAATACCGTTTGGCAGGAGCCCTTGCCAAAGAGTCAGCTGCTTGCGTGAACTTATTGCTTCAAGCTATGATGGGGAAAAAGCTATCTTAATGGAGACGCCAGGCTAGCAATAATCAATAAGACTGACAACTGTATATCCGCCTATGACGCATTTAGTCGCATATGGGAGGAGGTTGTTCAACTACCAACACATTGCTACGAAAAAAAAACTTCATCAAATTACATATACGGATAATTGTATTTATTTACTTTCTGAAAGATCATTGTATCGATACGACGTTAGAAAATCTTCACACTCTTGGACGGTACCTAAATGACATGATAATAGACCAAAGAACCATTTCGAAATTTTTTAGCTTGTGGTGGATATCTAGTTGTTATCGGCCAGCGTAATTCCTTTCATCCAGTAGCAAGTGTTATAAATCCTTGTGGAGGAAAACGCAATAATGAAGTTGAACCATTACTATCAAAAACAATCGTAAGTGTCGGCGAAGTTTTTGATATAGAAACAGGCAAATGGAGTATCCTGGGTCCAAATGAAAGTTGGGGGAAGCAGCAAGCAGTCACTGCTGATGGTCACAATCTTTTTTTCATGGGTGGATTACATATTCTAGATGACTCAACAGAGCACAGAAGATCTCGAAAATTAGTACCTAGTACCTCTAATTTGGTGCAAAAGTTGAACTTGGCAACAAATACATTGAGCCGCCTAAGGCCCTTGAAAATTCGAAGATTCCAGGCATCGGCGGTATATTACCAAGGTACAATATACGTAGCCGGTGGCACAGGCGAAAACGGAGTATCATTAAATAGCGTTGAAATGTGCAATGAATTTGTAAATGGCTGGACCTTGCTTCCTAACATGTCATATGCTAGACCACATTGCAGTCTCACCGTTGTTGATGGCACCTTATATGTCGTTGGTTGCAGTCAGCAAACGGAACTCATTGAAAAATTAGACCATAATGATTCCTCGTGGTCGAGCTTACCAGTTCCCTTTGAGCATATTGATAACGTGAGTTTTTCTGTTGTCAAAAAATGGAAAACATGTTTCAGTGGAACAGGTTGTTCCCAATCACAGGCGACGAAACTAAAACAAGAGAACAATGGTAAAATATATGGTCGCAAGGATGCAATTACTAACAGCAGTAGTTTATGCGAATCACAAGGAAATTTGGAAGAGCACCGAATCCAAAAATTAAAACGGAGGGTAGTCGTAACGGACACACTTGACGATTTAAAAACAATGTTCCCACGAATTACAAGACAGCAAAATTTGAGACCCGATGGGAACTTGGAATAAATTAAAAAAATAGCCATCTGGCGACTACTTTTATCTTCATGTACTGAACAAGAAAAACACCAAGCAAAAAGACTAACAACAACAAGGCCTAGCACAACCATGCTTATAGCCAGAATTTAGTAATATTAGCATGCTGTTTCAATATTATGTAGCTGTCAGCGATGACTGAACTGAGTGATCACATGTTTACGAGAAAAACATTATCGAAAATTGTACTTAAATTATCATCATGTCATATTTATTATTATGAGTCTCGTGTAATTTAGATATTTTTTATACCGTTAACTGACATGTTCGCAACAAAATTAGAATCTTATAATTTAGAAATTCAGAATTTTACACTTTTCTTTTATACTACTAGTATCCAATATTCGATCTATGTATCCAATATTAAATCTATATTCTTTCTATTACTGAGTGTCACTTCATAACCGATGGATTCACCACTTAGGTTGAGTATGCGAGATAAAATTCGCTAATGAAATAAGAAAAATAATTTTTTTTGTGATGCTTCGTATTTTTATCGAATACATGAGGTCTTGTCGATTTGTCGTTTTTTTTTTTCTTAAATTCTAATTAAAAATAATTAGATCTTACTTATGACTATTGATGATTTTTTTGTAAAGTTAATTTGTATCTTTGCACGCGAGAAATAAGCTAGACCAGGGTGGTGCAAGGTGGGGCCGCAAAATTTTTTGAGGACGTCTCGCGGGCCGCAGTCGGAAAAAATCCAAAATTGATCAACATATCGCGAGTTTGCTTACTTCAAATACATTAGAGAATGAGATTTTACGGTTCTAGTAGGCATATTGTTGTGTTACATGAATGGCGTTTTTTTATTATAAATATATATAAAGACTTCAGTTATCTTAAAATTGCTTCCCAAGAAGGGCCGTGGTATTTTCCCCATCTTTACTCGTGTTTGGTTTTGTAATGTCGCAGCAAATCATATTCTTTCGTGGCAGTTATTAACTTACACTGTGTGTGCCAGTGCCAGAGTTTGGACTTTGGACCACTCTGAGCTAGACCATTGCGCTCTTTTGTTCAACATTTGCGTCTTTTTCATCTTTTAATAAATGTTACAAGTAGGAATTATGTTTGGCATTTGATCTAAGTTTTATGAAGCCTAAACGGGAAACTATAACTTTCATTGTGCATTGAGTTATTGTCAAAGTAAAATTATAAGAACATTCGATGGGAAACATTTTATTTGCTATGTATCCTATATATACGCGGCTAACAATCGACTTCAGTTATTCTATACGGGCGACAAAACTAATAACGACTTTTTTCTATGACAGTCAGTAACAATTACTGACAGTATTTCGTTAGGTTTCTGTCCTTCTCTGCACAACGTACTAGTTTTGGTAAAAATATATCACAGGGATCATTCAAATGTCGTCCAGTGCATCTAGTAATCATATTGAATATCAGAAAATAGTTTATCCTAATGATTGGCTTGAATACAAAACTTTTCCACATAATTGTATATGACAGAAAGTACACTTGTACTTCAATAAACACGTTAGTTAACCAAATTGTACTTTTATGAAATTGTTTGAGATTATGAAATTATAAAATTCAATCTTCAATTTCTATGAAGCAGTGCTGAGTAGTTGAATATTTAAATATATCTAAAATGTCCATACCTAAACTTGCTAAAATATCTAAACTGTTGCTGATTTTTTTTTTTTCAGAATATGGAGCCTTGTGCAGCTATTAGTGGAAAACCAATAACTCAGGAGATAAGATGCAATATGCCCAACCACCGCTGCGCAGGATAGAATTCTTTGAGTTTTATCCTACATGCTTGGTCAGATAAAATATCTATTTATGTTTATATCCTGGTATATATTACAAAAAAGTTACCATTTGTCCGATTTGAATATAAACTGTTCTAGTAAACCACACACAATACCTATAACAAAAATGGTTCATTTCCGCTATTTTTGAAGCTAATCGAATAAAATTTGGATCGAGAAAATGCGAAAGCAAGAATCTAATGGAATAAAATTTACAAATTGTCTCTTCGGAAATAGTTGAATATTTAAATGTTTACATAGTTTACCAGAAAATTCCTGAATATAGTCTACATACCGCTGCTACGCCCTTCTCCAATATACTACTATATAAATTGGTTAAAATGTTTGGACAGAAACATGCATGATAGACTAAGTTGAGACTAATCTTCAAAAGAGTCACAAGTTGAGAAATACCAGTGCTAGAGGAATACAGAAATACGAATGTATTTCGCTGAAGTTATATCAAGTTGAATGAAAAGACATTCTACGGTAAGCAACCAGCATTCGTTTTGTAAACGCGAAAAAGTGCTGTTTGTAACAGTCCAACCTATATATAATTTATGGGAAATTCTATCGACATTTGTCTATGCCCGTCGTGATTTTTAAGCTGCTCCGGTAACCTGGAAGGCTGTCCTCAACTTGATACTCACTGCTCTAGCATAACGGCAAGGCATGTACGAAATAACTTTAACATTATGTTAGCTAATATATATATATATTTAGAAAGCTTTACCCGTCGTTATAATTCAAATTTAAATCTTGATTATACCTGTATGGAACAACCGTCGCAATTTTACGTGCTTTTACCTTCACCATATAAAATTGTAGTACTAACGCCCAAAACATCTAGCACTGCAAAACATGAAGGGGTTCAATGTAGTTCAATTTTTTGTGGATGTCAATTTTAATCAGTAAGCATGAGAGTACCGAATATTAAATTAATATTGAATTACATGGATATAGTTATGAACGGTACTGCAAGATCATATAATAATATATATATATTGATTTATATCGAGCTTCGTAGCAAATATACAATAATGGTTTCTGTCATATACTGAAATTTCATTCATTGTGATTGAAGATGAATTTTTAAATTATAGATTAAAACAACAAATAATCGGTTTTTACACAATCAATTCTTTAAAAAAGTTACACGCAAGAGGCGTGTCTCAAACATTTTTTTCACGAAACATTAATATTTTCAGGTAGGCCTACAGTTCAGGTATATGTACTACCCCTGCAGAAAAAATATATACAATAATCACTGCGATATACTAAATCTACATTGACAATGCAGGACATAAGCGTTCCAAATTCCAACTAACTAAAACTAATAAATGTTCATTAATGATGAGAGCTTATTGCAATACGTCCTTCATTGTATTCCATCTATTGATGACTGCTTTGAACGTTCTCTAAATTTTTCTTGAGGTCGTGACATTCCTCGGCGAAAAAGCTTTTGTCTTTATTTTCCAAATATTTTTTACCGACCAAAAATGCAATACCGGCGACAGATACTCCGGCCAGAATTCCCAGACCTATCCCAACTGATGACGCTAGTGCCGCAGTAGCAGTGATACTTGTCACTTCTTCTGCCAAAACCGTTCCAGCAACAGCTCCGCCTCCTACTCCAGCTGCACCCACAACTCCGGAAATACCACCCACTACTCTTCTGAGTAAAGATTTATTCGCTTCATTCCAATTCTTGAATTTTCTGTACAACCCGTCTAGGTTGAATTTCATCCGTTCAATTTGTTTCTCCAATCTCAATCGAGTTTCGACATCTGTTTTTTTGGCCTCTTCTTCCCATTTTTTGCATGCTTCAGACACAAGTTCATTGTGGTATTCTTCCAAAACATCTGGTTTGATATAGGCACCAGTCATTTTCTATAATAATGTAATAAACTATAATGAATAAGCAAATAGGTTACTCCTATACAAAACAAAATAGCTTGAAATGAACCTCTTCCATTGCTCTGCAGTAAGCTAATTGTGCCCGAATAGCATCTTCTTCAAAATACAACTCAACTAGTCCCTAGAAAATAACTTGGATTAATTGTTGTAAATTACTAATATTTGTAATATATTTATAAACTAAAGCATTTTCCAACAGCAGATAATGTATAGCCGCCATAAAAACATAAAAAAAATAACAGCATACTTCTAGATATTAATACTCTTATAGGTTTATATAAAATTTCATCTGACCTGATTTTTATTGTTGATTTTGCGAGCAAAATCTATTTCTATTTCAATTTTACTAAAGTATTCATTGCGTGGCCCTTTATTCCAACCGTCCAAAAAAAGTTCGTTCAGTTTTTCGTCATATTGTCTTTGAATGAAAAACTTCTCTTCAAGCAGAATTTCTCCCAGATTGTAAAAATAGGTTCCTTCATACTCCTGAAATGGTTAGGATTCAAAAATTCTCATATCTGCGGATGGATTACTTTGGTCATCCCATTTTCATTTTATGTTACGTCATTATAGACGTCTCGCGGTTAAGTAAAATGTATGATGCGGTCATATATGAATGTTAAATTGCGAAATTTTAGTTTCATATTAATTGGAATTTAAAAACCCTTCGAGAAACTCAAGTCTGTATTACAAATGCAACATGATGGCACCAGAAAACTGCACGTCACAAGTCACAACACCCAGTTGGCGCAATAAGTGCAAAATTTGAAAAAAATATATATAAGTAATAAGTCTCTAGCGCAGGGTGGTCCAAGGTTGTGGGCTCCGCGGGCCACAAATTTGTTTTTGCATTGTTCGCGGGCCACAATAGTGCCAAGAATAGATAAACAGTGCAACACAAAACAAACACTTTTATTGTGCAAACACATAGTTATCAGACATAGCCATCCAAGGCTAATAAAATCCATATTCGATTTTTAGTTTTCTACGATGCCTATATTCCCGACCAAAAAGATAGAAAGCCAGATAATAATTTAGACTGCCAAGCACATCATTTAAGCTTCGCTAGTTGCCTCAGCTAGCTATGGCACTAGTCAATTCAGTGACATTAGTGATGTAACAATATGTCAAAAGATTTTTCTGAATAATTTTATCACGAAACAACACGAAATGGGATTTTTTGATTACTCTCCGAATGTGACGCGGGCCACAGATAATGAAGCGGCGGGCCTGGGTTTGGACCACCCTGTTCTAGCGTCCCCTTGCTTTGACGGCATTTTCGAATTGAATTTGCTAGACTTTCTTAAAAACAACAACACTAATATTGCAAAGCGACCAATGAATACATTTTGTGCCCAATAATCTGATAAAAAAGTAGGAAGATATCATAGATAAACAAAATATATTACACACCTGCAATTCAGCATGCAATGTTTCTAGAAGTGTATGTCCATAAGTTGATAGTTCAGCTTCGGCTACTTCCTTCGAAAATATGGACAATTATTTGGTTAGCTATAGTATTGGGCATATTTAAAAATATTCTACGTTAAGAATTTCATAAATATTTGCTACGATGTTTCGAAAACCCTTACTCCCTTTTTCGAATCTCAATGAGTAAGAAATCAGCTAATAATTTTTTTTTAAAGATTCCGGGATAAAATTAGCTGCAAAGACTAAGTTTGGTCACTTTTTCAAGATATGTTAAAAAATTGAAATGCCGGCGCAGTCTGTTCCTGTACAATGACATCTATAGCCCCAAGCATTTAGCTCAGCGGAGCTTACTGTTTTCAAACTGCAATCGAGACTTACAGGAAGGCATGTGAACGAATTGAACTTTAGATTACAATAGCTTTTTTTTTCTATTTAATACGACAGTTAATACGACAGTGATTTTTTTGGACTTAAAGTGGATATACAGATCGTTTTGTTATTTTGTTGTTGTGGTTAGAATTCATTTTCTTGTTATTGTTATGAAAAAATAACTGCTCACCTACTGGAACTATCGCTTTGAAATTTTCAGTGGTTAGAAAACTTTTTCTAGAAGGCTATTACGTTTATTTTATGTTTTTTTAAATTTTCTGTGGGCTCTAAACTAAAGGATACTTTTTATGTGTGCGATTTTAGTTTTGGTCTTAATGTCCATACATTTGAACATCGCTCTCTTGTTCGATTTCATATGGTATTGTTTAAGTGGGTATGTTTTTTCGGTAAGCTATGTCGAGGAATCGAGATTCGAAATCGAGAATCGGAATCGAAAATTTTGGAATCGGATAAGAATCGAATACTTGTAAGTAGTCATACTTAGCATCCTTAATTGCAACTGCAGCCATATGGCTGCAAACTCAATTTCTTCGTGGGCATTCGCAGTTTGCACTTTCAATCCCTCCGGCACCATCTCCTTACATAGTGTCTCAAAATGTTTTATCTTTCATGGAAGCTCTTACTTTAGCAGTTATACCAAAATCGTTTATCCTAATGTCCAAAACGAAATTAGACTTAAATTTGAGTTCTTCTTTTTTAATAGAATTTAAATCTTCGCTGAAAAATGTGATAGTCCCCGCTAGTGTAATAATTTCCGATTCCATATTAAATGTTAGCTTTAGAACAATGTAATAGCTTTCTATAAATATAATAAACATATAGCCTAGGTTAGAAGATATTTCAAACTTCATAGTGCAGTAGTTGAGCCGTCTCTGTAAGTGGCACGGTCCTAAAGTCTTATGCCCTTTTTCAACATAATCATCAATTTGTCAATACTAAATTGATAAGAGCAATGACAATAGCATACATTTTCTGCACTGACACAATTCATCCAAGCCTTTCAAACGCAGAAACATCTCGTAGGACCCTTCAGAGCAGCAAAAAACCATTGTCTTTATCTAATCCTATTTTCGACTGCTGCTGGGGCGGGGGCCTGATTGCTTTGCTTGCTGCCCCAAACTCGCTGGTTTCCATTTTTTTCTTTTCGCTATTTCTCTTCACTCCATTTTCATGTTGCCGGCTTAACTTTGTTTGACTGCTTCCTGGTACTACTAATATTTTGCTTGACTAGGGCTTGGTTTACCTACACTTATGCTTATGGACTTCTTTTAACCTTCCTTGGACTTTTTTTCACACTTTTATTTTCTTGAGTGCTTCGGCCTTGCTTGCTGCTTCGCTGATTTCAACATAAACTTTGTCTTGAGAGCCCTGGTAAAACATGCTACCGGCATAAAGATGAAACGTAAATTGCGCGTGTGATGTAATTTTCTATTCGTTTCTGAAACTACGACGAGGCGACACGACATCTTTCTCCGTATTCTAATGAAATATCTAATAAGCTAATCAATGTAAATTCTAAAATATGGTCAACCAGTTTTGCATGTAGACTGAATGAATACCATTCATTCGCTGGTCCCACACAACCTTTCGTTATGAGTGGTGAACATCAAACGTCAGATACACATGAATGAATGTTTGTACTGGTATTTTTACTTTTCATAAATCATGGAATTAGTTTTTGAAATTATAAATAGAATAGAATATAGAATATCAACGCAAAATATCTCACCTTTAAATACATATTTCTCTATCATTGTTATATTGCGTATCTTCGTCACATTGCAATTCCATTTTTTTGTCATGATCTCGCCATATCGTGAAAATTCAGAAAGGCCTCACTCAAGTTTTTACTGATTCGTTGAATTCGTGAGTTTTTTCTATTATGTAAGAATCTTCAACCACCTTTTCGCGGGTAGCCTGTAACAATATATCAGTTGAATACTGTACAATGTTATGTATTCTTCAAAATCATGTTTCTAAAACATTACCATTTTCATGAATTGGTTGAATGACTGCCATATCTTGTACAATTCCGTGTCATCTGTTTTCTAATAAAACGAAACAGTCAATGTAGTAATTTTGTAGTCAAATAATTGTAAACAAACCTCCACTTAAACTATCCATTTTCTGGATTTTCAGGAATACCTAATCACTGCTTTTCAGATCACAAAAAAGAAAATAACCCAAATACAGAAGCAATTCATTTATTAAGGTAAATCTGAAAACGTCTTCTCATTAGATAACTTTGCATTCTAAGCAGCTGTAAATGTCGACAAAAGCATTCATAGCTCAAGCGTATGAAATTATTAACAGCGCAACATGTAGACCTACTGATAACTGAATTTTATCACGAGTTGGTCATTTTTCATGGCGTCGACTTACTTTTTGATTCATAGTATTGTAGTAAATGATATATGTTTTTATCATTTGTATGAGTTTGTCCCGTTGTCTTTGTGATTGATCAATAGTTGCTTCTGGCAGTTCTGCGTACAATACTTTATCAGATTCTTCGATTGACTGGTCATGGAAAATTTTCAATTCGTTTTCGTTGTGATAGCGCCTACTTTCTGCGTATATCAATGAAGTAGTGATTAGTGATTCAAAGCAGATATGCATTCGCTATAGAACTCTATAGAATATAGATATGCATTCGCTATAGAAATATAAATAAATCATGAATACCTCCTTAAATATTCTTCATAATGCTTTGCGGCCTTTATTACTGCATTATTCACTTCAATAGTATGTTGAAGCTGCAACGTTTAGATAGTTTAGCAAGTTCAGATATCGGCATTTTAGATATAGACTTCATTTTTTGAATCTAGTACAACCACGCAATAAAGAAACATATGGATTTGGTAAAGAGATCCGCTGGAAGTGATGAGTATCTTCGCGTTCGTAAAAGCTCAAAATGCAACGCTGCGCTTGGTCAAGTATTTTAATATACCGTTAGACCACTGTAAACGATGTTCGCAGACAAATATTTTATCCCATCCGCCGGCTACTCAAGAAAATTGTATATACATATGTTGGTAACTACATCATATTGGAATATTGGTGATATCAACAATTTCAAATATCGCAATTGGTATATCTGTAATTAGTAGAATTTTGAAAGGTTTTATATGCACAAGCAACTTCAAATTATTGAAGGCAATTACACATAATTAGAGCTTTCTATTTTCATATTACTATACTTACATTTTATAATTTCAAGCAAACTCATGAGTACACAAAGTTAAAGTACAATTTGGTTAACTATCGCGGTAATTGAAGCCACCTGTTTAAAGGAACAATCATAGTCCATTCGTTTGAAAAGAAAGTCCAAATCGGCCTTGATTGACTTAAAATCTTCGTTGTCAGGGGTTGGCAAAAAATTTTCTTCCATTTCTTTTTTAACGTCGTGATGCGCAGATCCATCGTCCCGTCCGAGGAGTGCTTTTTGCTTTGGAGAAAAATAAAATAAATTTTTATTATTTACGGGTGGTTCTAATAACAAAACCAATAAATTTCTTGGTTACCCACGTGGAAATGGAGTAAATTGTTTGATTTTACACATCTAAGTTTCGTGAATCTAGGACGTTTTGCACAAAAGTTATGTTCTCCCTAGAATATGATCCAATTGTCCCCTTATCAACATAAACAGACTTGTAACCGTTGGGCAAATTTGTCAATCACCCACTCAGGTTTCTGATGAATCACACTTTCTGTTGTATATGGGCATGACAATAGTGAAAATATATTCACCTGCTGGGTACAACACCTCCAAAAAAGGTTTTACAGAGACTGCTATACCCGATGAATTGCACAGCATGGGTAACCATTGCATAACTGGTCCGTGTTTTTTCAAAAACGAAAATCACGCGGTGAATATGGAACATTATGTGACGGTGCAGAGAAAGCGTTGGACATCATTCGGACGACGTAGGGAAATTCATCGAGTTGATTAGTAGCGGTTCCAAAAGATGGGGCGACGCCCCACGTAACACCTCACGTCCTAGGTTGACTGATAGAGAGCGATTTCAAAAAAGATGATTAACCTGGTTGAGTATTCGACGGACAATGTGTATCATAACATTCCTCAGACCACCGGTGAACTTAAAACTGCAATTGCAGCAGCAAAAATTTCGCATAGAGGAGTACGCGATCGTGTATTGATTTTACGCAACGGATAACTTTTGTGCAAAGCGTTCTAGATTTCCTTAACTTACAAGTAAAGTCCGGCACAAACGAAAGTTGAAACCAAAACAATGTTTAATGAATTTTCTTTATTTTTGTAGATGTTATTAAAAAATTAATTGGTTAAATTTTTTGTGCTCACTCTGTACTATCAGTTCATAGTCTCAATATTTATACTGGTAGCTGATAATGGTATATATAGGAAATTGGTTCAAATAAGCTTGAACAACTAATAGACGAGTACAGAAACGTCTCTTATTAAAATTGTTTTGTATTGTGAAATAAATATAAAAAAAAAATAATTCCGATGAAGACCAACAACACTTGGCCTATTTTAAATTACAATTGGTCGGAATACTGTTGATGTCGTGGGGAGAGTATTAATAACAAGGCCATCGGGGTTACCAACAAATTCCACTGCGTACACATTTACCTAAGCTTTATAGAACATCCAACTTGTATATGAACTATTAGAGACAAATATCTTGAATTTACGCTTGTTAGTAATCTAATATTTACGTTTTCCATTCTGAATAAATATTCTTCCTTGATATTCTGAAATGTTGACTGCGTTTTCTTCTTCTTGTCAAGCTACAATGATATAAAACATTTTTAAAACATTGTCATTTTCAGTTTCCAGAAAAGTGTGACGCTCCACATACTTCTATAAGTTCTTTTTGAAGCAGGTATTGTGTCCTCGCGCCTTTGAGTTGTTCATGAAGAATGTTCTTTGCCTTATTAACTATGTTCTTGTTGCTGCAATCTGCACAGTTTTTTTCGAATTGAAGTAAAGCCCGGTTTCTTGCTTTTGACAATTGCTTTTCTGTCGTTTTCGCATTTACAGATTTGTCACCCTGTTGCAGTTTTATATATCACATATTTCACCACTCAACAAACTAAAGGTGTGTTGATCACTGATTTCCTATATCAGTTGATTATTTCGAGTAATCAGAGTTGTTAATGATGAGGATTGTTTGAAAGTATAATTTTCTATATATTTAATTATAGAAATTTTTTTTCGAGAGTCAAACATGTCCCACAACTCAAATATTAGATATTTGAATATGTCTTAATTTCTGAAAAAAGTCTACTATCAAATAATTGTTTCAAATAAGCACGTTCAATATTTTGTCATCCCTTTCAATTCTCGATTTGAACAATTACTGTGAAGCAACAACGTTAGAAGTTTCCGTTTCAGACACTGGCCTCTGATCAATAACTGCTAAATTCTTTTGTTTACAATGTATGGACCTTCTATATATATATATATCGTCACGCTAATAACCGAATTGCGTAAGTCATTTTTAGCAGTTTTGAAAAAAACGTAAAAAACTTCCTAATGATATTGTTATGCCATTGAGAGTCAATAATTTGCCATGGTTCAATTTTTTGATTGTAGCCGGATTTAAGTTAATTTGTATGACGCAGTTAAGTGACGTCATAATGGCGCACTGTGACATAGGCAAAAATGTGTCTATGACTTGGGGACATACCCAATTTTGCAACTTTACTATATGCACCAGTCCTGAAAACTAAACATTCCAAAAACGAATGTAATTCTCAGTATCTACAATGTCCAATCCCCAAAATAGCTAATCAGTTTCAATTACATTATTATTTATGTTCAAAAATATATATTTCATTAATATAACACGTTCTGCACACCCACCGAAATGAGATTAAGATTAAATAAAAAGAATAAAAAAGCAATGCATCCAATATAAAAGCCAACCAAGGTGAATTGGACTCGGACAGTGAATATCACAAGTGCGCGCCTTCCTATACTGTAGTATAAATTCAAATTAATACGCGCTAAGCTAGAATCCGAGATGCAAAACTCGAAAATGCATCGCCGAGGTTATTTTATCATTGTGACGTCACAATAGTCCAGCGCTAACAATGATAATTCATTATGACGAAACAATTGCACAGATGTGCATTAAATCTTCATTTTTATGGGTTTTGGAATTCCTAAAATAAAATCTGAGTTAACAGACAGGTGCGCAGCATTACAAAAATACCTATTTTTAAAAAAAAACTCAAAATCGCAAAAATGACTTACGCAATTCGGTTATTAGCATGACGATATATAAATCCAACATTATACTATATTCATATGATTATCCAACATAAATCTAATAAACGGGACGAACAAATATTTAAAGCATCTTGAACTCGTAGTGACTTATACTCATAAATTACATTACTTACTGGAAAAATAAAACAGAATGACGATTTTTGGATATCCCCGAATTAGTCTGGCACCATTAAAATGATAGCACAACTAGGTGAGTATTTAACCCGTGACAATACAATTGTTATTATTCACAACAAAAACTTCATCACAATATTTTATTTACCAAAATTTTTGCTTCGTCTTGTTGGTATGACTTCATAGTTTTGAAAATTTCCTCCAAGCAATGATGATCCTGGTATAACTATTGGACATAAATGCGTAAATTGATATCAATGTATTATATATTCTTATCTATAAGTGAAAAATGCAATAATAATACGACTACAAATATATTAAATTATTTACTGACCAAATTGGGGTTAATAAGTAAGTAAATAAAATCTAAAAGCCATTGATGAATACCAAAAACAATGTAGGTTCAATAACTGAACCTCACAGAAAAACCAATGTGAATAACATAATTCTATGACAGAAGATTACTATCGACCTCATATTATGTTCTGATTGCAAGATAAAAAAAAAGTTGATTAGGTGTTAATTTTCACAAGACTGTATTTTATTTGCTAGAGCAAATATTTGCTCTTACTCAAATCGCCTTTATCTGATTGATATTAACTTGACACTTCAAGGTGTTCAAGCTCAAATGACTGCCTGTAACTTTTTCAACAGTGATTCTGTGTTTATGAATAAGTTAATGCTAGTGAACAACTACACATAAAATGAATAAAATTTACTTCGTCAATTCCATTTGGGGTTTCAAACTTTTTGATATTTTCCCAAGATTTGACAATGATATTGATTAACATTTCACCGGACTGAACTTTCGCTACAAGGTTTTGAGGATCCAACAAACAAGCAGCCAATGGAGAAAGATGATCACGGAACTCAATGTCCAAATCTAAAATGAACATCAAATGAAATTAGCTATGCTGTCGCCTTGAATGACCATTTATGAATCCTAAATTCCAGTTTATTTTAGGCCGAGCAAAAACAATGTATAGGCGTATAGCAACCTGAGATGTAACAAGCCGAAAAATACTTTGCGGACTGAGGATACCTAAGTACCTAACTAGGCAATATTGGATTGAAATCTCTCTTCTTTTTTATCGAAAGTTGCAAGAGCGTTACAAAAGTCATACATAAACTCCTCAATCTCCAATGTGACTGTTTTAAACATAAAATTCAAATTCGTTTTCTGATTCAATTAGCAGTGACAAGATGTCCTAAAGATAGCACTATAAAAATGGTGCCATTTGGCTCCGTCCATATTTATGAATAGAACATTCAGTCGGTTGATCGGTTTCAACAAATCTGACAATAGATACAGTTTGACCGATACCCATTTCAAGTCAAGCAAATTTGATAGCTTGATCTAAAATACATCCTTATTGTTGAGATTAAGTATGAACAGAAGTTGATGATACAACTAATATAATACAAATAGAAGTTCTTTAATTCACGAAACAACAGATTGTTACCAACCTCCTAGCTTTCCATCAAACTGTCGGTCATGAAAAACCTGAGTTGTTTTTCCTGGTGCCGGCATCAGATAACATGATATTGCTTTGAAGGTTTTATCGAGTTCATCTCCTTCTAGCACGGTTGCCAGATACTTTTTCGCTTCGGCATCACCGTACTCGAAACTAAAAGGTGCTACCCAGTCTCTCACAAGAAAGAATAATTTCTGTAACAATTAGATAACGTAAAAAAAAAAATAGGTAAAATAAAAGATAGTGATTTGTTATTGTAAGTATCACTCATCTGCCTCATTTACTTGCCTGTGATAGCTTTCCTGCGCTTTTCGTGCAACGCTTCGTATAATTGATGAAGAGCTTAATAATACAATAATAATAAGATGTTACACACAAGCTTAATTGATCTACAGTTTTTATATTGTGCCAACAGGCGCTAGTATATGTTCGACTCGGATAGACTTGTTTGGTTGTAGTCATGAATTTTGTTTACAAACCTTCAAATATTCCAAGTTGTCAGTTTGTATTTTACTCATCAGATTGTAAATCAGAACAGAACTCATCATTAGGCTCATTGTAAAAACTTTCATATCGTCTCCTTTATCGGCCTGGTTACCAAACGTTCCTTGGGAATCACACAACAGAACTGCTATCTGTAAGATAAAAACATCTTCACCCAGTTAAACCTCCAATACTATCAGCATTTCACAATGTCAGTGTGGACGAGTCTGTAAACTGACTAGAGGCCCTGTGTAAGGAAAATATTGTTCACTGCAAGTAGGGAATATGTGGTTACCTCAGTTGAAGTTGAAAATGAGTTCATCTGCTGTTGTGCATTAATGGTGATAAAATGCATTTTGACGGGTAGGTTCTCTGCATGTTGAACGGACTGTGTTTCTGTTGGTTGTAATATTAGGGTGCAGAAAAGCATAAAACTTTTCTGATCGAAGCATGAAAGATTTTAAATGTTTGTTGATTGCAATAACAAACCTGGGTAATAGATTGCAGGATTAATTCCCACTGTCTTCAGAAATATACAATCCCGATATTTGACTGCAAGCGGGGTAGGCTTTATCGTAGGGCTCAAGCCAACGCCTTTTCAAAAAGCCTCCTTGTAATAAGTAGCCTGCTCCTCAAGATCGAAATATTTGTTGTGTTCATACAGCTGCATTTCAATTAGTTTTTCAGTAGTAGCTGTGATAATAGCTCATTTGGGATAATTCAGATGGTTTGAGAACCCTGCCTCGGATGTTTTAAATTGAAAGTGCCATTTAGCCTCGGCCGAAAACTAGGACTATTATTTTTTGTTCTCCTGTTAATTTCAATATATATATAGTGTTATTTCAACCACCGTTCTGCTTTTGATCACTAATATGTCGTCGTAGTGATAGTGATAATAGTTTTTGGTAAATTACAATAACTTCCAATGTGGTTACAAAGTACAAAGCCGCTCTATTACGTATTCAATGGTCACTTTTTAAAGCCATTTCGTATATCTCCATCTACAGTAAATAACATTGGCTTACCTATTTCAAGATAGTCAAATACCGAAATCTTAATCATTCCAAAAGTATATATGTAATTTTTCGGGTGTCCCGAAAATGTCGTGTCACTCTTTTTAAGTATCTTACTTGTACTACGTGTCCCTTGTACCCCACTTGTCTCAAATGTCTCACGCGTCCGACGTATCCCAGTTCTCCCGCTTGTCTCACGTGTCCTACTCCTACGTGCCCTATTGTCCCACGTGTCCGACGTATCTCACGTGTTTCACTTGTCCTACGTGCCCATTATTTGTCTAACTAGATAGTTTTATTAGAAAATAGTTTTGATAGATAGTATGCACTTGGGGAAAACTTCACTTAAAGAATGATCAGATAGAGCAATTCAGAAGAGAATCAGAAGAGCAATCAGAAGAGCAACCAAGGTTGTGATAGTTGGTGTATAGATAAACTATACCCGATTAAACAAAACATTTTAATTACCATATATGGCAGCTATTTTTCAATTAAAATTATCGGATTGTTGGTGTCGCAGTACGTGATGATATGGACAAGGTGCTTTTGGCAATTATACACTTAATGTAATTTAAACGACGAAGACTTTGCATAGGTATGAGTATATTGTCGATTGAACCAGACGTTTAACATAACTTGGATTAGGACATCAACAAGTAGTCTATAAAATGTAGTGTTTTGTAATCGTAAAACACTATGCCGTCCGAGTTTCAACAAAGGCAGTGTCATTAGTATTTTAGATTGTATGTGACGAGAGCAAGTTGAGTTGTTTCACGTGTTACACACTTGTATTGCTTGTCTCATGTATTTATTTCCCACTTGTATTACTCGTACCACTTTGCAATGATAGTTGTAGTACACCTTCACTACTTGTATATATCGTTGCATTCGTACTGCATGTAATCATTTTCTCTTTGTGCGCGTCCCATTTGCACCGTTTGTACCACATCTACCATTACTCTCGTTTACTATTTTTACCTTAACACATTCGACATGTACTTAGGCAAAATATCGGGAATAAATTCCCCCTGTGAATGAGACATAAGTGAAGGAAGCACTTTTTGAATGAAATGTATGTAGTTGAACAAGACATTAAATTACCAAATATACTTACCTATAACTACAATTTTATAGATTACTCAGATCAAATATCGTGATTCCAAGCGCCTGTACACAACAAAACGTCTGCAGAAACTACCTTAATTTATTCAATAAAAGCGTTGAGGCGCAATTTTCATGCGTACTAGGTTGCAAAGCAATTTACGGTGCCATTGATTCAAGTATCTTGAACCGTTAGCATTGATTCTAATGACACGTCATGTATGCATATGCATCACAAATATAAAATGTTTGTTCGTCTACTTTACATCAAGTTGTGTAAGGGACTGATACCTACGGCAGTGGGTTTATTCACTTGGCTAACACAGACAGTCGTAGTAGAACTAAAATAGGAAAATCGAAATAAAATGAACCTAAACTGGTACACACATTACGGGAGTACCCTTTAGCTTAATCAGGTATAGTTCACCTATATTCCAAATTTACAATATTGGGACAAGTAGCACACGTGGAGAAAGTGGGACACGTAGAACGAGTGGGATAAGTAGGACAAGGGGGACACGTAGATCAGGTAGTACAAGTTTGATACACGGGACACGATATTTTCGAGACACCGTAAAATTTTCGAGCATCTTTGAGCTCGATTATTGCAAAAGATTGAATATTCGTTCGTTATTATAATATAATTGTAATGTATTATGAAAACTTAGCATGTTTAAATACTTTAATAATTGCCTATTTTTTTTATCCCAAAATTAATATTGCTCGACACTCTAAACTTTAATCCATTGAATATAACATACAAAGCAAGTACAGAACAAACACAGTTTGCAATATGACTATCTAAAAAGACCTTGAAAATAAATATTTTTAAACTAAATATAAGATTACCTCCCGTCCGCCTTCTCTCCTCACAATAATAGGTTGACTCCAAACCGAAATTCCAGTGGTAACTTTTTCGACACCGCCGCGCCAATGAAAACCATCATTGAGAGGAGTATCTTTAGATCCCATCCAGTCGGCATTTGTATACTACAAAATAAAAAGTTCCCAGACATGTGATATTTTGAACTTGAATCGAGAATTTTGAAAGTTGAATTACAATTCCAGATTGAGCCAATATATCAACTTAGTTCATAAGCTCCATGTGTAAATCATCCGATTTTTAAGCGTGATTATAATATAGTCGTTTTCGAGAAATTATTATTCTTGATAAATTTTTGTTGTTTTGAAATCGGATTCTGGAAGTTAGGTAGAATATGTCATTGCAAACTAGGTGATTGAAACGAAAATACGTCATGATAAACACGCGACAACAATTCACCGTAGTGAGAGATAAATCGTTTTGTTAATATTTTGTTGCTGTTGTTATTCTCCTTCTTTCTATTCTTGTTGCTGGGAAAAAATCACCTATTTTTCGACTACTGGAACAATTTCATTGGAATTTTCAATGACTGGGGATTGTTCCATGGTATTCGTTTTTGAGTTTTGTGTATGACTTCATCAAAATTGAAATGCTATAGATCAGGGCTTCCCAAACTAGGGGCCGCGAAACGAATTTTAGGGGCCGCAAAGAGAACACCAATTTTACACAAAGTACCATATCTATTGTACTTTTTCAGCAGACTTTTGATTCGAAATACAATTAATAAAAATAGTGTTACACAAAAATTTCACGATTCCGAGTGAATAAATCATCATAATACCGTGTTTCCCCAAAAATAAGACACTGTCTTCATTTTTCTTTCGAAAATAACACTAGGGCTTATTTTTGGGATAAAGAATAACGAGATATTTTATTATACAAAATATGAATATCGATTTCCATTTACTTATAAATAGCACGTTTTTTCAAAATAACGGCTACATATAGATTAGACTGGGACTCAGTGGTTCCCGAACTTCATTGTATTTTGACGCCCTTGAAAAATAGGCACAAGTTGCGACTCCCCGTGAAAATAGTATTGATACCTTTTAAAAAAAAACTTTTTTGCAATGAGTTTCATATAAACGAACAAACGAATCTTAACGACAGTCAGTGGAATCTGCCCCATATAAATACGAAATCGCAAAGCAGATGGGAGTGCGCAACGCTTTTTAAATCAAGGAAAAATATTCTTTATCCACAGAAAACCGAATTTTCATAATTAAACTTTGTTATTATAGCTCCATTACAGATAAGACCGATTTTATTTTTCTCTTTTTCAGTAAAAGTATAAGATATGGGTTGTTTGAAAGGTTCACGAATCACGAAATTTTCCGACGCCTTAGCAAAATTGAAACGACGGCACGGGATTGAGTCGAAAAAAAAAGTTGCGTTGTTGACTAAGTCTTTTTTAAAGGCGAGCGCTTATATTAAAATCCTTTTTAAAATTCAGGCTTGGTCTTATTTTCGAGGAAACACGGTAGAATCATCGCGCTTGCATAACAATGCATATTCTGATCGTAAGACCCGATTTGCGGGTGCTTGCATAACAATGACGGCTATAATCGTTAACCTCTTGAACCCTGCTGGCCGGTTTACCGGCCAGTTTATCGCGTGAAAATCAATCAACTTTATTCCCTCATATCTCAAGAACCACATTAGATATTTAAGTAAGTCTTATACTGTATGAAAGCTGGTCATTAGAACCATCTACACTTTAAATATTGCTGCTATATTTTCCAATTATCTGAGGGTAATTGGCAAAAAATGAGTGTGTAAAATTATTTGATAAAAACAAAAATTAAATATCAAAAATTGACTATTTCCTGCCTGAATAACCTAATATACAATCGACAATATATCTAGAGAATTTGAATAGCTTTTTGAAGACGTATCCAAAACGATTTCACGACGAGCCATTCAAATTTCATGGCCAAATATGTTTGATTTTCTGTAGATTTAACAGCGACGCTGCGTCAAAATGACGTTCTCATTGAAGCGAGGCTACGTCTCGTCACGCACAACTTTACGTATATTACGGAAATGCAACAAAGCGTGACGACATCCGCAATAACGTTACGTCGAGACCGGACTAGAATTTACACTCATCGTGAAATGAAATTAGATATTTGTAACATACAAAAACAACAGCATAAATCAAACACACCCCTTTGTTTCGAAGATATCTCAGAAAAAAATTCATCATGAATGACTTTCCTGTTCTGAATGGGCCTGCAATTGTAATGATGGAAACAGGTCTATTCCCAATGCTTGGGTGCCGCAGCATTCCAACCAAAGCATTTTGATCCAGCACTAACTTGTTGTCCTCATCTTGTTTCAAAATCTGAACAACCTCGCCTAAGAATGGCAAAACAATGTCATAAAAACTCAATAATGATGTACTGTAACAAATTAACCAATAATTTGGATAATGGAAGTCAAATTCTATATAATAATTGACGTAATCGAAATATTGAAGAGATCTTTCTAGTCTTTCTCGTGTATGAGAAAATGGATATTTTCCCATGTCGGGTGACCCATAAACAACCGAAATATTGAAGAGATCTTTCTAGTCTTTCTCGTGTATGAGAAAATGGATATTTTCCCATGTCGGGTGACCCATAAACAACCGAAATATTGAAGAGATCTTTCTAGATCATTCGAAATATTGAGTCTAGATCTTTCTCGTGTATGAGAAAATGGATATTTCCCATGTCAGGTAACCTATAAACAAGTGTAATTATTGTAAGAAGGGTACCGAACATTCTAGATATGAGCAAAAATTGCTCCGTGGGAAACGAGATTTTTGGATAATAAAGAAAGGTACCGTTTTTGGCGAGCGAGATGAAAAAGATGTTACCGTTTAAATAGACATTTTGATCGTGGTTTGCCGGGCTTTTCTTTTCAATTCGTTCGATACAACAATGCTAATTCATCACCGACTTGGTTTTCACGATTGAATGACCGTGTTTTACATGAATAATCAGTGTAAGAACGGTCTCGAATAATCGAGAAAATTGTGTATCCCTTTAAATGCGATCTCAAACATTTCAAGCGATCGTCATCCTTATCGTCAAATATCAATAATTCTGATGATCGCTACGCTACTGTTATGAATAATAACTTGAAATTATTCATCACCAGAAGTCGTCTCACTGATGACGCCGAATATCGAGATTATTATGGATTAGGCTTGCACGTAATTGACAAAAATCAATTCCGTAATTACGGCAAAATCAATTACGTAATGACCCCGTAATTGCGATATTTTTCTACGCATTTAAACCTATCGTAACAACCCATTGAATCCACTTTTTTTCCGTATGGGACATTGAAGTTGGGTTTTTCTATTCTTGGCAGTACTACACGCCGGCGGCAGATGTTAAAGACAACTATCAAGGAGTGAATTCAAATTAATTTTATTCTGATTTTTATCTTTTGTGTTAGCTTTGGTTTTTCTTTATCACCTTCGCAAATTAACCGTCCCATTTTTATGCGATCAATTTTATTTTATCATTACCGACACTGGTATACGGATATTTATGGAAACGATAGTTTTTTAAAACCACCTTAGAAAATTACGGGTTTCTAATTTATTAACCAACGACGAGCGTATTCTCTCATTTGATTATACTTGCGATTTCCTCGCGACGAAGACTTGTTTTTGCAGCGTTTTCTGCATTATCCGACATTAATGCCATTTTTATAATAATAATTATTGATGTCGACTTATTGACGATATTCCGATTACCATGCTTCATTTTACATTCAATCATTTCGCGGACTGAATGTTTATAACATTATTTGCGATAAATTTAGATCAAATATTATTTATTTGCGTATAATTTAAATACCGAACTTATATGACATGCCTTCTCCGAAAAAACAAAGTTTTATCGCAAAACAATGCATTTTGTGACATTTATTTTACACTCACAACATTTATTTGCTAACTCAAGTCGACGATCCTATCGGCCAACATTGACAAAAGTTTGGTCGAGTGCCGGTGGTATTCAAGTCGACGATAAATCAAAATAAGCTGCCGCATTTGGTAAGACAGTTAATCATATATGGCCGAAATATTGAGAGGAATTGTGAAAAACATCATGAGCAAGGCCAAGTCCGGACTGATATATAAGATAAAACCGTTAACAGAACATCAAGATTTTGTAATAGAAAATGGATCTCGCACAGAATAAACACACAGGCTCATATTTGATTATATATGATAGCAGTTAAATTTTCAACGGTCCGCGAGGAATCCGTCGTTTTGGTTCATTACGCAATCTCTCTTTTGTCGTCAAATTGCTATTTGATAAGCGCACATTAATTATCACGGCGAGGTATTGGCGCGAGTGATCAATCGCTCTTTTTGCTTATTTGGTTCCAATTCGTCGCGAAAGCTCTTCGTTAAATTTCACAAGATCGTCGTGTTGAAAGGTTATGGATATTTTCCTGTTTATACCCCAAGTCTGAAATGAAACAGCCAAAAACAATATGATATTCCATGTTCATATATCAAGTGTTGATATTAACAATAAAGAATGGTTAAGCATTGCTAATCCACACTTGGCGGGGAATTCCCACTATTCAAACGCGTGAATATAAAATAGAAACGGAACATATATACCATAAGTAACGGAAAACTGGAACAAGTAAATAATAAATAAAAGTAAAATGGATACAAATGTTTGATAGGCCATGTTTGATAGATTGATCTCCTGCGTTCATTAGTCATTTCACCCGAAGAAGTTGAAACCGGGCGTGTTAGCGTCTATCGGTCTTAACACAATTCTATCCCTTATCTATGGTTTAGTTGCGGGAGAAGTTAAAACCAGGTGTGTTGACGTCAAACGACCCTACTCAGTTCTTCCCCCATTAACTAACTAATAATTTACATTGGCCACGCCAGATAAGTTGATAATAGGTTAGTAAATGGCAACGCGGCATGCCTTCCTTCACCTACGTAACAAGAGAGAGAAAAACGGCTGCGAATACCGGAACTCTAACTTCTTCTACTCGTTGAGCTTTCATTTTTCGCAATCGACGAAATTGACTGCTTTGAAGAAAGCTCGTTTCAATGCAATAATTACGACTTTACGTAATTCGTAACTTCCCTTCCGTAACTCCAAATAATTACGTAATTCCGTAAATCCGTAAATTACGTGCAAGCCTATTATGGATTATACTTAACAACCGTAAGCAAGTCTTTATATCTTATTACTTAGTATTGTTTTGTACGTTTTTTAATTTTGTCTTACTGTCATACTTATTGTAATTATGTACCTGTTATTGTTTTGGTGGTTTAATTTTGTTATGGTAATTTTGTAACTGGTATTGCTTAGTGGGGTTTGGTCTATATTGGATAGATATTACGTAAGTTAAATTAGGGGTGAATCATTATAAATTACCACATATTACCCCACAAATGTCAAAAGGTCGATTTGTTGACGAAAACGACCCACAATTCGGACTTCAAGATTTGGATATTTCTGAAACTAATTCAGTTAAATACGAAATAATTAATAAAGTGCATTGGCAAAGTTTTTTCAATTTTCAATTTTGATGAATTAATGGTAGAAGAATTTGAATGTTTAAACTTTAAATGACTTTCGAGAGATTTATAATAACTGAAAGCTTGGCGGGAATTAACAAACCCCTTTTTGATTGGATAGATTTCGTTATTACTAAAATGCCCTTGAAAGTAAATTCAGTGATTGAATGAGCTCCACGCTCGACTTAACAAAAATTAGACGAAATACGTTATATTCTCCGAAAAAGCCCGAAGCTGGCATAACAAAACAAACAAAAAAATGCGCTACTTCAACCCGACATGGGGCAAATATAGACCAACTAGGTTGCAAAATTGCATCAATGCGCTATTTCAGCTCGACATGGGGCAAATATAGACCAACTAGGTCGCAAAATTGCAACAATGCGCTATTTCAACCCGACATGGGTAAATACAGACCAACTAGGTCAAAAATTGTAACAATGCGCCCAGAGGCACCCAGGAGGATGACCAAATGGGGTCTAAAGGATCTTTTTCAGATGAAAAAGTCAAGCTGGTAACGCGCAAACATTGACACGTAACAGAGAAAGAAGCTCAGTCGAGCAGCCAACTAGGCTTATGATTTGATCTAAACACCAAGAAAATATTGAAGTGCCCAATTTCCACCAAATGGAGTGGCAATTTTTCGTCAATTCAACGTCTATTTTTCGCCAGTTTTTCGATTTATTTTCTCGTTGGTTTACCGTGTCATACGTAATCAAGAAAATATTGCAGTACTAATTTCCCACCATTTTATTGTTTCATTCCCGCCTTTTTTGTTCGTCCGATTTTCAGTGTCTTATATATTTTTGCCGTAGTTTTCTCGCAATTTTCAGTGTCTTATACATATATTCGCCTAATTTTTAATGTTTTATTTCTTGCCCATTTTATTGCAGTGGCCACTTCCCCACCACCTTATTGTCTCCATTTTTTGCCTATTTGTTGTTCAAAATACAGTCCGGCTGGAAAAACAAATTTTTCTCACAATCCCTCTAATTGCAATCACTAAAATATAAAAGGGCTACAAACAGTCATTATATAGATATATTGAAAAATTCGTATTGAAGATTGTTAATTATTTTTTTATAAATTTCAGTAATGCCTAAATGGATATAATCTTAAAATTCACAAGTGCTCACAATTTTGAAAGTCGTGTAGGTGAGAAGAAGGTATAATAATACCATTACTGTTTCACTGAATTGCACAATTCAAATGCCTTTCACAATACAAATGTCTCATCCTTATAATTTGAAAAGACCCCAAGTCAGAATCATAATAAATGGGGCTACAATGAGTTCTTAAGTTGTATGTTTTTAATTCTTGCATGTATAATTAGTGCTCAAAATTTCATGTTTTTCTTCTTGTATATAAATCTTTCAATTGCCATTTTAAATATCCAAAATTAAGGAATTTGTCTTGTCGTTTCTGAGTCTTGTGTCTTATTGATTAATTACACTCGACCATTTTTTCTTGCTCTTCGTAGTGGATGTTTTGCTCTTCATCCGACAGTTTTCAAACAAATTACTTTGACATTTCAAATTGCCATCTTCAAAAGTTACGAGATTTGATTACTGTCATGATAATTTCGATTTCATTCTTATATTTCTACAATTATCGGTTAATTTTTAATATGTGTTTTTAAAATATTTCACTTGTGGTGCCAGGAATGTGTAACAAATTAACCAATAATTTGGATAATGGAAGTCAAATTCTATATAATAATTGACGTAATCGAAATATTGAAGAGATCTTTCTAGTCTTTCTCGTGTATGAGAAAATGGATATTTTCCCATGTCGGGTGACCCATAAACAACCGAAATATTGAAGAGATCTTTCTAGTCTTTCTCGTGTATGAGAAAATGGATATTTTCCCATGTCGGGTGACCCATAAACAACCGAAATATTGAAGAGATCTTTCTAGTCTTTCTCGTGTATGAGAAAATGGATATTTTCCCATGTCGGGTGACCCATAAACAACCGAAATATTGAAGAGATCTTTCTAGATCATTCGAAATATTGAGTCTAGATCTTTCTCGTGTATGAGAAAATGGATATTTCCCATGTCAGGTAACCTATAAACAAGTGTAATTATTGTAAGAAGGGTACCGAACATTCTAGATATGAGCAAAAATTGCTCCGTGGGAAACGAGATTTTTGGATAATAAAGAAAGGTACCGTTTTTGGCGAGCGAGATGAAAAAGATGTTACCGTTTAAATAGACATTTTGATCGTGGTTTGCCGGGCTTTTCTTTTCAATTCGTTCGATACAACAATGCTAATTCATCACCGACTTGGTTTTCACGATTGACTTGACACGGCTTTTCTATTTCAATTCGTTCGATACAACAATGCTAATTCATCACCGACTTGGTTTTCACGATTGTGAGTGTGTTTTATTGTAAGTAAATTTATTGTGATATATTATCCGTGGAAACAAAAATCTTTACAGGCAAATTGGTCAGATCCTTACTGTTATATAAAATTAACAGATATCTCAATTTGAACACGTAACCTATTATATATTCTGTTTTTGGAGTCAGATACTTGTCTATTTCGCTTAATAAGAAAGCAAAGACAGTCAGAAGTTACAGTACGAAATGAGCGTGTTCCTTAATAAAAACTATTATTTTTGAATATAATATTTTTAAATTAAATATCAGAATAAATGTTCAGCTACATGCGTTGATCTTCACTTAATAAGAAAATACCTTCACTGGCCAATTCATGAACCACAATCATTTATTAAGGATATATTCATATTGAAAAAACAGATTTGTTGCAAATTATATTTTTTATTTAGCCTTTCAAGGATATGCTTGTTTCATTTATACTATACTCTTATCACACTTTTGGAAGACCGAACAATCATTGACATTGAATATGCTACATCCTATTCTCCTGTGACCCGCTTTTGTTTAAACCTGTCTTTTTAGTGAAATGTGACAGTTTTTTTATCAATACCATACACTCACTGCAGTAATTTTTGCATGCTAATAAAATTATAGTTGGATCCTGATTCTTATCATATTCGCCCCGTCGGATTTTTACAGTTTTATCAACGAAGTGCTCATGATTCAACCAGATTGCTGCTAGATAGTTGTATGATTATTTATACAAAGTGTACAGAAAGTTATGAAAATAAATAAATTGATGGTGCCATAGCTAATATATAAAATGTTTACAAAAATCAACAAACCGTTCGGGTCAGGATTGAAGTCATGAAAGTACTCTGTGCCTGTAACTTCTGAGTCATCATTGAACATTTCTGTTTGAGTATTAGTATTCCCCATATTTATCCGTTTGCCATCAACGTAGTTTGGCTATACCTTAAAACAATAAAGTGTATTAAAGTGTTGCTCAATAGTAAAAACCTGCTGATGGCAGTCACGCTTAGTTTTCTCACTTTGAAGTAATTACTGGGAAATAAATTCAAGGAATAAAATGGCAGACTCGCATCAGTTGCGCAAAATTGTAAGAATTTTGGAATGAATCAGTAAGATTTTTCAGCAATTGCAGCCTTGAGTTCACCTATTGTTTGAGGATTGTTCTGATATACACGTTGCCATTCGAATACCCCTAAAAATAGAAATCTAGGGCTTTCTCTAATGGCAAGGAAGTAATTTGGAATCTATTCTGTAGAAAACATAACTTTTGTACATAGCGTTCTCGATAGCTACAACTTATAGATACAAGCAAACGCAAACAAAAATTCAAGTCTAAGCAAAAGGAAATAACTGATTCAATTTTCATAAAAGTTATTACGGAAGTTATGTGGGACGTTTTTTGAGTCACGTACTATATGACGTCTGATATTTTGCAATGTCAGTAGCGCTCTGGCAAACATCACTACTTCCGTGTATTTATTTGTGGCATGCAAGCACAAAATAAAATATATTTATTATAAAATATAAATTGTTCGTTAACTAGTAAATCTTTTTATGTTAATAAAGTCAGACGTTCCTTCATACCAATATATTTTTAAAATTTCATACGATATGGAAATAAGATGAAGTTGGCTTCGAACGTCAGAACAAATGCCATTTCAGCCTAAAATCATTAGGTTTATGTCACACTGGATATACCTGTCTTACCTGTGTCAAAAAAGTCTGAACAAATCGTGAAGATATTCTGCCAGATAATATGACGAGGTTAATACTGTACTTGGCTTAATCTGTATTATAAATTGAAATATACAATCGAAGAGGCCTCGACTTGGAAATATGCCTCACTTGGATTGGATAAATAATGAGAACGATTTCCATCCGAAAGTCTATTATTATACGCTATTTTTACTCAGGTTGTTTATTAATATTTTTTTTATATTTCATCCAAAATCGATAGACTTCTGGTCCGACATATGATGAACGCACATGCAAACTCTGGAGCAGATTCCATCTTGCTTTCGTGAGATATCGCGTGCATCTAACAGACATACTGACAACCAAATACCTATCAACATACTTACCGATTAAAATCGATAAGTAATAATAGCACAATGAATGCGCTTTTCGTAGCAACGAATGTTCGTCAACTTCAACCTAAGTACAAGTTATTGTCTCAAAAGTTAGTCAATTAATATGTGCGTCTCATCTACGAGCCTAGTAATTTATATACTTGATAAAATAAGCCACTTTTTGTTCAATATTTTTATTGTATTCGGAATGTTTTTTTCAAATGTTTTTGTTAAGGATTTAAAGTTAATCAAGAATTATATTATTCCGTTTTATATATTCTACCATATACATCTCACCCCAGTTACATCTGAAGACCAACAAAGTCATTTTACAATTACTCTTATTATATAATACGGCACATACCGTCAGAAAAAGACATTAAAGTGCTCTGAAGTTTTGCTGAAGACGTTATCCAAAACATGATCGTTACCTCACGGGCGTCTATCAGTAATTATCCATATCGACCTTAAAAACCTATTAAATTCAGCAGCGCTTAAGAAAACCTCGAAAGTCAAATCTGAACGCGAATTTCACTTGACATTACGTTTACATTATCACAAACGCAATATATAGTATAACCTTATATTATAACAAATAATAACTGACTAAACTGCTATATTAAATGTAAGCCTACTTATCTTTTCTTTAGTCATGGAACGTGCTGTAACCTACGTCATTTCAAACTCATCCCCCGTGAAAAACCCGGAAGTAGCATAGACAAAGAGTTTTTATTTTAGGGCATCGCTTCCCAACCTTTTTTGGTCGCGGACTATTTTCTCACCGGCGAAAACCTTTGCGGACTCAATGGGTTTATTGCAACCGTACTCTGTGTGAAAAAGCAATAAAACCAAACACAACAGAATTTTAACAAATTACATATCTACATATTACATTTTAACAAAAATACATATCCATAGCGTTGCTTTATTATTAATTTAATTGCGATCATTTTAATCTGCGGGAGTGTTGACGAAATAAAAGCAATACCACTCAGAAACTATCATAATTATGCGTGGACACAAAAATGCGTGGTAAAGTGTCTGATTATATTTTGTTTATTATTATATTTTAAATCTGAGCTGTTCGTACAACACTGGTACGTATACTACGGTAGCACCCGAAATTTTGCGATTCGTAATGTCTGAAAAAGCGTATTTAATCGGTCGCGTACCATCATGAAACAAAACTTATGGTGTTTTCAGATTTATTTTAGTATTGCCGCTTTTCAATTTAGAAAATTTGGGTTGCCACCATTGACACTTAGCATCAGAAAAAAAAAATGATTCTTCGTTGTTCGAACTCGCGAAACACCATTTAGGTATCTATCGAAGCGTGTGCAGACTCGTGTTTCCGTCGGAAATCCACAAGTGAGTCGTGAAATCCGATCGTTTGATTAAGCGACGAGCAAGTGACCCGTCGCGTCACCTGTTTGTTACCTTTCGAATGGCAAATTTTTATTCTAATAGTTGATTTTTCGACCATACGACCAGCCGCCCTACTCAGTAACCAGTAATTATTGACTCGATTAATGTTATGTGAATGGACTTGCTTTTTATGTTTTATGTAAATTCTAACGTAAATCATAACTTGGCTGATAGTTGAGTTTCGCAAAAGCGTTTGCGGTCCGCCGTGAATTTCTGGCTCGTTGCGGACTCATTCAAGCGCTCCACGGACTCATTTGAGACCGCGGACTCGGGTTGGGAAACACTGTTTTAGGGTGTATCATGTGTGCATTTTAATTGCTACATTCTGTCAGTATTTAAGTTCAATATACCTTTAGTGTGAATAAAAATTAAATAATAGCCCTTGGAATGCGGTTTTCGTGCAATAAATGTTCGTATACTTGTACAATTTTTCGTCTCAAAAGGTAGTCATTTAAAATGAACGTCTTATCTTTGAGACGAATGTTTTGTATTTTTGTTAAATATGCCATTTTATGTTCGATATTTTTATTGTATACTAAATGTTTTTGCAAATGTTTTTATTAAAGATTTAAAGTTAATCAAGAAGGTTATCTTTCCGAAAATTGTTCGAGAAATTAAGAGCAGGGAATTTTATATATTCTACCATATACATCTCATATTTTACTTTTGAATAACAATTTTTCCTCTAATAAGTGCTGTTAAATTTACGCTAATTATACCAGTTTCATCTGATGACCAACAGAGTCATTTTACATTTATCGACATTCCCCATTTGTATATTTATTATCATACCATTCCGCCCCATGACGATTTGTTATTGCGCCACAGTTGACATTTCGACTCCACTATGAGTTTGCGTTGGTGTAGTTTATTATTTCTATTCCTGTTTTGAAGTCTTTTACTATGCATCGAATATTTTTTTCGAATCGTATCAAATCTTGAATATTTGGGAGATGTGCAATCGTATGTGACTTTTTATTGTAATGGGTCTACTCCACACATGCATTACTAAAAACATAGAATCCATTACTCAGACTCTTTGCTTTCATACACAATAAAACGTGTTATATCAATATAACACGGTATTGGAATTAATCAGAATTGCATAGAGAAAATATGACTCCAATGAAAAAAATTAAAGAATTCACCTCGACCTTTGGCGGACAGAAAAAAAAACAAGAAGGTGCGATACGAAATTTTCGCTCGAACCGATTCGAAAAATATACTATTCGATTCACCGGAATGCATTATGTGTACCAGGTTAGGGTTAAGTCATAATTTTATTCCAATTTTCCTTATTTTAGTTCTATTACGTGTTCGGGGACCAGCCAAGTGACTCCCGTAGTATTTTTACCTGAAATTAGAGCCTAACCCTGACCGGGTTCACATACTACGTTCGGTGTCCGCCATCTTGGTTCCCATACTACGGGAGTACCAAATCTTTTAAATCTAAATTGGACATACGACACTATCGTTCCGAACCTCCGACACAATATGATAGGGTAATAGAGGACAATAGTTATACGAAAACAATAACACTTTATTCGTTTTGGTTCTAACAAGTACTGTTCTTTGTTCAGTTCTTTGAAACAAACGCTAAATTGCACACACGGAACTAGCTTTATAGTTTGCTACAGCGTTATAAATACAGGTATAACGTATGCAAGTATGTAAAAATATTCGGTGGTAAAATTCATTTACTTCGCTTGTTAGTCCGACGCGGCTCAACAATTAGCTTTAATTAAATATATATCAGGTCGTATAGTAACTGGAGGCGACTAAATCGGTGTACATGGGCTTTGAATACTGAATAAATTTTGGACTACTATTTATGTATATGATGGGTTTGAATTAGATTTCAGTAATCACATTTTTTGAGGCCATTTTCGATAGTTGCTGACAAAACTGTGGTGGAATTCAATGTCCTGTCTGCTGCATTCAGTTTTTAAGAACAATATTATTGAAAATCTCATGTTACAATACGATGCTACATTCATTTACACTGAAAGAGCAAAATTCTTTGTCTGCATTAAAATCGTAGGTGTGTTTTTTTTTTGTGCCCCCATACTGACGATTTTTGTTTTTGCTTCAAATCATATCATTCTGATATAAACAATCTCAAATTGTTTATAAAAAACAATTCTGAATTAATATTTACAGATTGTGTTGTAATTCTCGAAAACTAAAACTTATTCGTCTTATTGCTACTTCTTCTATTACCGTACAAAATGTCGTCCAGTGGATCTGGCGATCGTAATAAATAATAGATGATAAGAAGACTGTCATTGATGCGATTTGGGCAAGTGAAAAATTTGGTTGGTCATGGTATAAAAATAACACTGGTGTTCGACACACTGGCATATTACTTTACATAAACGGCAGACCAAAGTACACTGTTGATTGGACAGTAAGTCGTGGGAATAAGGTTACATCTGCTGTTTTTGAAACCGATGGAGAACTGCAATACAACGATAAAGAGGGGTGCTTTAAAAATGTTGAGTGCATGGACATAATTGGGAGAGAATACCTTATAAAGGACTACACATACAGGAAAGCGGATTTGGACAGGTTAGTCATGAAGTTCATAATGTTTAAGCTCAAATCATACGAAAACAGTGATATGAATGAAAATACCAATTTGTACGACGTCACCAAATGTAATTGCAGAGATCACGTTAAATCTGTATTAAAGGATGTTCTGTACCCTGAAAAAACAGAGCTCAAAACACATCTAAATAGGCTCAAAAGTGTTAGAAAAAGACCAAGTGAATTAATTCTTTACGCGATGAACGGCTTTGGTAATATGATGATTTTCATTCCACTTATTCCCTTTTTACCAGCTTTCATCCGTCGTGCTCCTTGGTTTATAAAAAGAAGAATCAGAGGGATGCAACGAGCAATATAAATTTTAACGAATAATTCAAATTGAACCTTTTAGATACTTTAATTAGTTTTGTGAAAGTTGCGATGATTGCTGATAATAACTGCTGGCAAATTCTTATCGTGCAGAAGACAACACCTTATATATATATATGTACAGTGTACACGTACAATCACGGTGCTATAGTTTTGATAATTTATATTCCAATAAACCACTTATCGCTTGTTTATACAATTGAAATATAAAAAAAATGTTAAAACTGGGCGTTGGTATGCGATATAGAGTAGGAGGGGATATCATTAAACTATTGCACTACTTCGTTTAACCTTTTCAACTACTGACGAGTTAGGGAAGATTCTAACTTTTGATTTCGAGATCGCACATCACTATGCTTACAGATTTTTCTCATGCATCAAATGTAGAGTGAATGTAGTTTACTATTCCTAAACACTCCTATGTATCTGATTCAAGATTAAATCTCTGTTTCAATTTAAAAATTTGGTGCAATTATGACGAGTTTCTACGACGAGTTAGTGTTGTTCTTCATTTGTATGCAAATTGTTTTAAAACAAAAATGGGAAAAAGTTTTCTTCTTACGCAATTGCTGAAATAATGCCCTTTACCTAGAAGTAAAAGTAATTAGCAAATAAAATTAGCGTTTATCACTACACAGAGAAGATAAACAAAAGAATTATGAATGACTTTATTAACTTCATTGAAATACTTACAAATTTTCGTTTGAAAAGACATCGTAAAATATTTTCGTTATATATGCATTGAAACTAGAGTTGATCGCAAAAGGAGGTAGTATACCCCAGACTGCATCTAGGTAGACGACATGAGGTAGTTCCCACGCTATATCAGAACCAACTAACGTATTGATCATATCAACCTCTGAGTTGAATGTACTTGAATTGTACTAACTTGATTTCAAAAAAATAATTTTTTTTATCAAGGAATAAAGTGAGTCCAAAGGTAAGATGCAATGGTTCATATCTATGACATACAATGCGAAGATATTTACCATGATGAACTAAAACAAACACAATTTGTTTGCTTTGCTTAAGAATATTGTTTACTTTGAAAGAAAACCCACATAACTAGCTTTCAAGCTTTTTCTAATTCTGGTTGAAAAAGGTTCAATTCCAATTATTCAATAAAATTTATATTGCTCGTTGCATCCCTCTGATTCTTTTTTTTAAAACCCGAGGAGCACGAAAGCCATCATATTAACGAAGCCATTCTAATCGAATCGTATTACCGAAGATTTCTCCAGCACTTCACATTGTAACCCCCTACATAAATAGATGGATAGATAGCATATTCGAATACTCTAGATCAGTGGTTCTTAAACTGGGGGGCGCGCCCCCCTTGGGGGGCGCAAGATGATATCAGGGGGGGCGCGAGAGGTCACAAAATGGAATCAGAAATTTCCAAGCAACGGCTCCTAAAAACGATCTCCGCGTTGTGTTAAAAATGCCGGCTTTTTCATATTATAATAAATTTTTCTGTCTCGTAATATTCAATCTATGTTAACAACAAGAATTCAAAATGTCTCTCTATTTTAATTATTTTGTGTCCAAGGTAACCCCGAAATTCCGCGATACGGTTCTTGCATGGGTCAGTCGTTGAGATTACGCCACTCGTTAGAAGAGCCGACTTTTTCAATGGATATGTAATGGTTTTTGTGATGGTTGAATAAAATATTAGATCCATGACCGATATACATATTTAAAATGGTTGCTTTATTTATTTAATTGTAAATAATTACCTTGCGATTGATTTAATAAAACAAAAGCACCCCTACCCCAAAATACCACGGCAATCCGCAGACATAAAAATGTGTTGTAAACTGCCAGATTACATTTGGTTTTGATTCATATTCGCTGCAACTCTTACTCCGCGCCATTGCAATGCTGCTACATGATTAATTTTCAAATATCATTGTTAGAGAAATTCCCAAGTTTGTGATAAATCCCACGGAGAAAAATTCATTTCAAGTCGGTAGTTTTAGAACATTACAGGTGTGCCGCAGGCACAAAGAATTTATGAGGTTTGCAACGTCTAAGAAAGTGTTTTTAATCTGTCGCGGCTGACGAAAACAATCGGATATTTAAACAAAATGCAATCGCAAACGTCATGCTACTTTATTTTTCAGCGGTCAAGGTCGGGGAATCGTCCACATGCATAATAACTTTTGGAACTTCTTTTCTTTTTGCTAATAATGTACATATATTCATTTACACTTCTCCTTTCTGTAAACTGTATTTTTGAACCTGGTGGTTGTCCAAGGGTATTGTAAGTGAATTTTGGAGACGTTAGGCAAGCCAAGAAGTCTGTTATTATTGTGTGTTTCAAACACACAGATCAACCAGCTCATCACAAAAGCAGATTTTCGAAGAAAAAAGGGGGGGCGCGAAGTTTATAAAATTTTTCAAAGGGGGGCGCGACTCGAAAAGTTTAAGAACCACTGCTCTAGATTCTAGAACAGGGGTGTGCAACCTTTTTCGCACGCGGGCCAAATATCAATAACCGGATGAAACCGCGGGCGGCACCTACATTTAACACAGGCTTTCTATTAGTTGCAGGCACAAAATGATGTCTTTTTGTTATTGATCTCATGTCATCATTGGGGGTCCTTGCAGAAATGATGAGTTGAAATGCATGAATTCCTTAAAACTGTAATTCAAATATACTGTCACACCCAATTTAAACGAATTCAGTGAGAAATTTGCTGCTGGATTCTTTTCCCGACTACTTTTATCCAAATTTGCTTAAATGGAAGTGCTAGCAATCCTAAATGACGCCCATTTTAGAAAAAAAATATATTACCGAAAAGTACTATATTTGAAGCCATGGTTTTTTTCAAATGTGGAAAGTTATTTTGGTTGAGATGTTTTCTGTAAAATATGCCAAGATTCATTTCAAATAATTTGCTGTCAAATCTTATTCTAGGTAGGATTTAGACAAAACAACCGATAGGCTGTAACCAAAACTCAGTCAGCTTTTGTACCTTTTAATATTATTTTTTTAAACTGCTCTCCAGTTGCCTCCGCGGGCCGCACAATTTTCCCTTGCGGCCGCATTTGGCCCGTGGGCCGCACTTTGCACACCCCTGCTCTAGAATATACACAAATTTAAAAAGAATGACTCTGAAGGGCGAGCAAAACCTTTAAAAAAGTTTAAAACATGAGAAATATCATGTGCCCGCCCACCAACACACACATACAAATAAATTACAAAAAAACACAAACCTATAGTTAAAACAAGGCTTGAGCCAGAAATAATCAAACGAAAGATACACGAATGTATAGGAACCTCCGGGCTGCTTTACACCTTGCGAATGTTCTGTTTCATACTGCAGCCGAACTTGGTCATCAGTGACCGTCAACACCAATTTGTTCATCCCTCTTCGATTCACAGTGTTCCATTTCACATCCAAGATCCAGTTGTTTGAGTTTAATCCCATATGCTTAAAATTGTCTATGTTTTGTAACCTATTGTGAAACCAACTTAATCCAACCCTGTGCGATACGAAAATTGTTCATTTCAATAGATATAAAACACAGAGCAGCAAAAACACACCAGCCTCAACAGCAGCCAAACTTATAACCAACATCCGTTGGTATTATGACAATTTAATATAATATATTCTCTACAGTTTATCTATCTCTAGTAAGCAGTATTAGCCGGATAATTCGTGCGGTATTCACTGTCAATATAGATAGTTTCAAAACACTAAAATAACAAACATTTCGAATTAAATGTAAAACTAAGAACTAATAAATATTACCTTGGAATTGCATGTCGCTGCTCGATAATCAGATTTGTCTCCTCGCGACTTCCCTTTCCAAATAAAACTGTGTAATTATCATTTTCTCGTAATATTTGTTCGAATGATTTTTACCGGTTAAATAAACTTGACTTGGTGTTAGAAATTGGCTGCTTGATATTGAAACATTCCAGATGATAACGTACGGCGCGATGATATACATTTAATTTGATTTAAATTCAAATATAATTGACATTTCAAACCGATAAAATAATATGAATGGAATGTTAGACATCGAGATATTAATAATAATTAAGCGGTTCAATTCATTTTTCGGGTAACAAGCGTGAAATTAAATTTAAGCTATTACCAGATATCAACAAGTCCAAAAACCCACAAGCGCGGTATGTCGAAAATGAAATATACAAATTGAGTCAATAATAATTTTCTTCAAAACGCTTTGCAACGAATTCGTCTGAGGATATGGGTACATCTGTGGTTGATATGCTACCATCTTCGAATTCTTATGTATCCAACATAACTTCTTTGTCTATTTGAAAAAAAAGCCATGGATCTTCTAGATTGCAATCTTTTATTTCTGTCTTCAGGAACCACAACGCGATGCATCTGTATATTTAAACTTGGATTATTTAGATCTAAATTATCAAAATACCAGAACCAATTGTTCACAATATAAATACAATCAGGTAATAATCAATGCTATGAAACTCAGAAAACATACCGTTGATTTGAGACGCCCATTTGTCCAATATTGCAGTTGACAAGAATTAAAGTCGCCAACGTTGACAAGAATTAAATTTGGAACAATTTATATAATTTTGTATTTTTCATCGGAATTCATTACCTAATAAGAGAAGTTGTCATCCAAACATTGACTACTTTACATGTGGATGGAATGGCATACACCTATTAGATTATAATAAAGACTGCTTCAATTGTTACCAGTACGTACAATACTTTTAATAGTAATGTTCGAATATAGATATCAGCAAAAAATAAGCAATATGAGGTAGCTATCCTCCCTCTTTACCTTCCCCCCGATTATGATTGAATTTGTATGATACAATAATTCTGCATCACTCACAGATTCAAGAATTATCATCACAAATCCACGGCTGTAACGTTTCGTTGAGTTAACAAATGTTCCAACTAAATTAGGATTAAACTATTCTTGCTCAATAATATCTAACTTTGGCCAAACAAACGTTACTGATAATCAGTTGTGTAAGTATAAAACTCTTGAATCCCAATAGCGAGCCCTTTCCCTGCTACAATATCTTTGCGTTGGGTATTTTCACAGAGATCAAACAGTCCAAGAGCATAGCTGTAGGACAAGTGTACAGCAAAGCTTCCGCAGCATTCTGATGCATATCTTAAGGCTCTTTATATATTTAGCACCAACCTGGAGTACACTCAAGTCATCGCTGAATAAAAACATCAAAGATCCGAAATCAGTATGCACAGCAAAGCTGGGTCGAACTTCTTTTGAATTTACAGGAGGATATTGAAGAACTTTCAGTAAAGACGGATTCTTTTCACTATTGACCAAAAGATGAGATTTGAAAAAATTATCTTTATTCTGTAAATTAGCGAATTTGATATTACAATATACAAATGAGAATATCGGTCAGAGACCGAAGACTTATCGATCTGAAGTTAGGGATCCCCCAAAAAGCGCTCTTACTCCATAGTGACACCTTGTGTCCCATCACTAATTAATTATTACCTCGCTAATTATACGACATAATTCATCCAAAATCAACACGCTTCTGACCCGACATATGATGAATGAAAATGCAAAATCTGGAGCAGATTCAATCTCGCTTTCGTGAGATATCGCCTGCATCTAACAGACAGACAGACAAATACCTATCAACATACTTACCGATCTTAAGATCGATAAGTAATAAATCAGATTTGTTTGATAATTTCATTTAGGTAATAAAGTTAAGAATTTGAAGATATGAACAAATTTGAATCTAATCGATTTGGAAGTCTCTCACCCGCAACGTATAGTCTGGACAGCTTGCATATACTATTCGAATCAAATTTGTGACATGGATGACGAAATCATCATCCGGACAATATTTAGCGACCAAAATAATGACGTAAAAATCATTCACTGAGCTAATGTGTAAAAAGAAATATTTTCTAACTCATACCAGAAATAGTAATTAGTTTTTTCATCATTGATTAGGACGATATATAACCTGTACTATAATATAAAATATGAACCTTTTTATCTGAAATATTTTTTTAAATGATTACTACGCAAATTTTATAAAAATACACAAATCTTGCCTTCAATTTCATAGCAAGGCTCAGAGACTTGAAAACTTGTAATCCAATAAATTTACATTTTTCTTCAAACTTCTGAATTTTTGCACGGAACCCCGGTATGTCAGGCCATTGATGATCTTCGATACAGTAAGCAAGCATCAAACATTCCAAATAATCTGATTTTATTATATCCTTTGAATGAGATCTGGTTGATAATAAAATGGAGCTTAGAAATAAAGATCTTGAATATGTAGAAAAGTACAATCATTTTCTGCCCGACCAAGGCTCTGAAGGTACCCCCACCCCTAGGGCCAAGTAATCACCCGAGCATGATGCTAGATCATAGCTAAGATCCTATCGCGCCCAGTATATTATATTAAGACCCAATAATTATTTCTCCTCATAGTCATAATTTTCTATAATTGATTGTGGGAGCAACTCCGGTGACATCGGGCAATATTTATTGCTATATATATTTAGTTCTTCGATTTAACTCATGTAATAAATATCCGGAGATTTAGGCAAATCAGAGATGATATGCAGTATTTTGTTTACCATTACTCCTAATTGGCCAAAGTTATAGCCAAATTTGATTTTCCGCAAAATAATAAAACTCAGCAGAAATTACTTTCGTGCTCCAATTGAAAGATATGTTAATCCAAATCGACCATCAAAATAAGCCTTCTTTTTTTCGATCGGCATAGAGAAAAATTTCTTGGACAACGTGTTAATTTCCAAAATCTCCTCTCTGTAAATTCAGATAGAGTCGCTATGAACATAAAGACTTAATGTTGCGAAATCAACGATAGAAAATTCATTCTCAATTGTCATTAAATACAGCATTATAATTCTATTAGTAACTTTTTATGAAAAACATCAGTAAATTGTTGTGGAACTGGGACACTACCATGACATTTCACTTCACCACGGAATATATTTTCTGGTTAGCTCTTAACATCTTCGTACCAAATGGATGCTTTGCTTTTGCTTTGAAATAATTCGAGGGCGTTAGCATGGCAATAGTAAAGCTAAGGTCACCATAGGTTCACTGCACATATTGCTTAAGTTGAGAAGCATGGAATACCTCATCCAAACTTCGGACATAACATTAGCTATATTTACGTCAATCTTTGTGTAATTCAAATCAATTCGTCGGCAATAAGTTTCACACATTTCAGAGTATATTTCTCAATTTAAGTTTCAACACAAGTTATATAAAAGTCAAAATGTTTTGAATTATTAGATATGTCAACTAACTTATGTAAATGCGTGGACAAGTGGTGTCATACTGTGTAGTATTTGATTTATATTTATAACATAATTTAAAATTATTATAACAGAAATCGCCCATGTGCCCGCACGGTACCACTTAAAATAAAAGAATTTTATAAATAGCCATCAGTAATGAATTTCATTTGCGATGAATATTATTCGGATGAGTCAGAAGTTATTTTATTTGAATTTATCCCATCAAGAAGTTATACTTGCGCAACTTCTTTGCAACAATTATTAAGTTGCTGCTTCTCGCTGCTATCACGCTGTAAGGTATATATGCAAAACCATCTTGTTTTTAGTTCCACAAATTAACTGTGAAGTATGTAATTCCAAGATTTTTATAGCGCAGGTGGTTATTTATACATCGCAAGTTCTATCAGTTATTTCAAAAATACAAGTTCGTGTTATTCACATGATTTTAGAATTGAATTCTGCCTAGAGTTATAGTCAAAATTTTTATACTTTTGAAAGTGGAGAATAAAAAAACTATAATTTTTTGGTTTCTGAAAAATCTAAAATCATTTGAGTCAGTATTTTATTCGAAGTTCGACATTTTTCCTAGCAGCAACATGATAGCTACGCACATCTATAATTTTGCAATGTCGTCACTCAGTGTCCAGCGAGAACTAACCAAGAAAATGTTTCGCATAACTTAGTTCCAACCTCAGCCAGGACTGTATCGTCAATTGTATTTTCATCCCGGAGGCAATCTTTGAAATCTACAACCTGTATTTCTATATTGATTGCATTTGCCGCGCTACCTAATACCTTTACAATAACTCTCTGAATTTCAAAGACGAGTAATTTTCAATCTCTTGTAATATGTCAAGACGTTCAGGTTCCCTGATTCGCCGATACGAACAATATCTAAAATACAGGCGAGTTCTCGTTGGACACGGCCTAGTGCATTTATAGATTGCTCCACTAAATTGCTGATGCTTACAGCTTTCAGGTTGCTGTTATAACACAAATATGAAAAAACATAGAATTTTAGATTTTATTATTCTGATACCGATTCTTTACACTTAACAGTTTGAAATGTTGACTAAAAGTATGAAATTTTGACCCTTGCTTCGACAGATTAAACTGAATGGTTCCGTTTTCATACAATCATGAACGTCTCGATATCTGGACATCAATTTCAAAGGCATGTGCAAAGCATGGGTATCTGGTTTAATGAATCTAGTAATGAGGATTATTTGTACAAAGCCCCCGCCAAAAAAAAAAAAACCTCCGCCGCCGCTCAAAATAAGAAAATTAGTAATCATTCAGGGTTAGGTTTAGAAATGCAGATTGTGCTTGAATTTCAAATTTACAAATCTTACCTAACCCGAAACTTAACCGAACTTGATAAGTACTAAATTGGTATTTTAAAGAGATTCAAAATTACCATATATTTCATATTAATAACGACTAATTCAGGCTCAAAAGTAGAGGTTTAATGACAATATCATAGCAGTTGTTGTAAGCCAGTATTATCCATGGCAATGACGTTTGGGAGAAATACATTGTATTTTTCAAAACCCTTAAAGCACGACAAATTTTTTGGAAACACTCCGCAAGATTTTTCATCGCTATGAATAGCAAAGCGTTCCTATTTTTGAACCAAGCACGTGCGCTATTTCCGATCTAATGGGTGTGTTATGCTTTTTAGTGTTTAGTTGTACCTATACATTCCATATTTATTTAACAAATGAAACGATTTCAAACCACAAACTAAAGTTGTAAATAGTACAATAAAAATGGTTACAATAAAGCGTTAACTAAATTATAAAGATCAATGATAAGAAATTCAGTGCAAGTTCTGAGAAATAATTTGTCTTAGAAATTTCATTGGCGGTCAATTGTACAGAGTATGAATGAGAAGTTTTCAAATAGTTTCATAATGTCTATAAAATCAGCTATTGAGAGCGCAAGGTAAACAAACTGTTGGGAAGTCTGATGAGCAGATTCTTTACAGATTACCAACTTGAGTGTCTTTGTATAAATCCAATGTTTGTGAATGAAGCATAACACATTTAACCTAATGTAAGTCTAACTGTTAACAAAGATCCTTAATACAACCAAATACTCCAATCAGTTAAATAGAAAATAACACAATCATGTATGATACAGGTAGAGACAAATGGCATAGAAACAGGATGGCAGAAATGGCATATCCCAATATCTCCCCTTCGTAAAGGAAAAAGATATTTGTTTTTCAAAATATCACAAAATGACAAAGTGAATAAATAACGAAATAGCAACAGGTAAAGAAACATTTGAACAGCAATAAACAAAGAAATAAAAATTGTTCAGTATTCATTATCAAATGTCTTATTTTATCACATAGAACAGTCAGTATAGTCATGTTCATTCAGACAGCCCTGGCTTGTTGTAAGGCTGTAGGCGGCTCAATGCCAGAGGTAATCTTGGTGGGTGCGTGGCTGGACGAGAAATAGCTGAGGGATTAGTTTGGTTTGACAAAGGGCGAAAAGGTGGGGGCCCCGAATTTGGAGGGTGGTTAGCCCTGGAGATATGGCTAGAATGTGGCAGATTGGGTGATATAGGAATTGTAGCTTGGGGTTCGAACAAAATAGGCTTTAGGAATCTCCGGTTTCGTGTGACTGTTCTCCCAGATCCATCCATTCTAATCAAGTATTTACGGTGTTTGAAGCATTTCACAACTTTTCCTGACCTGTCCCATCTTATGTTGATGGGATTTTGGATTGAACCGTTTGTTCCTTCTTCTAAAAAGGTAGGTCGTGTGCATGTTTGTTGTATTCAGTTTGTAGGTCAATATATTCCTGAGAAAGAGTTTTTTCTCTAGCTTTGGCTGCTTGTGTCCACAGTGGATTGAGCCGTAGGTTTGATGGGTGAATAGGTAAGAAGTCCTTCAGATGCCGAGAAAACAAAAGTTGTGCTGGACTGAGTCCAATATCACGGAGAGGGGTGTTTCGATATTGAAGAAGTGCTTTGCCGAATGAACGACTTTTTGGGGAACCGTCTGGCAGTAAATTGTCCCGGATGAGTCGTTTGGCTGTTTTTACGGCAAGTTCAGCTCGCCCATTTGATTGTGGATAGTGTGCTGACGAGATTCGACCTTTCACACCCCAAATTTCCAGAAATTTCTTGAATTCCTCTGAAGCTCTGAAGTTCTTCAGCACAGCCAAAGCGCGTGAAAAGTTGTTCGAAAACAGGAATGATGCGGTTTGTGGAAGGTGATCGGTGAAAGTGGGCAATTTCAATCCATCCACTGAATCTGTCTGTGATTGCTAAGTAATCGTTACCATTTAGATAAGATAGGGCACAGATTTGTTGAAAAGGCCATTGGGGTGGAGGTGTTGGTATGATAGTTTCTTGAACTTGAGATGGTGCAATATAGGAGCAAGTGGAGCAAGAAGATTTGAAGTTGAGAATGCATTTGTTCATTCCCGGCCAGTACACACAATCTTTTTCCCTAGCGACCATATTTGTGCAGCCCTGGTGGGCACTGTGTAGTGTATGAAGCACAGATGATCTGAGCTGTCGAGGGATAACGAATCTTTTGTTATCTAAAACAATGATCTTGTTGTCGAAACAAGATAGTCTGTTACGTAGTTCCCAATAGGAGCGAACCTCTGGTAAAGTGGCACTTCTTGTGGGAGGGAATCCAGAAGAAATAGTTTCATGTAACAGCTGATGTGATTTGTCAGCTTGACAAGCGTTTTGAAGCCTATCGATAGTTATTGCCCGATCCGTAAGAGGTCCATTCTCGTTTTCAATGTAACAATTTAAGGCTTGTATTGTCTCGTGCATGAGAGACCAAGTGGTGTCGTCCTCTAGTTCAGCAGCAAAGAGGTCTTCATCAGTTGGATTAGAGGCAGAAAGTACTGGATTCCTTGAAAGCGCATCTGGCCCTCTGTGCCTTTTTCCACAACAGTGGTGTATGGAGAAATCGTATTGAGAAACTTTTGATCTGAATCTCAGCACACGTGGGTTGCTGATGTCAGATAGTTGTCGGTTGCTGAACAATGAGATGAGGGGTTTGTGATCGGTTACTACAATGAGATCTTTACAGCCGAGGATGAAAGACTTGGCATGGTCTAAGCTCCAAGCAACCGCAAGCGCTTCGCCTTCGATGGGTGCATAGTTTCTTTCAGCTTGTGAAGTGTGCCGAGAGCCGGCGTATACGAGATGCCAACCATCAGGACAACAATTTGGGGCTTCATTTGTACCGCAGGTACAATATTTCTGTAGAAGTAGGTAGCCAATGCCGTCCTTGCTCCAGTCGCATTGAATCAAAGATGGTCGATGAAGGTCAAATGATTTAATCCCTTCTTCACATAGAGTGATAAGTTTCGCTTTCGATTTCTCAAATATAGATTGAAGAGTGTCGTCCCATATGCATTTGGATCCCTTTTTTATTAGGTCGCGAAATGGGAGCATAATGGGGGAGATGGCGTAAGCCCATGATATTTGGTTTACCAAGCCGTGCCAACTTCGAGCGTCGTGAATGTTTGTCGGAGGTGGAAAGTTTTTGATGGAGTCAAGAAGCGCTGGGGCAGGTGCAATCCCAGCAGGGGTTATTTTAAGGCCAGCAAATATGATGGTATCTTGACAGAATTTGAATTTATCAGGATTGAATACTATCCCCTTTTGAACGCTCAGTGTGAGAAAATCCCAAACTTGATAGAAGGATGATTGAATGTCACTCTCATATAGGCATAGGTCATCCACTACATGCTGTACTTTTTCAATGTTTGACTCTTCTAGAATGAGATCAAGGTTGCGATTGAAAATATCTCCTGCAGATTTAAAACCTTGAATAAGGCGTGTGTTCATAAATCTTCCCCATGGTGTGATGAACGTTGTCAGTGGTTGACTTTCCTCATCTAGTGGAACGCTATGATAGCCATCAGTGAAGTCCAAAATAGACTTTTTCGTGTTAGGAGGAATTTTGCAGGCAGCTTTGAATGGAGATGGATTATAGTGAGCTTCTCGTATGCACTGGGCGTTCAATTTCTGTAAATCAATAGTTCGCCGGATAGATCCATTTTTCTTCAAGAGTGTGTGAACACCCTGGTGTGATCATGCCTGGAGGTACGGGCTTTACCTTTTTCGACATCGTCCAGTAGTTTTTGCTTTGCTGGTTTCTCCATATGTATGGGTATTGGAATCGGTGTGTGGCGTGCATATGGGATAGCCTTCGGTTTGAGGTAGATGTGTGCAGGTGGTCCCTGCATTGTGGGGAATGGTGGAGATCGGTCGAAGGCGGAAGCCTTGAAACTATCCAAAATGTACTGTTTCAGTCTAGTTATGTTGTCCTCAGTCGGAGGAAAAGGAATATACATAGGTCTGGTCGGTAGTGATTGAACCCGTTGATTTGTGATTGAGGGTTTCGAATCGAATATGAAAATATTCGAATCGGTTCAGAGCAAAATTTTGAATCGCCGCCATCTTGTTTTTTTCTCTCCGCCAATGGTCGAGCTAAATTTTTCATTTTTTTGTATTGAAGCCATATTTTTTCAACGCAATTCTGACATATGACTCTTTTCTGTAGCGAGTTATTGATGAAAACGTGTTTTTTATTGTATGTGAACGCTCAGCAATCTGCCTGAGTGATGTATTCTATGTTTTCAGTAATTTATGTGTCTGGGGGCCTAATACAATAAAAAAGTTACATACAATTTTAGGTGCTCCCGAAGTATGCGAACCAAGATGACTGACATCGAAACGTAACATGGGTAACAGGTTAGGGTTAGGCGATAATTTTTTTCCAAGTTTCCTTATTTTAGTCCTATCAGTTTGAAGACTAGCCAAGAGCCTCCCGTAGTATTTATACCTAAAATTATGGCCTAACCCTAACCTAGTACACATATTACATGCCGATGACCGCCATCTTGGTTCGCATACTTCGGGAGCCCCCTCTAAAGTATTCGAGGTTCGATTCGAAAAAATTATTCGATTCGATTCTGAAATCATCAGGTATTCGAAAATGCCCAGCCCTACTTGAGACACTTTAAACCAGTCATATTTATTTATACATACCTCTCTTTATGCTTTCTGAGTGGCATATGGGGTAATATAGGCTAGGGATGGGCAGATGTTGCATATTGCACATACTAGCGAGCAATATCGGAAATTGTTCGCATACTTTTCCTACACACCATTGAAAATCAATAATTTACTGCTTCCCCAGCATTATTCTTTACAATATTATACAAAACATATTGACGCCCAATGATAAGAAGCCGAAGACAAAGAGCTTTTATATTCTGAAAACAGGTTGCCAAACTTTAAATTATGCTTGGTTAAGGTTCTTGTGGGTGACACTTCATATTTTTCCATCTTGTTGTATCGGTTTTCTAATTCAGATATGCTTACAATATGGTTGGTACCGTCGGTTTGAGAGGTTCTTAGGGGCCTGCAAAGATTCTCGATCACAGGTCCAAAAATCGGACTGTTGTACACTACAGGTATACAATTGAAAAATAGTTGCAGTTTATGAACAGAATTGTTTACAATTCTACCTCTGAAGGCAGAAAGCATTAGTCTTTAATTAGATTTACTTTAAATAGTAAGACTGTGTTTTAGCTAAACATTGGAATTCTACGATAGTTTCGATGTTGTATTTAGATTATAAGCGCTTATTTTTAAATTAGTCAAAACAACAGTAATAAATTGTACAAGATGTTGAATCGAGGCGTTTGAGTGTAACAATCAAAATAGCATGATGTAAAGCATTTTTATCACTCATTTTACACACGTTTTATCAATCATTTATAATAGTAACAAGCAATTGCGTAATAAATCATTAAATCTACAGATTGAGTCAATAATAAGTTTCTTTAAAGCGCTTTGCAACAAATTCGTCTGAAGACATTGGTACATCGGTGATTGATATGCTGCCGTCTTCAAATTCTAATTTATCCAACATGACTTCTTTGTCTATTTGAAAGAAAAAGGCCAGCGATCTTCTGGATTGTAACCTTTTATCTCTGTCCTCAGGAATAACGAACGACACGATGCATCTGAAGTGTTTTTTTAATGCTTTCGTTAGAGGAGAAAAAATATGAAAATGCACCGGTAAAATTAGAAAATGCCTGAGATTAGGAAATACAATTGAACAGTGCACATACTATGAATATTCTCTTCTAATATTTGAGTTAAATAATACACACTTAAGTGGTCATCGGATGTGGGATTAACACCATAAATTGTAGCTTTTCACTCAATTGATTAAGAAACATTGGGAATTATTTATCATCAGCAATTTGGTGTGAAATTTTGTCATTGCTTGTTTTGCAGGCAAGAATAAGTATAACTAAACAACCACGTAAGTAAAATCAGATGTAAATATACTGAGTAAATAAATCAGCAGTGATATAAAAACAGGTAAAATACCGTTGATTTAAGTCGTCCACCTGTCCAATATTGCAGTTCATCACCAACGTTGACAAGAATCGAATTCGGAACTTCAGATATATTTTTGTACTCTCCCTCGGAATTCTTTATCTAGTATAGGAATAAGTGACAAGTGAGATAAAATATTACATGTCAATTTCGGCAATACAACGCGAAATAGTCAATTTTTTGAAACGTTCCCACTAATTTTAATGCATTATTATTCTAATACAGTCAACAGTTGGCGCTATACAAAACTGACTGACTACCTATCATTCATTTGTGATTTTTAGCTCGTGGATTCGTATGCTTATAATGCTGCAGTAAAAATATGACTATTCGAATGGATTTGAGAGTTTTGCTGCACACTGCTACAAATGCAATTTTGTTACGTTTCGCTTGATCAAGGTTCCAAATATGTCAAAAATGAATTAATTTTTTCTGATTTATTTGATATATTTATACCAACCTGCAGTCCGCTCAAATCATCGCCGAATAAAAACGTCAAAGATCCAAAATCAGTATGCTCAGGAAACCTAATTTGAACTCCTTCCGATATGACGTCATCATTCACAGGAGGATAATGGAGAAGTTTCAGTATAGACGGATTCTTTTCACAATTAACCGAAAGATGAGATTTGAGGAATTTATCTTTATCCTGTAAAAGGGCAATGCTTGACAAATTTTACGATAAACAATTTTGCCAGGTTTGTGAATAACTGTTAATACGATTCATCAAGTTTATGTATCTTAACATATCGTCTGAGCAATTCAGAGAAAAGAGAATTTAAAAAAAAATTTGTGGTTTGAGATTAAAACGAAAGCACAGTTGGAAGTAATTAGATACATAAAATTAATTTTTAATGAATACACTCTCTTAAAATTTACTCGGTGCAAAAGGATTCATTGGTGCCAAAGCATAGAAAAACTCAGTTAAATGTGTCTCTAAAACAACATATCTATTATCTACAGTTTAAATCTGGAAGTACGCATTCACTTGCCTTTAACTTCATAGCGAGGCCCAGTGACTTGAAAACTTGTAATCCAATAACTTTACATTTTTCTTCAAACTTCTGTATTTTTTCTCGGAATCCAGGTAAATCAGGCCAATACTCGGCTTCGATGAAATATGGAAGCTGCAGACCTTCTACATAATCTGGTTTCTTCACACTTTTCGAATGAGATCTGATTTAATATAAATATGGTGTTCTGTAAATTCATCTTTGAGGGGGTGCAAAACTATTTATGGAAGCTCTGAAATTGTTTTACGTGAACGTAAGTAACTTACCGTGAACGGTATTATATGGCATTTTACGATGTAGTTCTTCTCCGATTAAACTAATCATTCTAAATAATTATTACGGTGATCAAATCAAATTGTCAAAACTTTATGCATTCGAGTTTTTTTAAAACCCGCCAAATTTTTGATTGATTGCCATTGACAGGATTGATTTATTAATGGTCACATGGTACAAGAGGGCAGTTTTTTTACAGCTTGTGTGAAGTAATATAAATTAGAAGCTATCTTTTTGCGGTCAATGCAGATAATTTATTTTTGTTGTTATTTTGTTTTGTTGATTACTTTTTAGTGTGTCGTATTAACCACTATTTCATGAACTGAAACAACTATTTTTGATTACGGCTTGGCATTTATATTGGAACATTTAGGAATGATGTGTGGACCAAATTCAAAATATAAATTCAACTCTATAAAAGAAATCTTATCTGAGGAATCAATCCATCAACCCATGCGCCATTTTATCTATTGTTACTTCTATCCGATCAACGTAACATTTGAATGCAGTTTCTCGCATAATAATAACGCTCGGTAAAAATTACTTCCTCGTTCCAATTGGAACGTAGGTTAATCCAGTGCGTCCGTTGTTGAAAGTCTTCTTCTTTTCTGTCGGCAGTGAGAAAAATTTCTGGGATAAAGTGTCAACTTCCAAAACTTCCTCTCTGTGAATGTAAAAGGGATTCGAGTATTTCAATTATAAACCTCGAAATGGCGATTCATTTTCAAGCAAACTAGCCTACATCTACTTTCAGCACACAGCTTAGCTCTTAAATCATTATGAAACAATGTACATTGTAGTATATTTCGCACTATAAGTTCTAAGGAGATTAAAAAAATTAAACTTTCGATTCATTAGACTCATCAACACGGCAATTGTGCGCTTACCAAAGATGTTCGATATATATAGACTGAACACTTTGAGCTATCGCCCATATGTCAACTGGCATATATACCTGCTTACATACCTCGTTATCACGCTGGTAGTGATGTATGCAAAACCATCTTTGGAGAATGTTTCACATAACTTCGTCCCAGCCTCAGTCAGAGCCGTATCGCCACTTTCATTTTCACCTTTTCTAAAACAATCTTCAAAATCAACAACCTGTATTTCCATATCAATTGCCTTTGCCAAATTACCACATAGCTTGACAATCTATCTTTGCGTACACTGAACGGCCAATGCAAACCTTTCGTAGTATTTAGCGCCGTTCCGCTTTGCTGATAAAGAGTACATATACAAATAAAAAGAACAGGTCAGTTCTCGCTGGATACTGAGTGACGACATTGCAAAATTATAGATGTGCGTAGCTATCCTGTTGCTGCTGGGACGAACTTCGAACTTTGCATAAAATACTGACTCAAATAATTTTAGATTTTTTAGAAACCAAAGAATTATAGTTTTTTTATTCTCCACTTTCAAAAGTATAAAAATTTTGACTATAGCTCTAGGCAGAATTCAATTCTAAAATCATGTGAATAACACGAACTTGTATTTTTGAAATAACTGATAGAACTTGCGATGTATAAATAATACTCACTTGCGCTATAAAAATATTCGAATTACATACTTCACAGTTGATTTGTGGAACTAATTCTGTATCAAAATTCAAAAAGACATTCTAGGCGATATGCATAACAGCTGTTTAGCAGTTTGAGTCAAGGGAACTGTTTTTCGAAGCAATATAATGTTGTAGTCTGAATGGATTTTTGAACTAGGAACATGCCGTATATGCATTACCTAATGTACCTATTCGATGTACCAAGTGAAAATGAAATGTCGTGTAAGACAAAGCATATTTATTTGTGTTTTTCGTGACTGAAGAATTGATCTTTTTACTTGAGCAGAGTATCCAAGGTGCCAAGTAGGAAGTAGTACTGATAAGTGTTGCAAGCTTCCTTCCTAACATAAGCTATATATATATATATATATATATTAATGATTGAATATTGGATGACACGGAAATAGTAACGTCTAAAAAAATACTCTGGTGTATAATCAGTGGAAATGGGTTATGGAACACTTTTTCCTAAGTAATGTAGTTGGCAAACAGCAACTTATAATATGCATGGACAAAATTTCGCTAGCCTGTAGCCTTACAGCGTTATACACGTGAGGCAATACTAACACTAATACCCGAGCGTTAACTTATTTACACGAGAGCAGAGAGATTCCACCTTATAGTAAGTAAATAATGAGAATATTGTGAAAACTTTTTTTTTTAAATAATACATGCTTATTGGTCCAAAGGCTATATATAACTTCAAATATATACTAAAAAATTGTTAAACCTTGGTAACACCGGTGACGAATTTTAACTCGGTTAGTTAATATTAAGTTTCTATAAAGCGCTTTCAATGAACTGCTCTGACGACATTGGTGTCCAACCATTGGTAGTGACTATGTTTATGCCACGACTGGCTAAAATCCCGCGAATTTGCTATGAATATGGGGTATCTATCGATCTTTTAGAGCAGTGATTCCCAACCACTATGCCGCGGCACATTAGTGTGCCGAGAAGAGATTTGATTTTTGAATTTATTTCATGTAATTCCAATTCCCAATCCCTTGAGTTCCGCAAGAATTACCCCACGGCTCTTGCTAACAAACACAAACGAGAAATTTGAGGAGTCGTATTTGGGTATTGTTTCAATTCTAAGGTTTGCATAAAGCGCGCCAACACCGTTTCGTAAAATTAAAAATGTCAAACAAGGTAACAAATTATTGTGCGAGAATTTCCCCAAATTTTACCAAGGAATTATTATTTGACTAGTAAAATTGCCATCATAGCCGATTTATTAAATCATCATTTGAACTCAAAATAACATTTAGAATTCACACAATGACTTTGCAGTTTTTTTTTACTACTCAATAGGAAAATAAAACAGGCACGAAAGAAAAGTAAAATCATAAGAATGTCAACTATCGTCATAGATATCCGCATTCCGGTGTCAGAAATGGTAATATTGTTAGCTTAAAATTGGGACAGGTAATTTACAAACGGCGGGGAAAAGATCAAAGCCGGCGCATAAGATAGAAATCGGAATAAAATTCCGAATTTACTCCTTATTATATGTCGCCGATATGAACGCATAGTTCTTCCAGGGAATATAAAGCCAAACTTCGACGTTCGCCGTTGTGTTATAATTGGTCCTTGTAAAAAAAGAGTACGGGCGGAAATAGCTCACAAACATTAGAATGTCTGTTGTATATATACCAAAAATACCCGATATTCGACAATTCGTTAAAAGTATTCCGAATATTCGATTTGATAAGACGATTCTATTTTACCCTCCCTTGCGACCTTTAATCACGCCAGTAATTTGGCGAAACGCGTGGTAGTCCAAAAACTGTTGCAATCAAACTTCATAAAAACTTCATTTAATTTAGTAAATTGCACTACTTCACAAAAGCGTGGTAGAATTGACGATTATTTCATATCTCGAACACAAAAACGGTTACCTTTTTCGAATAGTTTCTGCGGTCTGAATAGTCGAATAAGCGTTTCGACATAGTAAATGATATGATCATCGCCATCAATATATGCTCGGGCACGAAATTCATAACGGAAAAGATACGTCCAGCGGTTTATAACAACTTTAAACCAATTTAGTGTTTTTAGCAATAATAATTAATTGTTGTAATAAAATACAGTTTGTTTGCCCTTTTATTTCTCTCGCAAGTGCCGACAATAACACTATTGAATGATTTTGGCAATGGGAGAAACATATCAAACTGTAACAAAAAAAATTTAGGTTTTGCAAAAGGGAGAATAACTGTGATAATAATAAGGCCGAAACTCTATTTGATATCTCGGATAAACATTCCGGGTAAAATCTTATGACTTTTGTGGAGATACGAAAGTCGCGATAAATGTACGCAATAGATGTAAGAGTCAAAATAGGAATTTTTGCTTACATTTTTGAAACTATAATTCCGGCTGCGTGTACAGCTGCCCGAATGCAACGTTTTGGCGTAGTTTCGCGGCGATGCAGGGGGTATTTCAATAAAAAATACAAAAAAAAAATTTGATTCAAAACAAGCCCTTGTTTTAAAACACGATGTTTTTTAGAATTGATAAAAAACAAAACCCCTAAATCAATGTGAACGCTTCACTGACAATATTTCTTTCACAGCGGCGACGCAAGGTTAAGTTAAATATTATTAAACAAAGGATTGATTGTCACGATAAATTGTAGTTACGGCCAATATTCGCTGCAATACTACTTGCTCCCGGCCTATAATATGAAAAGAAAAGGCTCCAATTTTTCCTGCTTGTTCTACGAGGAAATTAAACAATGATACTCCTAACTTGTATAAAAGGACACACGACACCCTAATCCGAAGTAAAGCGATGTTTATCAATAATAAGCACCGCCTTTAATAAAAAAAAGGTTTAACATTTAATTAGTCTTGTCAGAGTTGAGATTAACATGAGGGCGTTATATTACGGCAGTGTTGTCGTGATTAGAAATTACGCTACAATAAGATAATTCTAGTTTTCGCGTGTAGTTGTTAGGTCGGTTTATAGATGTGCTCATAGTCCTAATACAGTAGTTCTTGTCAAGAACCGTTCATTGGATCATCTGGTAAATCAGACATACATAACTTCATAAAAATTTCGAAGACATTGGTTTGTTCTAACAGGAAAGTGGAGAGAGATTCAATTGTGGGATTGACCTAAATCTTGTCAGACTTCAGATCGAGTAAATTGATTTAGCGAGTTTCAATATATAATTGAGTTATTTATATTCTTTGGTAGGAATTCTATTGTCTAAATTTTAAAACGAGTCATCGAAATCGGAAAACATTCGAAAAAGAAACAAATTTTCGAGATGGGTAGAAGCTATTCCTATCAAAGACATTACATCTGAAACGGTAGTTAAAACATTTTTTTTGTTCTGGATTTCTAAATATGGCGTACCTGCAATCATCACCAGTGACCGTGGAGGTTGTTTTCAAAGTGTTCTATGGCAAGAAGCAATGCAATTTCTCGGTTCTCAACACATTTCAACAACTAGCTATCACGCAGCCTCAAACGCAGCTGTTGAAAGACAAATACGACAATTAAAAGCATCTCTGATGACTCACTGCCGGAATACTGCAGATTGGTAGCAAAACTTGGGTTTAGTTCCACTTGGCATGCGAACTGCAATTAAACAGGACTTATTGGATACAGTAGCGCCGAACTACTTTATGGAACATCATTGAAATTGCCTGGAGAATTTTTCTCGACTAACCAACCGGGTATCAACACTAACCCTCAGGCGTTTATGAAACGCTTGAGCAATTTCATCAATAAGTTGAAACCAATCACACCAAGAACACCTAAAAATAGAAAGACATTCTTATCACCAGAATTGAATACTTGCAGTCACATATTTCTACGTGTTGACGCAGTTAGAAGACCACTGGTACCACCTTATCAAGGACCTTTTCGTGTTATACAAAAATACGACAAGTTTTTTTTAAATTGATTTTTGAAGGCAAACTGCCACTGTTTCTATGTTAGAGTTAAGCCGGCTCATGAAGAGATTTTTACTCCCGATTACTCAGGACATTCTAATTCAAATACCCCAATACTGAATCTGGACGTACTATATATAGACACAGTATAACGTACCAATATCAACCGATATTGACGACTCTTACTTATTACGCAGAACGAGGAAACTAATAGCAATCAACAAGGTTCAGGATCAATACAATCAAGGACTCGACACGGAAGGACAACTAGACCGCCGCAGAGAGACGATTATGTTTACTATTAAGTGCCTCGCAATCTGTATGTATCTTTTTGTTTATTCGTCTAGTCTGCCATTTAAATCTGCTTTACCAACTCCAACAGTTACAGTAAACCTATGCCACCCCAATAGACCCAAAGCTGAATACTTTATTCAGAAGCCCAATAATTGTACTAAGGAGACACCCCAAACCATTAAGCAATGCTCTGTTACGGTACATGAATTATCTTCTAGCTATACAAATATTACTTTATATGTATGTCAGAAATCTGCTACTAAATGGTCTAGTCATTATTTTTTCTTTGGTGCACATTCGAGTAAACTGACTTCTACCATGATAGAACCACCCACCCCTTTATATTGTGAAGATTGGGTACACACGTTAAAAGCTGATAATATTGGAGATTTAGAACCCACTTCCCCAGATACTTGGTCCACTCAAAACAAGGCAAAAGTTACTTATAGTTGGCCATCCTCTAGACACGGACAAGTGATCAATGCTCATTTGTCTCGTATTCAAATTTCCTATGATTCTTTCCATGGGGTAATGTTAGGTGCTTTCCCTTCAATTTCCACCTGCTACATATTATTAACTGGGTCATGCACGTCAAACTTTAATTTGGAAACATCACCCTTTAATTGATTGTCCTCAATACCAAACAACTGTTACTGAACTTATTTTACATTATAATTCTTCTAATCAGATTTACCGCTTAGATTTTCCAAAACTTGGGCAATCAATCCATAACTGGGGTTCATGTGGCAAGTCAGTTAAAAGATGTTTTAAGTCTGATACTTTTTGTACCAATAATGGTTTGTTATTCGAAACGCAACAATGCATTGCACTTGATGGTTCATCCCTTTTTACTCTTAAATATCCCGCCTTTAATTACGATTATACTGTAAAGAATTTTTCAGAATCTTCTCCTCTAATTGGGTTTATTCAAGAAAGCACTGATAGGGTTTCCGAGGTAATAAACAAATTGACAGCAGATATTAATTATTTGGAATGCCAAATTGAAAGCATTCTAACCACTAATATTAAACTCCTGTCTAAACAATACCCCGGTAAGATCCTAAGTCAGTTACTAGGTGGGAACAGAGCAGCCGTGGGTGATATATTGACCGAAATTGAATGCCAACGTATTAACGTTACCGTTCTTAGGAACCTCTTTTTACATGGTAAATATGCTACCCGACCTTCAGTGCACTTTATTAATAATAGCAATGAAACGATCATTGCACAAATATTCCCTGATTCTAACTCTATGTGGGTATTCATTTTCTTGAAAACTATATGCCTGGTCGTATATCTACGTTTCAAATTGACGGTCGGTTCTATAACTACGTCAATTATACTTTAAATCATGCGGATATGCATGTAAAATTTCTGAGACCCACATTCAAGCCTTTTGTCGACAATTTTAATCCCATCGATTACAATGAAGCATATAACGAATTACCAAGGGGACACCAGGGTTATGATGATATAAATAATATGTTATTATCAATCATTCACATTATCCTTATTCGAGAACGAATATTAATTGAGCAAACCCTACCTAATGCAGATAGCACATCAGACACTGATACTGATGTTATCTCACATGAAGTGCAAGACACTTTTGTTCATGCCCTCTCCTTCTTTAAGACGTCAATTTTATCGGGTATTTATATGCTCTTATTCCATTTATCTCTCATTTGGGCCACTATTTGGACCGTTTGTTTTATCAAGAAACTTTGCCCGAAACTGAGAGATGAAGGACTTCCTAGAATACAACGGCTTCGGCAATACTTGGCTGCTCGCAGGGAACAAGTGAACCCTGTTGAACCACCCCAACCTCTTGTGCAAAACAATAGACAAGATCAGAGGGGTCAAATCTATCAACCTAGACCAAATCCCAATAATAGATCCAATTCGAATTTATACCCTAGTCTGGCAGACTAGTCGAATAGCAATGCTCATATTGTACATATTATATTTTAATATGATTTCTTTCTAGCATTGTGTTTTACAAAGAATTACTTTGTGCAATTACATCAATACCTATAACACTAAAATATCTCATGTATCACTATCTCAGGAATAACTATATTTACTCTACCTTCATACAGCTTAAAATATTATTCTTTATTTTTAGTTGAATTTCATGAAAACAGCACGTCATTTCCGCCTTCACAGCCCAAATTGCAACCTTAGAATTCTCCGAACTCCTGCGGGGGAGTTATGTAGCCAATTAGTTGTTATATAACTACAAAACTACACCAAATTGGCCCAATTCGTGAGAAACTCAAAAACAGAAACTCAAAAACAGAATTAATTATTCCCGTTATAGCAATTATCAATTTCTCAAAATCCAATTTCAAGTTTTAATAGCTTTTCGGTGGCATCCCATGTAAAAATAAAATTTATTTCCAGTAATATTCCAATAACGTAAATTCGAAATATCATAATTTGGTTAAAACCAAATTATCCACTTGAAAACAACTTTTTACATCTCATAATTGGAGTAAGTACGTGACCAGGAACACGGTGACTTGGCAATAACAAGTTAATTGCTAGTAATGAACTTTAAGAAAACACTTTTTATAATGTTCAATTATAGTGAACCGAAAGCTAACCAGAAACCGGAATGACGCGTGATTCTTTAATTGTTAATTTAAAAATCTGTTTCTTTATTATATTTTAATTGCTTGGTAGAAAGCTATATATTCAGCAATGTGTTTTGTGTTAATCAGACTAGATTTGATCTAATTGTGTGTGCATTGTATTTCTCTATATTTTGTCGGAATCGCAATAAACTCATAAGGTGTTTTCAAACGTCTCTTTACTACAGCCGAAGGCTATCGATAAGGTGTTTTTAAACGTCTCTTTACTACAGCCGAAGGCTATCGACAGATAGACAGTTTGAGTTAATGAACGCAAGACCAAATTATTGTCAATCAATGCTGGGATTATAATATACAAACCAGACCAATCTACAAACAATCTATGTGTAGTGATAACTAATCCCTATAGAGTTACGTTAAATCTATATTAAAAAAAGTTTTCTGCTCATGAGCTCAAAATATATCTGAAAAGACTAAAATGTGCGTGAAAAGGTCCAATTGACTTGAGTTTCTAGTGAAGAACGGCGCAATAAGTACGGTGGGTTTCATTCTGCGACACAGGTATTCAACGAGCAATAAAAATATAATGCATAATTCAAATTGGACCTGTTGATTTACTTTGATTAGTTTTGTGAAAAAAGATTATATGCGATGCGATGTTTGCAGAAATAACTTTTTTCAACTTTTTATAGTAGAACGAATTATATATATATACACTCACGATGTTATATTTTCGCTTTTATTCGGCCTTCTTCCATGCAATATATATTCGATTGTGCCGCTTATCGCTTGTGGATAGTTGTGATAAAAATATAAAACAAAAATGTTGAAACTGAGATAGGTATCCGATATAGATTAGGGGGAATATCATTAAACTTTTGCACTATTTCGATTAACCTTTTCAACTATTGTTGAATGTTTCGAGTTAGGGTTGGTTTTGACTTTTGTATTTGAAGTTGCACACCATCAAGTTTACAGTTTTTTCTTACGTATGAAATGTAGAGTGAATGTAGATTACTATTCCTAAAAAATGTATTTGATTCAAAATTAAATCTTCATTTTTATAGAAAAATTTAGTGCAATTTTAACGACTTTCTTCATTGCTTGTTTTCATTTGTATTCAATTTTGTTTTTCAAAAAAAAAGCGGAAAGACGTTTTTATTTTACACCGTTGCTGAAATAATACCCTGTACAAATAAGTAAAAATAGTTATCAAACAAAACTATAGCGCTTATAGCTACATTGAAAAGATAGACAATAGATTGATAAATGACTTTATTAACTTCATTGAAATAATTACAAATTTTCTTTTGAAATGACATCATAAAATATCATCGCAAATAAAGATGAACTGCATCCAGGTAGACATTATGTCGGTAGTTCCCATGCGATATCAGAACCAACCAACCGTATTGATCATATCAACTTTTGGGTGAAATGCACTTGAGTTTTACTTGTGGTCTTCACTCCCATATGTTCGCTGTGGCGCAAAACCCAGCAAAGGTAAACCGGCGACATGATGAAGATATAACACAAAATAGGTTGCGATTTTTATCAACGATCAATGTAAGTTCTCAGGTAACATGCAATGGTTGCTATTTATGATATACAATGCCAAAAAAAAATTAAGCATTATGAACTAAAACAAACACACTTTGTTTGCTTTATTTAAGAATAGTGTTTACTTTGAAATAATACCCACATAAATAGTAAGTTTTTTCCAATTCCAAGTACAGTATCGTAATAATTCTGATAAAAAAATCGATAAAAAAGGATTCTCAATGATATGATTTGTGCACAGAAAGAATAATATATTGATCACGGTATAAAAATAACACTAGTGTTGAGCACACAGATATATTATTTTATACAACAGAGCAATGTTCGTATATGCACACAATGGCCAAAACTAACTATCAATTTTTTTTACAATACCGGTAGTTCGAATTCAAAGTGAAACACGAACCCCATAGAGTCCACAGAAATTTTGGAAATAAATAAAAGTAATAGCTTTTTAGCGACAACAGCAACCTTCAATCACTATATCGAAGCAATTAGTCAGCAAGCAAATTACGCTCACTTTACCTCGAGGATAGAAAGGGCACAAGCAACTTTAAATTTGATTCTGTAATACGGAAGTTACAGTACGATTTTTCCTCCCGTTTTGCTGACTTTCGTTCTCTTGAAAACGAATTCAGGCTGCTTGATACTCTGTTTGATGTCAACGTGGAGACGGTTGCAGAAAATTTTGTTCGGTTGCAGAAAATGTAGCTTCTTGAGATGCAATACAGTAGGGGAATAAAGTTCAATTTTTATCCGAGAGATGTGCCACCGCTTGATTTTTATAAAAAAGTATCTTCTTTGAAGAAATCTCTATCCAAATTTGACAAACCATGCAAAAAAATTCACATCGATGTTTGTAAGTACATATGCGTGCGAACAATTATTTTCGAAAATGAACATTACTAAGAACGAGCGGAGTACTAAGATTAGTGAAATGTTCTAATCTTGACTTCATTCAGTGTGTCACCTGCGGTTGAAAAGCTATCAAGCGTAATGCAACAACAAGTGTACCACTAAATGTCATCTGCAAATTTTTTGCCTAGTAAGACAACTTGAATCCACGAGTCGTCGCATTGTTCGCTCGCTATTTAAAGTCTAAAATTTCAGCTCCCGATCTGCGTAAAAAATGTGATTCATTAACCACCCGTTCGGTTTTTAACTTTCTTCAAAAAAATATGTGCGGCCCGCCTAGATTTACAGGCCTTAAATTTGGCCCTCGATTGGCAAGAGGTTGCCGAACCTTGCCCTAAATTAATCGCGACGCAAATGTTTCAGTGCAGATAATTTCTTCAGCTTAAAATTTCTAAAAATATATTTTTGTACGCATTGCCCAAACCGACTCTAAACAAGCACTGAAATGAGTATTTTATATTTTATGAATAAAATTCCTTGAAAATAGAAGAATTTCTGCTAATTTTGCCAGGTTTGATATGCAATCTTAAACTCAATAGCAACGAGGTAGAATGGTATTAATGACGATTTCTGGGCGTTGGCACTCTTATGAACTTCTTGTAATACTCGAAGTCGTTAAATTCTAGATGCTCTAAGTCTAAGATATTCATTCTCTACTTGTGACAAACATCTCTGGTCGTTTTTACATAGGGATAATATTATAAAAGTATGCCACGGGTATATCATTTTCGTTTTATTTGTAATTGATATTTACGGAATTTATTCGTTTTGCTCCATTCTAAATATTGTGCACTTTGCTCTATATAAATTGGGCCGATGCTCTTATTCAAAACGCAGAAGCTCCAGTTGCAATGACATTAAATTAACACAGATTTTTTTTGGAATATCATTTCTCATTCACCCCGTGCATTCAGGCAAGAGAAAAAATAGCTTGCTCGTTAAATGTCAAGATACTGAAAGATTGAAGGGTGCATTGAGTATTTTGATAATTGTGCAAATGCATCTATATTGTAATGTAAATAAACGCACCGTACTTTGACAGATGGAATGTTTCAGTACTAGGCAGACAATCCCTAACGTCAAATCAAGTTTATTTATTATTATTGAGCACAAATCACGAGAATGTGGTAATTACCCAGTTTCAATGGGGAAGGGTTGATAGAATCCCAAGACTATCGACCAGCGACATTCAAAAAGTGTATTCATCTACTTCAAAAAGTATATAATTTTTGAGTTTTAAAACGGCGCTCCGGAAGTGTTTGTACCGATATGGGGGTAACTAATTCTTTTCCGCTTATTTACATCAAGTAGTGTGAAGGGCCTGGAACCTATGGCCAGAAGGATATTCACTTGGCTAACACAGACAGTCCCCGAACTCGTAATAGAACTAAAATAAGGAAAATTGGAATAAAATTATACTCTAGCCCCTCCAAGTATTGGAGGTGAGTATCCGTACGAATAATTCAACAAACGGATATACGGGAATTAGTTTGGGGAATTTCGAAGGTGAACTAGCCGTCCACGTAGTTACGATGTGAAGTGTTAGGCCGCGTGCACTGATAAAGCGAGTCAGGTGTAATAAATCAAATTGACACAATAGGTTTCATAATGAAAATAGTTACATTTGACCATTACCGGGAAACGGTAGCCTACCGGTATCTCTTGTACAGGTTACAGTAGATGATACCGTATATAAATATATTTGAACATTAAACAGTGTTTCAGATATAAATTGACCTTTAAGTTTAGTGGCAAGCAGATGTCCGGGATATAAAATAGCATCGGGAGAAATAATTGAAGTGTTCAGTGAAAAAGTGAGGCAGAAAGTACGAAGAACAAATGCATATAAATTAGAAGAAAACAACGAATGAAAAATCTTGACATCAGGTAAAGCGAAATTGTAATAACAAAATCGTATATCAGTGCTTGTTAGAAGAAAACAGCTTTTGAATCTTTTTTAAATGGCTGTATTTTACGAAATCTTCTATGCTTCGTCATCGACCACCAAAGCCTACAAAATAATATTGATATAATTGTGTTTGTATTTTGATGAGTATCATTTTTTGCATGTCGCTGTCTTTGTTGTATTTAAATATATTAGGTATATTTTGGTTGATAATACAAAACTCTGTGTTCTGCCAGTTTCATGTGACTGGTAAATGTGGGTGTCTCAAAAATGCCGTTCTAATTCTATCATCATGCGTAATTAGACGAAGACAAAAGAACAGCAAATTAGATTAAAGATAGTAAATTACATTTTCCGGTACATCAAATTTAAATTCAGCCATCAATAGAGACAATGCCTTTTGTCAAAGTAGCATGCTGGGCCTTTTCTTTCTCATTTTGCTTATCCCACAAAATCGAATATATTCTTCCCTTCACTTACCCCAGGAAACTATATTATTCAATTGTGATTTTAATTCATTTTGGGCAATCCTTGACATGGAAACAATGCTTATCTTTTTACACATTTCTTTCTTTTGGCAAAAATGCAATCATGATAGGTTTTGTTGAAATACTTTTCACTGAGTTTATTTTTCTTTAATTTTTACCACATTTGGCTTTAATTTTTAAATAGAACAAGAATACCTAAGAATTTGATACGCAACACTGCAATATTTAACCAAAACCCGTATGGTTCACATTTTGGCAAAATAAGCCATATTCTATCAAAGACACTATTATCACCCTTGAGTGACACATACCATACAGGCATAAGAACCGCACATTTACCTCTTATATTTCGCCCATTCATATGATATGGTCTCACCACTCAAGGGTGTGCTGTATTTAAGCCTAAATTTTTATTTCTTCAATATGTATATGTGTATTTGGTGTTGTGTTTTTATATATACCGGTATTGTCTTGTCTTATAAACAACTTTGTATACTTCTCCCTTACCACTCTCTCCACACCAACCCATCGCCTCACTTCGCACAACTGTCTGTATAAGGGACCATATGATACGTATTTTTTCTAATAATTTATGTTTTATATTTGTCTCAAGGGGTGCATGCCGCTCGTTTGTGCTTTAGGCCAGCACGGTCTTGTGCGTGCATCCCGTCTCCAATATTATTACTTGTCAATTTATTTATATTGCTCACTATTGCGGGACAAATAAACATACATGGAGTTGATTAATTGTTTAGGAGTGAGCTTAGAGCTTTTTGCCGTGGAACGCGGCGAAGCTATTGCTAAAAGTCAGGTACCGAACATAATTTGTTCACAAAAGCTATTGGCGCCAAATGTGTTCAGATTACACCAAGCTTTTGTTTGCTAATTTACACACGCGGACGAGAATAATTAACCCCAATATTAAATTAATGAGTAGTTACGGCCTTCATTCTAGACGAAGATAACGTATAATTACTGCCGTTTAACTAGGCCCAATTGCTTTCTTTTGTCAGTATTTAAATGATTAAACAAATCGTATTACCCATAATATGGCCGAGTCACTGTTACTTGACTGCAACACGTAGAGTGTATTGTTCGTATATACAGCAGCGCAATAGTCTTCCACGGCAACGAATGGATCAGATATAGTAAAGAGATAAGATAAGTTTATTTCGACTCCATAATCAGCAAAAAGGCGATAAAATGGTTGGTAAAAACAAATAAATAAAAACTGATTATAAAATCAGGAGAGTAATAGACTAGATAGACAGATAGACTATATAGAATAGACAGTGTTATTCAACCGAGTGTATACCAAATCAGATCATGGGTATATAAAAAAAATGGTTCGATTTGGTGAAGGGAAACCAATGACACATGCTCGATACAAAACAATTGGTATACGAGGGTTTACAGCTATGGTCAGGTCGAATAACTCTTCACCACCATCTGAGGTGAGCAAACTGCGGCCCATGGGTCAAGTGCGGTTCGCAAAGAAAAATTGTGCGGCCTGCGGAGACGTGCCAATTTTGAATAATGTGCCTGCGAAACGAGTTTTTCGTTTAGGTAATCTGGTACGCGCGAGCAATTACAATCTCTTTGCGTCTCAAAGCCTATACCAGTCACCCAATGCCACTGTCGTATTAGTTTTGCGATGATTAGCCATTGCTGTGTTCTGTGTTATGTCTTAAAAAAACAAAATAAAATAAAATAACGTCAATGGGTCGCCATAAGCTTTGGTAATAAATAGTGGGTCCCAACTCTAAAAAGTTTGGAAACCACTGATCCGTTCTAAGCCCAGACAAATCTTGGACATAATATTTGTCTAAATTATAATAATGGTTGAAATACCGAATAGAATAATAGATTTCAATTGATTCCAAACCCTAATACTAATTATACGGTTGAAATCCAAATAAGAAATAATGAAAACTATGAAAAACACTATATTATCAACTCTCGGATGTAGGCCGGAAAACACGGCACAGATCGGTCGATACAAGGGAGCATTGCTAAGACTTCATAAACGGGGAAATAGGGCACTGACCTATTTAATTAAGTTACATATTTTTAAACAAGTCAAACAACAATTCAAGTTACGGCCAATATTCGCTACTAGTATTTGCTCCAGGCCTATAATATATATGAAAAGAAAAGGCTCCAATTTTTCCTGCTTCTTCTACAAGGAAATTAAACAATGATACTTCTAACTTGTATAAAAGGACACACGACACCCTAATCCGAAGTAAAGTGATGTTTATCAATAATAAGCACCGCCTTTAATAAAAAAAAAAGGTTTAACATTTAATTAAAGTCTTGTCAGAGTTGAGATTAACATGAGGGCGTTATATTACGGCAGTGTTGTCGTGATTAGAAATTACGCTACAATAAGATAATTCTAGTTTTCGCGTGTAGTTGTTAGGTCGGTTTATAGATGTGCTCATAGTCCTAATACAGTAGTTCTTGTCAAGAACCGTTCATTGGATCATCTGGTAATTCAGACATACATAACTTCAAAAAATTTTCGAAGACATTGGTTTGTTCTAACAAGAAAGTGGAGAGAGATTCAATTGTGGGATTGACCTAAACCTTGTCATACTTCAGATCGAGTAAATTGATTTAGCGAGTTTCAATATATAATTGAGTTATTTATATTTGTATATTTGGTAGGAATTGTCTAACTGTCTTCTATTGTCTAAATCTTAAAACGAGTCATCGAAATCGGAAAACATTAGAAAAAGAAAGGGGATAATGGATTCAAAGGTGGGTGATACTGTGTACTATTGTGACTTTTTATTTCTTAGTTTGACTTTAGTACCAAAGAATGAACTATCAAAGTTGATTAACATATCTTTAAGATATTTGCGCGTTGCACATATTAGATATATCTGAAATACTGTTGATTTTTCGAAATTTTCAGTGCAGTTGTCATCGATACCCCGGATTATTACCGTGATACATTTTTAACTGCTGAATGATAGTCGTTTTTTTGCTGAAATTTGTCATATGATACTCCATGTTAATACCACGATTGTGAATTAGGAGGTTTGCATATTTTCACTGGGATCGGAGCCGGATTCGTATTTTTGAACTTCAACGCATTCAATTAATGATTCAGTCAGATTTCTCACAGAAACTCAAAAGGAAATCCGTTTAATGATCGACTTGCATATGCAAAAAATTTTTTTGTTTTGTATTTGTCGAAGTTGGGAGATATAATCGATTTATCAACCCATATTCGGAGTCAACTCACAGTCCATATAGCCACTACCCGTTTTTTTAGGGAAATAACAAAAAAATATATAATTTGTACACATATATATAAAACAAACCTACCAATTTAGGCGTTCGCGCTTTTGTTTTAAAATTCTTGATTGCAATCATACCAAGACTGCAAAAACGGGATAAGCCGCTACTGTGCTTGCCAAGCCATTTTTTTAGTTTGTTATTAATTCAGCCATGTTGAAGCAACGACCTCGAAATGAACAAGAATCAAATTCAAGACTCCTTTTAGATTATTAATCGTTAGCTCTTTTCATTAAGATTGTTCACATATTTCAAAAAGACAGTGGCTCAACACGTGATGACGTTTGCAGATATTTAACGAAAAATGTAAACGGACGACAGGTCTGTGGGAATTATTGTGTTTGTCCAACAAAACTGAATAGTTTTATGCACATTATACTATACTGTTCTATGTAAGCACTTTTTATAGTAACAGAAAAGGCATATGCTCAAACCTCAATATCCTCAAACTTACAAGCATGATATAAAAGTGGATTTTATCGTAAATGACAACATCAAAAATCCCCAACATAATTTACATATCTCTTGACTACACTGACAGCCAAACTATTTTCCAGAACATTGATGATAGCTTTTACGTATTTGACCTTGGAGAATTAACAAAGCTGTACGCTCTGTTGGTAGAACTGCTTCCCCGAGTAAAACCATTCTATGCAGTAAAAGCTTCTCCTTATGATACAGTGATCAGTGCGTTGATGGAACTAGGTACAGGATTTTATTGTGGAAGCCAGGTAATTAGTGTTTTGTATATAACTTTCTTCAAATATTATTGTTGACGTGGACCCTAAAAAACATTGTTTTTATTAATGCGCTATCTCTAAAGTATACGCTGAGTAGAAGACTGAATCATTTATTTTCGCAATTTCTTTACATCCATATGTGAATTATTGGTGCCGTATTAGGTTGAAAACTTGAAGCAAGAATGATAAGTGTGTTCAGATACAAAGTACTTTGATAAAATATATACTTTAATGAAATTCTAGGAAAATCGTTTCGTTTGGCTCAATCATAATTTTGTGTAAGTGTACTTACCAAGCAATACAACTTTTATCGTTCGCTTCTGTATCTATAGGATGAACTTCTTCAAGCAAAAAGACTTGGTGTGAATTCCAAAAAAATAATCATGGCAAATCCCTGTAAGCAAATTTCACATTTGCAGACAGCAAAGAAACATGGAGTAAAAATGATGGTTTTCGACAACGAAGATGAATTGAAAAAACTGAAAAAATATCATCCAACGTCACGGTATGTACAGCATTAGTGTTATTTTTCTGTATATGTTATTGTATACCTATTACAAGTCTGAGATTTTTTTAGATTGGTTCTGAGAATTCACGTTCAAGAGGATGGCAAGAAAAATTATTTTAGTTTAAAATATGGAGTTACGTCCAAAAAAGCAAGGGATCTTATACTAATGGCGAAAGAATTTCACATGGACGTCGTCGGCATCAGGTTCGTATTTTCACTCAGATTAGATTATTTCTAAATCAGAATGGTCGTTAGTTTTGCAAAAATTGCACTTATAAGATATGTGATAATTAGATGACTATCTCGTTGATTATGTTACAATAATGTTACTATTTTAGCAGTTTAATCATTGATTATGATAATGTCATCACATTGGTATTAATTAAAACCACGAGTTTGATACGGAGTAATACTGCCGACGTTTCGAACATATACCATGCACAATTCTTTATGAAAACAAATAAAAAACGAATGATGAATCGCATCTGGATAACTAATATAAACGTTTACAGAATTATGTACTTTACTTGTTCACAGTTTCCATGTCGGCGCTTTACTGGGAGATAAATCAGATCAGTATAAACGAGCGTTGTTAGACGCAAAAGAGTTATTCGATTTCGCTGAGAAGAATAATATATCGTTCAGTTTGCTTGATATCGGCGGGGGTTTTAGAGTGACGGATCCTTTCTTACAACAGGTATGGTAATGGTTAAGTACGAATAACGATTTATGTAGGAATGTATGCTCACGATAGAAAAGCATTATTCAAAATTTGTCCATAGTTTACAGTATATTCATTTCTATTTCAAAAAACAAATCGTGACATTTTGATGTGGCCGTTTTCCTTGACATTCGTGAATGATTAAGCCTTTATATAACTTTCTTACTCGCATGCGTTTATAAGTTATTTCCATGTTCCCTGACTACGTTGATCTGAATTGTATCTATCGCGGACGTACTGTCGAAACAAACTATACGACTTGATCTATGCGACCAAACAGATGTTTTCTTGTTAAGACTACGTCTTCGATCAACATTATTCTTGAAGAGCTGTTTCCAGTTTCAAAACATCCCGATTTGGAGATAATATCTGAACCAGGAGCTTTTCTTACTGACACTGCTTTCACACTGGCAACGAATGTAATAGGGAGAAGAGGTGAATGCCGTTTTTAAAATTGATTTAGGTTATGCGTTCGCATAAGTGAAATCTACGACTCGAAACGTAACAATTTATCTCCTCATATATGGATATAGACTTCTATTTATACTAAATACGGAGTAAACATTTTTGATTTAAGTTTTGGGGCCTGAGCGCATATTGAATATATGATGCCAAATTCACTTTCAACCTTAATTTTTATTAAGATACAAATGAATACTCATATTACGTTGTACAATTTAGATCCTGTAAAAGAATTGAAATAGCCCAAAATGAAAACTCGTTTAATGAAAATTTAAACGAGTATTGTGCGCTGGTATTAAAAACTACATATTTTCCATCTATTGTTAAAACTTCAATCATTTTTTGTTAATTTCAAATGTATGCTTGGTATTGATTTATTGCACACAAAAAATAGTGTTTTTTTTTTAACCAGAAATTGAAGATCTCGAAAGTACTTACCACTATTATGTGAATGATGGAAAATTTGGATCTTTTCTCAGTCAGTTCATGTTGAATAGAGACATGGGATATTTTTTCATATCTGAGGTAGGCACCCTGTATTTTCAAGTTTTGATAGGATAAATCAACACAGCTGTAATATATACACTGCTATATTCACGATGTACTGTACTGATATAGTCGAATATATCATTTATTTATTATATGTCGTACAGTCAATGAAGCAAAAATCAACATTCAAGTCCAGAGTTTGGGGTCCAGTATTGACATCTATGGATGAAGTGATAGACAATGTTTTTCTTCCCCAACTTGACATAGGAGATTGGATATTCTGGAGAAGTGAGTTTGATGTATTTACTTTAAAGCAGGAGTGAACTGCGGCTCTCACCCGGTGCATTCAATGAGAATGTCATTTGCAGTTGACTTGCTTTCATTTATGTTTACAATTTTTCGGCATTATCCGTTGGATGGGATTAAACCATTATTGTTTTTACAATCCTGGATATACAAGTAATCGCGGTTCTACCTATTATGCATCCGCTGTTAACTGAACATAATTAAACTTGTTACTGGAAATGTAACAGATCTAAGACCTTTACTGACAACATGCGTGAATGGTGATTGATCAGTTGCCAGATTCCTCCAACCGAGTATAGCCACAAACCTTACTTAAATTCATCATTGCTGGTTTTCAATTTATTGTATGTATAGAAAAAAAATTCAACACAAATAAAATATTAAACCTTCCTTGATAGGGTTAATACAAGGTAGAAATAAATCTAAATTTTGCAGATGAGTTACATTAACGATGTAAATTTGACACTTGTTAAACGTATTAATAAAGTAGTGTCAAAAACAAGAAGGGAATCAAATTATAATTGTACTGCATATTCAGTATACAACTATATGATTGAATATGGCATTTTTATCTGTGGGAACTTATAATGTTATATTTAGATTATCGCGTTGTCGACCCTACCGTTATCGAATTTTACTAATGCCGGTATTGCTTTTTTGTACAGTTAAAAAACTTATCAGTCTTTTAAGTACGAATAGCTCACAGAGCTACTAGATTTCACTTACGAAGCTTTGAAGCTCCGTATGAGCCAATTTTTGAAACTTTTCGAAGTTTTTGAAGTATATAGGCTACGGGTCAAGAATAAATAATTTAAACTAACAACAACCATGGTTTTTTATGCTTGTAGTTTCGTAACGTGTCGTTCATTAGATCACTTTTATTATGCAAAAATATCGGATAGTGTATCTGCCAATGATTATATTTTCGTTTTCATTTTTTAGATATGGGAGCATATTCTTTTGCATTCAATTCTAGTTTCAATGGATATAGAACAAAAACATTTTATGATGTCATTTCAAAAGAAGATTTGTGAGTATCATAGTGAAGCCAATACAATTATTTATAAATCTTTCATTTAATTTATCTGTTTAGTAATCATTTCTAGTAATATTTTATTTGCTAATCATTTTTGATTTTTTGTACAGGATACTTTTTCAGCAATTGCGCAAGAAGGAAACGTCTTCCCGTTTTTGTTTCCAAAACTTAGAATATAAATGAAGAAGGAGAGTAACGAGGAACTCGCTCGATTTATTGTTACAAATATATGATCCGCATAGATTTAAAGTGACATATAAGGAAGCTAGAACTCGTTGCAGTAACTTTTGATAAATACATCATTATTTATTTGCAACTGCTTTTTATTATGGAAGAGTTTTAAAAATAATAAATTACACCTACTTAACATTCAGTGCTTTATTGGCTATAGTAATTATGTAGATACGAGTATGTGCATTTCACATTTTCTCGACTGTTCTCGAAAAAAATATAGAAATACAGTTGTTTTGATTTCATCTGCAAATTCTCATCCTTCACTATGTTAATTCAGGCATGAGAAAAAAATAGATGTTTGCTCGTTAAGTTAAGTTGAGTCACGATGTTATAGATCGAAAAGTTCATTGAGTATTATAATAATTGTACAAATGCATTTATATTGTAATGTAATTGAAGGTACCGTACGTTAGCAGCTGGAATGTTTCAGTGCTAGGCAGACAATCCCTAACGTCAAATTAAGTTTATTTTTTGGGCACAAATCACGAGAAAATGACAATTACACAGTTTTACTGTTCTATCCAAGGTTCTAATATCTACTTCAAAAAGTGTAGAATTTTAAAACTGTTGATATTAGCGGTGAGTATCCGTACGAATAATTCAACTAACACTTCTTACCAGATAAGGATAATCAGTAGAGATTATTTTAGAATCATAAGATCAACTGGTGTACTGGGAATTAGTTTGGGAAATTTCGAAGGCGACCTAGCCGGATTTATTGGCAACTCAGCCAGCATACGCCCGAGATCCAAAATAGCATTGGGAAAATAACTGAAGTGTCCAGTGAAAAAACTGAGGCAGAATAACAAAAAAAACAAATGTGTATGCATTACAAGAAAACAATGGATGGAAAATCTTGACATCAGGTAAGGCGAAATTGTAATAACGCAATCCTATATCTGTGCATTATAGAAAAAGGCAGCTTTAGAATTTTTTTAAATTGCTCAATTATATAGAAATCTTCTGTGCTTCGTCATCTAAAAACCGTCATCCAAAACCTGCATAATGAAATTGATGCAATTGTGTGTATTTTGATGAGTATCATTACTCCATGTCGCTGTCTTTGTAATCAATTATATTTGTCTTGGTAGCCAATTATATTTTAGTTGCTAATACAAACTCTGTGTTCTACCTATCTTTTTCATTTGTCTGGTAAAATTAACCGGTTAACCGCAGCGTGACGTTTGACGTAATAATTTTAGTCCATTACGTAATAATGGTTACAAAGCAATTTGCCTGATCTTATTCCGGTATCTCTTAAAATTATTCACGAATTGAGATAGTTTCGAGATAGTTAGTTTCGTGATCGCTCTGCTGCAAGAGATATGCAGCGTTCTTCGGACATATGGAAGTATTTTAGTAAAACCCGATTCCGTTACTAAATGTCAACCATGTGAAAAAAATTTTAGTGCTTGATGTGCAAATTCTACTTCGAGATATCATATAGAAAACAGCATTGACTACGTACATTAAATGGACGATTTTTAAATAAAATCGTGAACAATAATATATTTTTACCGAAAACCGATTCTGAATTCATCATTGTCAAATTTTCATAATCAGCAATTTTGGTACTTCAAATATTTTCCACATTTATTGGGTCCTTAGCAATACAGTTGGTGGTATTCTTTTGGATTAAACGTCACAGGAGATAAATTTGCGATGACGTAATCCTTTTAGAAGAAACGTACATTATAGAGATGATTTGTACCTGAAATGTCAGTCAACGGTTAAAATGAATCGTAATCGTTCACCATCTAAAATCGTTTAACCGATTAACCATTCCCAGCCCTAGTGTCTGGTTAAAGTTGCCACGTCAGAAAGCGCCGACACTATATTTCGTCCATTCCTATTCTAAATTGATTTGCGGCAGTTTTGCCCTTACTAACGCTAAACTGTAACCTGACGACGAAATGACCACTGAGTTCCCTCATTGTCTCGTTTCGTGCAGGTATTCAGTCACTCAATGTCAATCAGTCAATGTCAAAACATATAGTTGCATGAAACGTGACATGACTGAATTATTGTTTTCTGACATGAAGGTTGCAACTTAAATAGATATGTAACAATTGTACAATTAGTATTTCATATGGAGAAAAATAAAAATTCAATAGCGTATTTAGTATTTTTTGTAATCACTCCTAGTGGTTCATCAGTAAACATACTCCATGATGACCTTTTTCACAAAAATAAGTTATTCTCCAAGCCCAAGAGTAGTAAAGGGGTAGGATACATTAAACATAAAAGCCTTTTTTTTAAATACGGAAGGGTAAAGCGTCCCATTATAAAGTACAATAACATTGTAATACATATGTAGACATACATATGTGACATAAAAACAACTCTATTTCCGTATTATTTTCGAGAACAGTCGGATAAATGTGAAATTCACATATCTACATAAATATTATATCCAATAGGGCACAAAATGTAAAGTAGGTGTAATTTAATATTTCTAAATTTCTTCTATAATACAAAGCAATAATAATATTAAATGGTGCATTTATCAAAAGTTACTGCAACTTGTTCTATCTTCCTTATATGTCACTTTAAATCTATGTGAATAATATATTTGTAACAATAAATAGAGCGAGTTCCTCGTTACTCCCCCTTTTCATTTATATTCTAAGTTTTTGAAACAAAAACGGGAAGACGTTTTCTTCTTGCACAATTGCTGAAAAAGTAACCTGTACGAAGAATTAAGAAGAATTACCAAAAAACTATAGCAATGATTACTATACAGACAAATCAAACAAAATATTTATAAATAATTGTATTAGCTTTATTATAATACTCACAAATCTTCTTTTGAAATGACATCATAAAATGTTTTTGTTTTATACCCATTGAAACTAGAATTGAATGCGAAAGAATATGCTCCCATATCTAAAAAATCAAAACACAAAAATAGTCAGTGACATACGATACCTGATGCATAATAGAATGAACTAATAAACGACACGTTAACAAACTACAAGCGAGCAACCATGGTTGTTGTTAGTTTAAATTATTTATTTTTGATGAATCTTTCCTTGGAGACCGGGAGGTCCACACTATCTCAAGACATTCAGTGGTTAGTTTGAGTATAGACAAGTTACTGGATGCATCGACATCTGTTTTCCATATACTTTGAAGTATCAATGCTATTATTGTCCCTCTACAGTAAATAGAACTCACTTCTCCAGAATATCCAATCTCCTATATCAAGTTTGGGAAGAAAAACCTTGTCCATCACTTCATCATCAGATGTCAATACCGGACCCCAAACTCTGGACTTGAATGTTGATTTTTGCTTCATTGACTGTACGACATATGATAAATTAATGATATATTCAACTATATCAGTACAGTACATCCTTAGTATAGGGTTGCTTGATTTTACTAATCATATAAAAACAATTTCGATATCTAGAGAGCACAAAAATAGATGTTTTGGGTAAAGAACGTTTTTTAAATCATTATCCAACCTCGTGAATATAAAAATTTGAAAATTGTTCAGTCTACTATTTGATATTTGGAAATTCTCAAATTTTGCATTAGATTTCATGTAAGTATTGTACATGGTATTCTTCATATCTGATGTTCTGTGACTACGCTTTGCAGTGTATATATTACAGCAGTTTTACATTATCTTACTAAAACTTGAAATTACGTGGTGCCTACCTCAGATATAAAAAAATATCTCATGTCTCTATTCAACGTAAACAGGGAGAAAAAAGATCCAAATTTTCCATCATTCACATAGTAGTCGTATGTACTTTCGGGATTTTTGATTTCTGGTTGAAAAAAACACAATATTTTTTGTGTGCAATAAAGCAATACTGTACCATGTAAAAATTTAAAATCAACAAAAAATGATCGAAGTTTCAACAATGAATGATAAATATATTGTTTCAAATAACAGCGCACAATACTCAAGCCGTTTGTTTCATTTGCGAACGTATCACCTAAGTCAGTTTTAATAACAGAATTCACCTCTTCTTCCTATTACATTCGTCGCCAGTGTAAAAGCAGTGTCAGTCAGAAAAGCTCCTGGTTCAGATATTACTTCCAAGCCGGGATGTTTTGAAACTGGAAATAACTCTTCGAGAATAGTGTTAATCGAAGACATAGTCTTAAAATATGAAAATATCTGTTTAATCACAATGGTTGACGAATTTGAACCTTACGAATTACGTATTTTAGTGTAGGTACAACTTCTGAACGCATGCGAAGGAGACAATAATATAAAGGATTATCTATTTATGGATGTCAAGGTAACGGCCACACCGAAATGACACAATCTGCCCTTTGAAATATTAATGAATAGACTGTAAACAATAGAGATTTGTAAAATAATGCTTTTCAATCGCGAGAATACATTCCTGCATGAATCGTGATCCGTACTTAAACATTACCATACCTGTCGCAAGTAAGGATCCGTCATTCTAAAACCCCCGCCGATATCAAGCAAACTGAACGATATATTATTCTTCTCTGCAAAATCGAATAACCCTTTTGCATCTAACAAGGCTCGTTTAAACTGATCTGATTTATCTCCTGGTAATGCGCCGACATGGAAACTGTAAAATAGTAAAATACGTAATTTTGTAAACGCTTTTATTGTTTATCCTGATGCGATTCATTTTTCGTTTTTTATTTGTTGTCAAAAGACTTGGATAGATATTCAAAACGTTAGCAATATTACTCCGTATTAAACTTGACATCACCATCATCAACGAATAATCTTGCTGAAATGCCAAAATTAATATAACATAAACAAAGAGATATTCATCTAATTATCATCTATCTTATGGTGCATTTTTGCAAAACTTTTGACCATTCTGTTTTACTAACAGAAATAATCCAATCTCAGTAAAAAATTCGAACCTGATGCCGACGACGTCCATGTAGAATTCTTTTGCCATAAGTATAAGATCCCTAGCTTGTTTGGCCGTAGCTCCATACTTTAAACTGTAAACATTTCTCTTACCATCCTCTTGGACATAAATCCTCAAAACCAATCTAAAGAAAATCTCTCTCTTGTAATACAATACCATACAAGTATACAACACCATACACAGCAAAAAAACACTAATGATATACATACCTTGATGTTGGATGATATTTTTTCAGTTTTTTTAATTCATCTTCGTTGTCGAAAACCGTCGTTTTTACGCCATGTTCCTTTGCTGTCTGCAAATGTGAAATTTGCTTACAAGGATTCGCCATGATTATTTCATCCGAATCAACTCCAAGTCGTTTTGCTTGAAGAAGTTCATCCTATAGAAACAGCAGAGAGGAGAAAGACTAATATTGCTTGATAGGGACTCAAGAATACTATTGTGTCGAATGAATTAGAATCAAAAATTTAGAGAATACATTTTTATACTTCTTTCTTATGCAAACACCATACTGTAATCAATAAACACAGTAGCCAATTTACTGATATACCGGTAACGATTTACAGAATCATTTTTTAACAAGTTTGACAAGTCATATAAAATACATGATTTCGATTGACAAATGCAGCGCCGGTGTTGTTGACTGACTTCCATCATAGCATATAGTATAACGAATGTTTGTCCAAATGTGTGGTAGGTACCGCTTCTTCCACTATTTCTAGTTAGGGTGTATTGTGGGGCGAATGGCTAAAAAAAGTGGGATTCATGCAATGACCTGGGTTGGGATAAATATACTACTATGATTAGGTTAGAGCAGCGTATTTTATACAATTCAGACAACAAAAGAAAATTAAACTGTTTCACAGGGATTCCTCGAGATTCTGGAATGATGCATTGGGTTTAATCTCCAACAAAAGGTTGAAAACCACTTGGGTAGAGTAAGCGTTTATGTGAGCATCATGCAAGCAGGTTTTTACAGACATCCGCATTATCTGCTGCAAATTTGTAATCTGATAATCTGTAATAACGCTAACCATTCGCATACCACAGATATATATAGAATGTAAGCGGAAACACGCGATCTACTACCCATCTCGTATATTCGAGGTAACGTATAAACAAGAAAACAAGATTTGTAGCCCTCACGGTTTTACATCAACGATAATAAAATAAATAAAGTTATATAAAGAAATATTTGCCTGGCTTCCACAATAAAAGCCTGTTCCTAGTTCCACCAACGCATTGATTACTTGATCATAAGGAGCAACTTTTACTGCATAGAATGGTTTTACTCGGGGGAGCAGTTCTACCAACAGAGCGTACAACTTTGTCAATTCTCCGAGGTCGAACACGTAAAAGCTGTCATCAATGTTCTGAAAAAGATATCCGGTTTGTCAGAGTATTCAGGACAGTTTTTTTTTCGGAATTTTGTTGGGTACGTTTGTTATCTTTAGTTTTTACTGATTTAAGCTGCCTCAGTTTTGTTATTATGTTTACAAGCTGTTTGGGAATATGCCACTTTTTCTCCATAAAAATCTTGGGCATCCAACAATCAAAGTACTGTTTAACGGCGACACAGAAAATCACAAAAAATTTTACAGACCTGTCGTCCGTTCACGTTTTTCGTAAAGTATCTGCAAACATCATCGCAGGTTGAGTCACTGAATTTTTGAATGGTGTGGTGTACAATCTTAAAAAAAATTAATTCAGCTGGTCTTATATTTGAAGGAAAATCATTCCGGTAATTTTGCTTCATTAGCAGCAGCACATCAACATAACATGATACACTATAAACTGAAACCGCATTTCCAACCCATCCAATGTCGATGATATAATAATTTTACCACTTTCTCGTTGTAATATCTTATATACACCATGTTTCGTTAATCACTCAAAGGTGGAGAAAAGGTACAATCATAGGGTGTGTTATCCAATAATTTTCTTACTCCACTCGGTGGAAAATTGCCTATTCTGAGTATCATAAATTCCCAACCAAACGTTGTTTTTCTTGTTTATTTCCATCTACAGACAGGAAAACGCCAAATCTCAACATATCGATTTATTCATCACAGCGTCGTTTTCGTATATACCCAACCAAAAACTAGGAACATCAATTTTTCACACATGTGAATCCAAAATTGATATAAACAAATATATATCTTACCCATTAGTAATTATGAGATTATTGATTTTTGAAACGGTGAAATTCAGTGTTCAAAAATAAATTGCGCAATTTTGACACCGAAATAATAAAAAAAAGTCACTTTCTGTGCCTGCGACATCTTGTAGGCCTACAGTAACAATGAGCATCTTTCTGATGAACCAATGAGATATTCTGATTGAAAGTAGCGAGAAGAAATCAATGTAGACACGTGTCATGTCACGTGATATCAAAGTAGTTTATGACGTAGAGTTAGCGCTGAACGCAACTGGCTGACACGTTAGACATCGATTAGGCAGGGATGGCGAAGCACTGGCCCGCGGGTCACCAAGTGACCCACTGCATTTTATTCGTGACCTGCCAAGGCACGAATAAAATAAAATGCTAACATATTAGTGATAAAAATTAATAAAACCGTCTTTAAATTATTCTAACGATGACTAACCTATTATATTGTACCGTCATTCATATTCAAATTGTTAATTTATCGTTATCGGCCGGTATGGTAATTTTCAAAACCCATAATCTTGGACGTATGTATGCACCGCTGTGTACCGTTGTTCAGCTATTGGCTCTGACATAGTTTATGACATAACAATGCAACTGAACTGGTCATTTCTCGCAACGTCTTGTCCCTTTCGGAAGTGCGTCTGTGGACTGTTTTTTGGGGTTATACGTGAACTAGGTGCTACTTTGCATTTTATTAGTTTCTCACATACAATGCCGTTAAGAAAACAAAAACTTTGAGACTTGAATTAAAAATCTAGAAATTACAATGGGGCAGTGTGAAAGTGCCTTAATGTGGTTGAAAGCTGATGGAAAAATATCACTTTCAGAGTGGAATTCCCTCCAAACTATTTGGAACTGTAAAATAATTTACCTAAACGTTTCTTTGTAATTTTTGACCCATTCATTGAAAAAGGTTCGCCATCTCTGGCTTAGGGTAACACAAGCCAGATCACAGTACTAATGTGAACTCCTATTGCATTTGTGACTCTGGATCTGCGTTGCGGACAAATCCATCTTATAGATCTTTCCGGCCCAATCCCGAAGCCAACCCTACTATAGGTTACATGCAATACCGGTACTGCGGTTGCCAATCAAAGTCGTGTATTTCATCTGATTTGCCAACTTGTCAAAGGAATTCTGCAAATCGTTACCGGTATATCAACAGTATGATGTTTGCACTATATTCCCGTCATTAGCTCTGTTGCATAGCATAACCCACCTTAGAATCCATTGCCATCACTCTGACTGCTTTAAATATTTATCGATGTGGATATTTCGATAGCTCTAGTTTTTCGATTACTAACGCTAAACTATAATCCTTTCGAAGACAAAATAACCATTGAGTCACGTGTAGGGGGTGGTTGCTACCATCAAAAAGTGCCGTCGCAGAAGTTTTTTTGATTACTAACGCTAAACTACAATCCTTCTGAGACAAAATAATCACTGAGTTCCCTCATTTATACTTCAATTTTGTAAACATAACTAAAAACTGTTGAATAAGATGCCGAATTGGCATAAATATGTCAATGTTTTCACGCAATCGTGGTGAAAAGTGGATGGATGGCGACTTAAATCAGATCATTACCTGGCATTCGTTTTATTAGTGCGATGACTGATCACACACCACATCGTTAACGTCACGTTACGTGCAAGTATTTGTCTTGTCCATCAGTCAATGTCAAGACAAATAGCCTACTCGCATGAAACGTGACATGACTAAATTGTCTGCTGACTTATAGCTGCAATATTAAATAGATATGTAACAATTATATATACATGTGTTATTTCATATAAAGAAAGATTCAAGAGCTCATTAAGTATTTTTTGTAGCCACTTCGAGTTGTTCATCAATATACATACTCCATGACGACCTTTTTCGCAAAAATAAGTTATGCTCCAAGCCTTTGGGTAGTACTAGTAAAGTGATTAGACTGCATTAAACATAAAATTCATACGGTAACAAAATGTGGAAGGGTATTGCGTCTCAGTTCGAAAGGTACAAGAACATATTACTAGATTTGCAAATATAATCAAAACATCTATATTGTCGTACTATTTTCGAGAACAATCGATCGTACGTGAAGCGCAAATATCTACATGAATATTACTTTTTTTAACCTAGCCTTTTTTTTTTTTCGGAATGATTACCGAGTTCGATTTTGTAGACTTCGATTAAGTTCTATCCCGTTGTAATATTTTCTAGCTTCGATGGTTGCAAAAAGGACCTGCTTTTGCAACTTTTTATCGTGCGTATACGGCGATCGATCATGTATATATGTATAGCCAATAAAATACACCAATATAGCCAATACAATATTATTATTTTTACGTTGTTGTGTGAAGGCAGATGGGAGCAGTCCAATTTTAAACTCGATCGTCATTGCACCCGCTTTCCGAGATTACCTGATCTTCGCTTCCAACAACAAATACACAGACCCACCATCACACAATTGGTATATTATTGCCAACTTGATCGACACAATTCTACAGTATCTTAGGAATATATACCCCCCCCCCCCTCCCCCGATTTTTCAATACAAACCGTGACGTGCTTATATATAATAAATTGGGTCCTCATGTTGATATACTATCGAGCACGGCAGGAGATCTAATCTTGATTGTCCGATCAAAACTATCGCATGCGACGAGAATGATGCGCAACAACTATGGTTAGAAAAATGATTAACTTGTTTTGTCCTAATTCGAAGAATCTGAGTTAAACTCGATTTACAACTAATAATAATACTTTTGCTCGAATACCCAAAATTCAAGCGGGTGCAATGACGATCGAGTTAAAGACTGGACTGCTCCCATCTGCCTTTACACAACAACGTAAAAATAATAATATTGTATTGGCTATATTCTTGTATTTTATTGGCTATACATATATACATGATCGATCGCCGTATACGCACGATAAAAAGTTGAAAAAGCAGGTCCTCTTTCCAAGTAATGATCTGGACTTGATATTTAAGTCGTCATCCATTCACTTTTCACCACAATTGTGTGAAAACATTGACTTGTTAATGCTAATTCGGCATTTTATTCAACAGTTTTTAGTTGTGTTTACAAATGCACTTTTTGATGGCAGCAACCACCCCCTAACACGGTGATTCAATGGTTATTTTGTCTTCAAAAGGATTATAGTTGAGCGTTAGTAATCGAAAAACTAGAGTTATCGAAATATTCACATCGATAAATATTTAAAGCAGTCAGAGTGATGGCAATGGATTCAAAGGTGGGTTATGATATGCAACAGTACTAATGACGGGAATTTCAGCTGACTAATTCTTTGTCTACATATGAGTTATTTTCTAATGCTAGAATCAAAAATTTAGAGAATACAGTATATAAATCTTTCTTGTGCAAACACCATACTGTTGATAAAATAGGAAAATGGCCAATTTTATTAATATACCGGTGACGATTTGCAGAATTCTTTTGACAAGTTGGCAAATCAGATGAAATACACGACTTTGATTGACAAACGCAGTACCGGTATTGTATGTAACCTAGTAGCTTAAATTTGGGATTGGGCCGGAAAGATCTATATTCTATAAGATGGATTTGTCCGCAACGCAGATCCAGAGTCACAAATGCAATAAGAGTTCACATTAATACTGTGATCTGGCTTATGTTACCCTAAGCCAGATATGGCGAACCTTTTTCAATGAATGGGTCAAAAATTACAAAGAAACGTTTAGACAAATTATTTTACAGTTCCAAATAGTTTGGAGGAAATTCCACTCTGAAAGTGATATTTTTCCATCAGCTTTCAACCACATTAAGGCACTTTCACACTGCCCCATTGTAATTTCTAGATTTTTAATTCAAGTCTCAAAGTTTTTGTTTTCTTAATGGCATTGTATGTGAGAAACTAATAAAATGCAAAGTATCATTGATGCCTTGCCCAAGGCAAGATGCTTATTGTTGCTGTACAAGATGTCGCAGGCACAGAAATTGACTTCATTTTTATTTCGGTGTCAAAATTGCGCAATTTATTTTTGAACACTGAATTTCACCGTTTCAAAAATCATTAATCTCATAATTACTAATGGGTAAGATATTTGTTTATATCAATTTTGGATTCACATGTGTGAAAAATGAATGTTCCTAGTTTTGGTTGGGTATATACGAAAACGACGCTGTGATGAATAAATCGATATGTTGAGAATTGGCGATTTCATGTCTGTAGATAGAAATAAACAAGAAAAACAACGCTTGGTTGGGAATTTATGATGCTCAGAATAGGCAATTTTCCACCGAGTAGAGTGAGAAAATTATTGGATAACACACCTTATGATTGTATTTACCTTTTCTCCACCTTTGAGTGATTAACGAAACATGGTGTATATAAAATATTACAACGAGAAAGATGGTGAAATTATTATATCATCGACATTGGATGGGGTGGAAATGCGGTTTCAGTTTATGTTATGTTGAGGTGCTGCTGCTAATGAAGCAAAATTACCGGAATGATTTTTCATCAAATATAAGACCAGCTGAATTAATTTTTTTTTAAGATTGTACATCACACCATTCAAAGATTCAGTGACTCAACCTGCGATGATGTTTGCAGATACTTTACGAAAAACGTAAACGGACGACAGGTCTGTAAAAAATTTTGTGGTTCTCTGTGTCGCCGTTAAACAGTATTTTGCTTGTTGGATGCCCAAGATTTTTATGAAGAAAAAATGGCATAATCCCAAACAGCTTGCAAACATAATAACAAAAGTGAAGCAGCTTAAATCAGTAATATCTAAAGATAACAAACGTACCCAACAAAATTCCAAAAAAAAAAGCTATTTTGAATACTCGGACAAACCAGATATCTTTTTCAGAACATTGATGACAGCTTTTACGTGTTCGACCTCGGAGAATTGACAAGGCTGTACGCTCTGTTGGTAGAACTGCTCCCCCGAGTAAAACCATTCTATGCAGTAAAAGTTGCTCCTTATGATCAAGTAATCAATGCGTTGATGGAACTAGGAACAGGCTTTTATTGTGGAAGCCAGGCAAATATTTCTTTATATAACTTTATTTATTTCATTATCGTTGATGTAAAACCGTGAAGGCTACACATCTTGTTTTCTTGTTTATACGTTACCTCGAATATACGAGATGGGTAGTAAATCGCGTGTTTCCGCTTACATTCTATATCTGTGGTATGCGAATGATTGGCGTCGTATCAGATTGCAAATTTGCAGCAGATAATGCGGATGTCATTAAAAACCTGCTAGCATGATGCTCACATAAACGCTTACTCTACCCAAGTGGTTTTCAACCTTTTGTTGGAGCTTAAAAACCCAAGGCATCATTCCAGAATCTCGAGGAATCCCTGTGATAATATCCCAGTTTAATATTTTGTTGTTGTCTGAATTGTATAAAATATATAAATGAACACCCACTACTTGCAAGACAAATTGTAGCAAGTTTAATAATAGTGACAAATCCAAGTTGTATTCTTTTATATTTAAACAATATATACATATATATATAAATATATTCTCGGAGATTCGAATGGACACTTTCACAACCTTAAGGTGCCAGGAATTCCAGTTGGAAGCCGCTGCTCTAACCTAACCATAGTAGTATATTTATCCCAACCCATGAACGAACCCCACTTACTTCAGCCATTCGCCCTACAATACACCCTAACTAGAAATAGTGGAAGAAGCGGTACCACACATTTAGACAAACATTCATTATACTATGATATGATGGAAGTCAGTCAACTATACCGGTACTGCATTTGTCAATAAAAGCCATGTATTTCATCTGGTTTGCCAAACTTGTTAAAAAATGATTCTGTAAATCGTTACCGGTATATCAGTAAATTGGCTACTGTGTTTATTTATTACAGTATGGTGTTTGCACAAGAAAGAAGTATAAAACTGTATTCTCTAAATTTTTTATTTTAATTTTATTCGACACAATAGTATTTATTATTGGGTCCGTATCAAGCAATACTAGTCTTTTCACTCTCTTCTGTTTTCACAGGTTGAACTTCTTCAAGCGAAACAACTTGGAGTGGATTCGGAAGAAATATTCATGGCGAATCCTTGTAAGCAAATTTCACATTTGCAGACAGCAAAGGAACATGGAGTAAAAATGATGGTTTTCGACAACGAAGATGAATTGAAAAAAACTGAAAAAATATCATCCAACATCACGGTATGTACAGCATTAGTGTTTGTTTTCTGCATATGTTATTGTATACCTATTACAAGTCTGAGATTTTCTTTAGATTGGTTCTCAGAATTCACGTTCAAGAGGATGGCAAGATAAATTATTTTAGTTTAAAATATGGAGCTACGACCAAAAAAGCAAGGGATCTTATACTAATGGCAAAAGAATTCCACATGGACGTCGTCGGCATCAGGTTCGTATTTTCACTCAGATTAGATTATTTCTAAATCCGAATGGTCGTTAGTTTTGCAAAAATTGCACTTATAAGATATGTGATAATTCAATGACTACCTCGTTGATTATGTTACAATAATGTTAGTATTTTAGCAGTTTAATCATTGATTATGATAATGGCATCACATTGATATTAATTAAAATCACGGGTTTGAAACGGAGTGATACTGCCGACGTTTCGAATATATACCATGCACAATTCCTTATGAAAACAAATAAAATACGAATGATGAATCTCATCTGGATAACTAATATAAACGTTTACAGAATTATGTGTTTTACTTGTTTACAGTTTCCATGTCGGCGCATTACTGGGAGATAAATCAGATCAGTATAAACGAGCGTTGTTAGACGCAAAAGAGTTATTCGATTTCGCTGAGAAGAATAATATATCGTTCAGTTTGCTTGATATCGGAGGGGGTTTTAGAGTGACGGATCCTTTCTTACAACAGGTATGGTAATGGTTAGGTACGAATCACGATTTATGTAGGAATGTATACTCACGATAGAAAAGCATTATTTAAAATTTGTCCACTGTTTACAGTATATTCATTTCTATTTCAAAGAACAAATTGTGACATTTTGATGTGGCCGTTTTCCTCGACATTCGTGAATGGATAAGCCTTTATTACTTATCGATCTTAAGATCGGTGAGAATGTTGATAGGTATTTGTATGTCTGTGTGTTAGATGCACGCAATATCTCACGAAAGCGAGGTTGAATCTGCTCCAAATTTTGCATGTGCATTCATCATAGCTCGGATCAGAAGCCTTTTGATTTTGGATGGATTATGTCTTATAATTAGCGAGTTATTAATTAATTAGCGATGGGACACACGGTGTCACTATGGAGTAAGACCACTGTTTTGGGGATCCCCTAACCTTCGATCGATAAGTCTAGTTTATTCTATATATTCTGGTTTAACTTTCTTACTCGCATGCGTTTATAAGTTGTTTCCCTGTTCCCTGACTACGTTGATCTGAATTGCATCTATCGCGGACGTACTGTCGGAACAAACTATACGATTTGATCTATGCGACCAAACAGATATTTTCTTGTTAAGACTACGTCTTCGATCAACATTATTCTCGAAGAGCTGTTTCCAGTTTTAAAACATCCCGATTTGGAGATAATATCTGAACCAGGAGCTTTTCTTACTGACACTGCTTTCACACTGGCAACGAATGTAATAGGGAGAAGAGGTGAATGCCGTTTCTAAAATTGATTTAGGTTATGCGTTCGTAAGTGAAACCTACTGCGCGAGACGTAACAATTTATCTACTCATATATGGATATAGACATCTATTTATACTAAATACGGAGTTAACAGTTTTGATTTAAGTTTTGGGGCCTGAACACATATTGAATATATGATGCCAAATTTACTTTCAACTTCAATTTTTATCAAGATACAAATGAATACTTGTATTACGTTGTGGAATTTAGATCCTGTGAAAGAATTGAAATAGCCCAAAATGAAAACTCGTTTAATGAAAATTTAAACGAGTATTGTGCGTTGGTATTAGAAACAACATATTTGTCATTTATTGGTAAAACTTTTATCATTTTTTTGATAATTTCAAATGTATGCTTGGTATTGATTTATTGCACACAGAAATTTTTTTTTTCATTTAACCAGAAATTGAAGATTTCGAAAGTACTTACCACTATTATGTGAATGATGGAAAATTTGGATCTTTTTTCATTCAGTTCATGTTGAATAGAGACATGGGATATTTTTTCATATCTGAGGTAGGCACCATGTATTTTCAAGTTTTGATAGGATAAATCAACACAGCTGTAATATATACACTGCTATATTCACGATGTACTGTACTGATATAGTCGAATATATCATTAATTTATTATATGTCGTACAGTCAATGAAGCAAAAATCAACATTCAAGTCCAAAGTTTGGGGTCCAGTATTGACATCCTTGGATGAAGTGATAGACAATGTTTTTCTTCCCCAACTTGACATAGGAGATTGGATATTCTGGAGAAGTGAGTTTGTTGTATTTACTGTGAAGGGACATTTTTAGAATTGATACTTTAAAGCAGGAGTGAACTACGGCTTCTCATCCGGTTTACTAATCCATGTCGGGTATGGGATTTATTCAATGACTCGGATGTATTTGCTGCAAATCAGTTCCGCATTTAGCCGTTTTCTATATTCAGTTTTTGTTTCTGCATTCAATGAGAATGTCATTTGCAGTTGACCTGCTTTCATTTATGTTTACGATGTATGGGATTAAACCATTATTGTTTTTACAATCCTGGAAATACAAGTAATCGCGTTTCTAATAATCATGCCTACGCTGTTAATTAACTAAACATAATTAAACTTGTTACTGGAAATGCAACAGATCTAAGACCTTTACTGACAACATGCGTGAATGGGGATTGATCAGTTGCCAGATTCCTCCAACCGAGAATAGTCACAAACCTTACTTAAATTCATCATTGCTGGTTTTCAATTTATTGTATGTATAAGAAAAAAAGTTCAACACAATTAAAATACTAAACCTTTCTTGATAGGGCTAATACAAGGTAGAAATAAATCTAAATTTTGCAGATAAGTTACATTAACGATGTAAATTTGACACTTGTTAAACGTATTAATAAAGTAGTGTCGAAAACAAGAAGGGAATCAAACTATAATTGTACTGAATATTCAGTACAACTATGATTGAATATGGCATTTTCTATATTTGAATTATCGCCTTATCGACGCTACCGTTGTCGAATTTTACTAATGCCGGTATTGCTTCTTTGCACAGTTACAAAACTAGCCAAGTCAGTATTTTAAGGATTAAACGAATAGCTCACATAGCTACTAGGTTTCACTCACGAAGCCTTGGAGCTCCGTATGAGGCAATTTTTGAACCTTATTGAACTTTTTGAAGTATATAGGCAACGGGTCAAGAATAAATAATTAAAACTAACAACAACCATGGTCTCTTGTTTGTAGTTTTGTAACGTGTCGTTTATTAGATCACTTTTTTATGCAAAAATATCGGATAGTGTATCTGCCAATGATTATATTTGCGTTTTCATTTTTTAGATATGGGAGCATATTCTTTTGCATTCAATTCTAGTTTCAATGGATATAGAACAAAAACATTTTATGATGTCATTTCAAAAGAAGATTTGTGAGTATCATAGTGAAGCCAATACAATTATTTATAAATCTTTCATTTAATTTATCTGTTTAGTAATCATTTCTAGCAATATTTTATTTGCTAATCATTTTTGATTTTTTGTACAGGATACTTTTTCAGCAATTGCGCAAGAAGAAAACGTCTTCCCGTTTTTGTTTCCAAAACTTAGAATATAAATGAAGAAGGAGAGTAACGAGGAACTCGCTCGATTTATTGTTACAAATATATGATCCGCATAGATTTAAAGTGACATATAAGGAAGCTAGAACTCGTTGCAGTAACTTTTGATAAATACATCATTATTTATTTGCATCTGCTTTTTATTATAGAAAAGTTTTAAAAATAATAAATTACACCTACTTAACATTTAGTGCTTTGTTGGCTATAGTAATTATGTAGATACGAGTATGTGCATTTCACATTTTCTCGACTGTTCTCGAAAAAAATATAGAAATACAGTTGTTTTGATTTCATATGCAAATTCTCATCCTTCACTTTGTTAATTCAGGCATGAGAAAAAATAGATGTTTGCTCGTTAAGTTAAGTTGAGTCACGATGCTTATAGATCGAAAAGTTCATTGAGTATTTTAAAAATTTTACAAATGCATTTATATTGTAATGTAATTAAACGCACCGTACGTTAGCAGCTGGAATGTTTCAGTACTAGGCAGACAATCCCTAACGTCAAATCAAGTTTATTTTTTGGGCACAAATCACGAGAAAATGACAATTACACAGATTTACTGGGGAAGGGTTATCTATAAAATCTCAAGACTATCAAGCAGCGCCATCCAAGGTTCTAATATCTACCTCAAAAAGTGTAGAATTTTAGAGTTTTAAAACTATTGGTATTAGCGGTGAGTATCCGTACGAATAATTCAACTAACACTGCTTACCAGATATAGATAATTCGTAGAAAAGATGCATTACAAAAAAACAATGTATGAAAAATCTTGACATCAGGTAAGGCGAAATTGTAATAACGCAATTCTATATCAGTGCATTATAGAGAAAATCAGCTTTAGAATTTTTTTAAATAGCTTAATTATAAAGAAATCTTCTGTGCTTCGTCATCTAAAAACCGTCATCCAAAACCTGCATAATGAAATTTGATGCAATTGTGTGTATTTTGATGAGTATCATTACTCCATGTCGCTGTCTTCGTAATCAATTATATTTGTCTTGGTAGCCAATTATATTTTAGTTGCTAATACAAACTCTGTGTTCTACCTATCTTTTTCATTTGTCTGGTAAAATTAACCGGTTAACCGTAGCGTGACGTTTGACGTAATAATTTTAGTCCATTACGTAATAATGGTTACAAAGCAATTTGCCTGATCTTATTCCGGTGTCTCTTAAAATTATTCACGAATTGAGATAGTTTCGAGATAGTTAGTTTCGTGATCGCTCTGCTGCAAGAGATATGCAGCGTTTTTCGGACATATGGAAGTATTTTAGTAAAACCCGATTCCGTTACTAAATGTCAACCATGTAAAAATAATTTTAGTGCTTGATGTGCAAATTCTACTTCGAGATATCATATAGAAAAACAGCATTGACTACGCACATTGAATGGACGATTTTTAAATAAAATCGTGAACAATAATATATTTTTACCGAAAACCGATTCTGAATTCATCATTGTCAAATTTTCATAATCAGCAATCTTGGTACTTCAAATATTTTCCACATTCATTGGGTCCTTAGCAATACAGTTGGTTGTATTCTTTTGGATTAAACGTGACAGGAGATAAATTTGCGATGACGTAATCCTTTTAGAAGAAACGTACATTATAGAGATGATTTGTACCTGAAATGTCAGTCAACGGGTAAAATAAATCGGAAGCGTTAACCATCTAAAATCGGTTAACCGATTAACCATTCCAAGCCCTACAAATAGTGCAAATAGTGCAAATGGCAAATCACAAATCACGTCGTTAATGTCACGTTTCGTGCAGGTATTCAGTCACTCAATTTCAATCAGTCAATGTCAAAACAAATAGTTGCATGAAACGTGACATGACAGAATTATTGTTTTCTGACATGAAGGTTGCAACTTAAATAGATATGTAACAATTGTACAATTAGTATTTAATATGGAGAAAAATAAAAATTCAATAACTTATTTAGTATTTTTCGTAATCACTCCTAGTGGTTCATCAGCAAACATACTTCATGATGACCTTTTTCACAAAAATAAGTTATTCTCCAAGCCCAAGAGTAGTAAAAGGGTAGTTTACATTAAACATAAAAGCCTTTTGTTAAAAAAATACGGAAGGGTAAAGCGTTCCATTATAAAGTACAATGACATTGTAATACATAGGTAGATGACATAAAAACAACTCTATTTTCGTATTATTTTCGAGAACAGTCGGGTAAATGTGAAATTCGCATATCTACATAAATATTATATCCAATAGGGAACAAAATGTAAAGTAGGTGTAATTTAATATTTCTAAATTTCTTCTATAATACAAAGCAATAATAATATTAAATGGTGCATTTATCAAAAGTTACTGCAACTTGTTCTAGCTTCCTTATGTGTCATTTTAAATCTATGTGAATAATATGTTTGTAACAATAAATCGAGCGAGTTCCTCGTTACTCCTCTTCTTCATTTATATTCTAAGTTTTTGAAACAAAAACGGGAAGACGTTTTCTTCTTGCACAATTGTTGAAAAAGTACCCTGTACGAAGAATTAAAAAGAATTAGCAAATAAACTATAGCAATGATTACTATACAGACAAATCAAACAAAATATTTCTAAATAATTGTATTAGCTTTATTATAATACTCACAAATCTTCTTTTGAAATGACATCATAAAATGTTTTTGTTTTATACCCATTGAAACTAGAATTGAATGCGAAAGAATATGCTCCCATATCTAAAAAATCAAAACACAAAAATAGTCAGTGACATACGATACCTGATGCATAATAGAATGAACTAATAAACGACACGTTAACAAACTACAAGCAAGCAACCATGGTTGTTGTTAGTTTAAATTATTTATTTTTGATGAATCTTTCCTTGGAGACCGGGAGGTCCACACTATCTCAAGACATTCAGTGGTTAGTTTGAGTATAGACAAGTTACTGGATGCATCGAAATCTGTTTTCCATATACTTTGAAGTATCAATGCTATTATTGTCCCTCTACAGTAAATAAAACTCACTTCTCCAGAATATCCAATCTCCTATATCAAGTTTGGGGAGAAAAACCTTGTCCATCACTTCATCATCAGATGTCAATACCGGACCCCAAACTCTGGACTTGAATGTTGATTTTTGCTTCATTGACTGTACGACATATGATAAATTATTGACATATTTGACTATATCAGTGCAGTACATCCTTAGTATAGGGTTGCTTGATTTTACTAATCATATAAAAACGATTTCGATATCTAGAGAGCACAAAAATAGATGTTTTGGGTAAAGAACGTTTTTTAAATCATTATCCAACCTCGTGAATATAAAAATTTGAAAATTGTTTAGTCTACTATTTGATATTTGGAAATTCTCAAATTTTGCATTAGATTTCATGTAAGTATTGTACATGGTATTCTTCATATCTGATGCTCTGTGACTACGCTTTGCAGTGTATATATTACAGCAGTTTTACATTATCTTACTAAAACTTGAAATTACGTGGTGCCTACCTCAGATATAAAAAAATATCTCATGTCTCTATTCAACGTAAACAGGGAGAAAAAAGATCCAAATTTTCCATCATTCACATAGTAGTCGTATGTACTTTCGGGATTTTTGATTTCTGGTTGAAAAAAAGCACAACATTTTTTGTGTGCAATAAAGCAATACTGTACCATGTAAATATTTAAAATCAACAAAAAATGATCGAAGTTTCAACAATGAATGATAAATATATTGTTTAAATAACAGCGCACAATACTCAAGCCGTTTGTTTCATTTGCGAACGTATCACCTAAGTCAGTTTTAATAACAGAATTCACCTCTTCTTCCTATTACATTCGTCGCCAGTGTAAAAGCAGTGTCAGTCAGAAAAGCTCCTGGTTCAGATATTACTTCCAAGCCGGGATGTTTTGAAATAGGAAATAACTCTTCGAGAATAGTGTTAATCGAAGACATAGTCTTAAAATATGAAAATATCTGTTTAATCACAATGGTTGAGGAATTTAAACCTTACGAATTACGTATTTTAGTGTAGGTACAACTTCTGAACGCATGCGAACGAGACAATAATATAAAGGATTATCTATTTATGGATGTCAAGGTAACGGCCACACCGAAATGACACAATCTGCCCTTTGAAATATTAATGAATAGACTGTAAACAATAGAGATTTGTAAAATAATGCTTTTTAATCGCGAGAATACCTTCCTGCATGAATTGTGATCCGTACTTAAACATTACCATACCTGTCGCAAGTAAGGATCCGTCATTCTAAAACCCCCGCCGATATCAAGCAAACTGAACGATATATTATTCTTCTCTGCAAAATCGAATAACCCTTTTGCATCTAACAAGGCTCGTTTAAACTGATCTGATTTATCTCCTGGTAATGCGCCGACATGGAAACTGTAAAATAGTAAAATACGTAATTTTGTAAACGCTTTTATTGTTAATCTTGATGCGATTCATTTTTCGTTTTTTATTTGTTGTCAAAAGACTTGGATAGATATTCAAAACGTTAGCAATATTACTCCGTATTAAACTTGACATCACCATCATCAACGAATAATCTTGCTGAAATGCCAAAATTAATATAACATAAACAAAGAGATATTCATCTAATTATCATCTATCTTATAGTGCATTTTTGCAAAACTTTTGACCATTCTGTTTTACTAACAGAAATAATCCAATCTCAGTAAAAAATTCGAACCTGATGCCGACGACGTCCATGTGGAATTCTTTTGCCATAAGTATAAGATCCCTAGCTTGTTTGGCCGTAGCTCCATACTTTAAACTGTAAACATTTCTCTTACCATCCTCTTGGACATAAATCCTCAAAACCAATCTAGAGAAAATCTCTCTCTTGTAATACAATACCATACAAGTATACAATACCATACACAGCAAAAAAACACTAATGATATACATACCTTGATGTTGGATGATATTTTTTCAGTTTTTTTAATTCATCTTCGTTGTCGAAAACCGTCGTTTTTACGCCATGTTCCTTTGCTGTCTGCAAATGTGAAATTTGCTTACAAGGATTCGCCATGATTATTTCTTCCGAATCCACTCCAAGTCGTTTTGCTTGTAGAAGTTCATCCTATAGAAACAGCAGAGAGTGGAAAGACTAGTATTGCTTGATAGGGACTCAAGAATACTATTGTGTCGAATGAATTTAAAATCAAAAATTTAGAGAATACATTCTTATACTTCTTTCTTATGCAAACACCATACTGTAATTAATAAACACAGTAGTCAATTTACTGATATACCGGTAACGATTTACAGAATCATTTTTTAACAAGTTTGAAAAATCATATAAAATACATTACTTCGATTGACAAATGCAGTACCGGTATTGTTGACTGACTTCCATCATAGCATATAGTATGATGAATGTTCCTCTAAATGTGTGGTACCGCTTCTTCCACTATTTCTAGTTAGGGTGTATTGTGGGGCGAATGGCTGAAGTAAGTGGGATTCATGCAATGACCTGGGTTGAGATAAATATACTACTATGGTTAGGTTAGAGCAGCGTATTTTATACAATTCAGACAACAAAAGAAAATTAAACTGTTTCACAGGGATTTCTCGAGATTCTGGAATGATGCATTGGGTTTAATCTCCAACAAAAGGTTGAAAACCACTTGGGTAGAGTAAGCGTTTATGTGAGCATCATGCAAGCAGGTTTTTACAGACATCCGCATTATCTGCTGCAAATTTGTAATCTGATAATCTGTAATAACGCTAACCACAGATATAGAATGTAGGCGGAAACACGCGATCTACTACCCATCTCGTATATTCGAGGTAACGTATAAACAAGAAAACAAGATTTGTAGCCCTCACGGTTTTACATCAACGATAATAAAATAAATAAAGTTATATAAAGAAATATTTGCCTGGCTTCCACAATAAAAGCCTGTTCCTAGTTCCACCAACGCATTGATTACTTGATCATAAGGAGCAACTTTTACTGCATAGAATGGTTTTACTCGGGGGGGCATTCTTCCCAACAGAGCGTACAGCTTTGTCAATTCTCCGAGGTCGAACACGTAAAAGCTGTCATCAATGTTCTGAAAAAGATATCTGGTTTGTCAGAGTATTCAGGACAGTTTTTTTTCGGAATTTTGTTGGGTACGTTTGTTATCTTTAGTTATTACTGATTTAAGCTGCCTCAGTTTTGTTATTATGTTTACAAGCTGTTTGGGAATATGCCACTTTTTCTCCATAAAAATCTTGGGCATCCAACAATCAAAGTACTGTTTAACGGCGACACAGAAAACCACAAAATTTTTTACAGACCTGTCGTCCGTTCACGTTTTTCGTAAAGTATCTGCAAACATCATCGCAGGTTGAGTCACTGAATCTTTGAATGGTGTGATGTACAATCTTAAAAAAAAATAATTCAGCTGGTCTTATATTTGATGGAAAATCATTCCGGTAATTTTGCTTCATTAGCAGCAGCATCTCAACATACCATGATACACTATAAACTGAAACCGCATTTCCACCCCATCCAATGTCGATGATATAATAATTTTACCATCTTTCTCGTTGTAATATCTTCATATTACACCATGTTTCGTTAATCACTCAGAGGTGGAGAAAAGGTAAATACAATTATAGGGTGTGTTATCCAATAATTTTTCTCACTCCACTCGGTGGAAAATTGCCTATTCTGAGCATTATAAATTGCCCAACCAAGCGTTGTTTTTTCTTGTTTCGATTTTCCATCTACAGACAGGAAAACGCCAAATCTCAACATATCGATTTATTCATCACAGCGTCGTTTCGTATATACCCAACCAAAAACTAGGAACATCAATTTTTCACACATGTGAATCCAAAATTGATATAAACAAATATATATCTTACCCATTAGTAATTATGAGATTAATGATTTTTGAAACGGTGAATTCAGTGTTCAAAAATAAATTGCGCAATTTTGACACCGAAATAATAAAAAAAAGTCAATTTCTGTGCCTGCGACATCTTGTAGGCTACAGTAACAATGAGCATCTTTCTGATGAACCAATGAGATATTCTGATTGAAAGTAGCGAGAAGAAATCAATGTAGACACGTGTCATGTCACGTGATATCAAAGTAGTTTATGACGTAGAGTTAGCGCTGAACGCAACTGGCTGACACGTTAGACATCGATTAGGCAGGGATGGCGAAGCACTGGCCCGCGGGTCACCAAGTGACCCACTGCATTTTATTCGTGACCTGCCAAGGCATGAATGAAATAAATAAAAATGAGTGATAAAAATTGATAAAACCGGCTTTAAATTTATCTAACAATAAGTAAACTATCATATTGTACCACCGTCATTCATATTCAAATTGTTAACTTCTCGTTCTCGGTCGGTATGGTCATTTCAAAACCATAATCTGTGACGTATGTATGCACCGCTGTGTACCGTTATTACTTATCGATCTTAAGATCGGTAAGTATATTGATAGGTAACTTGTCTGTATGTATGTTCTGTCTGTCTGTGTGTCTGTTAGATGCACGCGATTTCACGAAGGCGTGGTTGAATCTGCTCAAATTTTGCATGTACATTCATCATATCTCGGACCAGAAAGCCTATTGATTTTGGATGAATTATGTCGTATAATTAGCGAGTTATTAATTAATTAGTGATGAAGAGATCTGGATTTTCACAAATCGAGAGATTTCGAGACGCGCTGAATGTGTGTGTGCGTATCAGATGGCAAGTTTTCACGCTAGTGAGTCAGGCGAAGGATACACACGCTAGATCGTATCTCGTGATTAATCTTTGAGCCTTGTCCATATCTCTCTTGTAACTTTGACGTCGTCGCGATGCGCAAGTTTCCTTCGAGAAATTTTCCACACTATTGAGTCAGAGCGAAGGATACACGCCGCGAGATCGTATCTCGGTTACTTATAATACTCCCTTAAAGTTTAAGCAATGTCCATTATCCCTAAATCAGGTTTCGGGGGTTGCAGAATTCCCACCAAAATATCGCTAGGCTGTGTTTGAATAGCCGTCGCAACCTGGGTTTAGCGCCGTTGTATTTGACACAAACTATTAGGATTGGTAAATACAGAAATAGGCTATTGCTGGAAACTAATCGAACAATCCAGTTCGGATTTGCAGATTCTCCATAAAAGTATTTCTCGAGTAGTTTTCGACGACATGGGAGTTGGCTATTGTTCCTACATTTCTGATATTGGCTGAAAACTAATCAAAACAATCCAGTTCGGGTTTGCAGAATTTTTCGAATCGAACCCGCAGTTTCTGTTTTGGGGATCACCTAACTTTCGATCGATAAGTCTTCGGTCTCTGACCGATATTCTCGTTCAGCTATTGGCTTCTGACATAGTTATGACATAACAATGCATTTGATCTGGTCATTTCTTTCAACGTCTCGTCTCCTTCGGAAGTGATCTGCAGACTGTTTAGTTAGGGGTTATACGTGAACTAGATGCTACTTGGCATTTATTAGTTTCTCACATACAATGCCGTTAAGAAAACAAAACTTTGAAACTTGAATTGAAAATCTAGAAATTAACAATGCGGCAGTGTGAAAGTGCCTTAATGTGGTTGAAAGCTGATGGAAAAAGATCACTTTTAGAGTGGAATTCTCTTCAAACTCTTTTGAACGTAAAATAATTTACCGCATCTCCTAAACGTTTTTTTTGTAATTCATACGCGTGTTTTCGTACTTAATTTCATAAAATCAAGTTCCATAAAAGTTCGCCTGATAGAAGTGCTGCATAAGTAGGCTAAAGCCAAAACTACACAACACCATCAGAAGATTTTAAGATTTGTTTCAGTTTCTTATAGGTACAAACATTAATTAGATATCTGTTAACAGTGGCGTATATACGTAGAATGGCGCCCATGGCAAAGTCTAAAAATGCGCCCCCATGATAGTTGTTTGAAAATTTATAATGACTCTTATTGAATTGAGCGGTACTTGTACGTTTATTTTGAGTAAAAATACGAGATTCAATTATTCCCAATCTAGAATTATTTCATTGAAACCTTTCATGATTAATACTTTTTTTGCAGTCTTTGCGCCCCTGCTCAAACGGCGCCCATGGCACGAGCCATGGCTGCCACACCCGGATACGCCACTGTCTGTGACCACCTCTTCTGGTGAACTTTCCGGCCCAATCCCAAATTTAGGCTACTAGGTTACATACAATACCGGTACTGCGTTTGCCAAGTCGTGTATTTCATTTGATTTGTCAACGGGAATTCTGCAAATCGTTACCGCCTTACCGTATATTAATAAATTGGCCAGTGTGCTTATTCATTACAGTATGGTGTTTGCTCAAGAAAATATTTATTATACTGTATTCTCTAACATTTTGATTCTAGCATTAGAAAATAACTCATATGTAGACAAAGAATAGTCAACTGAAATTCCCGTCATTAGACTGTTGCATAGCATAACCCACCTTAGAATCCATTGTCATCACTCTGACTGCTTTAATATTTATCGATGTGGATATTTCGATAGCTCTAGTTTTTTGATTACTAACGCTAAACTATAATCCTACCGAAGACGAAATAACCATTGAGTCATGGTGTAGGGGGTGGTTGCTGCCATCAAAAAGTGCCGTCGCAGAAGTTTTTTTGATTACTAACGCTAAACTACAATCCTTCTGAGACAAAAAAATCACTGAGTTCCCTCATTTATACTTCAATTTTGTAAACATAACTAAAAACTGTCAATGTTCAAAAATGTCAATGGTTTCACGCAATCGTGGTTGAAAAGTGGTATGAATGGCGACATAAATCAGATCATTACCTGGCATTCGTTTTATTAGTGCGATGACTGATCACACACCACATCGTTAACGTTCACGTTACGTGCAAGTATTTGTCTTGTCCATCAGTCAATGTCAAGACAAATAGCCTACTCGCATGAAACGTGGACATGACTAAATTGTCTGCTGACTTATAGCTGCAAATTTAAATAGATATGTAACAATTATATATTACATGTGTATTTTCATATAAAGAAAAATTCAAGAAGCTCATTAAGTATTTTTGTAGCCACTTCGAGTTGTTCATCAATAAACATACTCCATGACGACCTTTTTCGCAAAAATAAGTTATGCTCCAGCCTTGGGTAGTAAAAGTGATTAGACTGCATTAAACATAAAATCCATAAGGTAAAAAAATCTGGAAGGGTATTGCGTCTCAGTTCGAAAGGTACAAGAACATATTACTAGATTTGCAAATATAATCAAACATCTATATTGTCGTAATATTTTCGAGAACAATCGATCGTACGTGAAGCGCAAATATCTACATGAATTTTACATTTTTTAACCTAGCCTTAGATTTTTTTGGAATGATTACCGAGTTCGATTTTGTAGACTCGATTAAGTTCTATCCCGGTTGTAATATTTTCTAGCTTCGATGGTTGCAAAAAGGACCTGCTTTTTCAACTTTTTATCGTGCGTATACGGCGATCGATCATGTATATATGTATAGCCAATAAAATACACCAATATAGCCAATACAATATATTATTTTTAAGTTGTTGTGTGAAGGCAGATGGGAGCAGTCCAATCTAAACTCGAACGTCATTGCACCCGCTTTCCTAGATTACCTGATCTTCCAATCCCAACAAACAATATATACACACCCACCATCACACAATTGGTATATTATTGCCAACTTGATCGACACAATTCTACAGTATCTTATAGGAATATATACCCCCCCCCCCCCCCCCCTCCCCCGATTTTTCAATACAAATTCGTGACGTGCTTATATATAATAAATTCTCCTCATGTTCATATACTATCGAGCACGGCAGGAGATCTAATCTTGATTGTCCGATCAAAACTATCGCATGCGACGAGAATGATGCGCAACAACTATAGTTAGAAAGGATTGTATGATTAACTTGTTTTGTCCTAAATCAAAGAATCTGAGTTAAACTCGATTTACAACTAATAATAATACTTTTGCTCAAATACCCAAAATTCAAGCGGGTGCAATGACGATCGAGTTAAAGACTGGACTGCTCCCATCGGCCTTTACACAACAACGTAAAAATAATAATATGTATTGGCTATATTCTTGTATTTTATTGGCTATACATATATACATGATCGATCGCCGTATACGCACGATAAAAAGTTGAAAAAGCAGGTCCTCTTTCCAAGTAATGATCTGGACTTGATATTCAAGTCGTCATCCATTCACTTTTCACCACAATTGTGTGAAAACATTGACTTGTTAATGCTAATTCGGCATTTTATTCAACAGTTTTTAGTTGTGTTTACAAATGCACTTTTTGATGGCAGCAACCACCCCCTAACACGGTGATTCAATGGTTATTTTGTCTTCAAAAGGATTATAGTTGAGCGTTAGTAATCGAAAAACTAGAGTTATCGAAATATTCACATCGATAAATATTTAAAGCAGTCAGAGTGATGGCAATGGATTCAAAGGTGGGTTATGATATGCAACAGTACTAATGACGGGAATTTCAGCTGACTAATTCTTTGTCTACATATGAGTTATTTTCTAATGCTAGAATCAAAAATTTAGAGAATACAGTATATAAATCTTTCTTGTGCAAACACCATACTGTTGATAAAATAGGAAAAATGGCAATTTATTAATTACCTGTGACGATTTGCAGAATTCTTTTGACAAGTTGGCAAATCAGATGAAATACACGACTTGATTGACAAACGCAGTACCGGTATTGATGTAACCTAGTAGCTTAAATTTGGGATTGGGCCGGAAGATCTATATTCTATAAGATGGATTTGTCCGCAACGCCAGATCCAGAGTCAAATGCAATAAGAGTTCACATTAATACTGTGATCTGGCTTATGTTACCCTAAGCCAGATATGGCGAACCTTTTTCAATGAATGGGTCAAAAATTACAAAGAAACGTTTAGGTAATTATTTTACAGTTCCAAATAGTTTGGAGGAAATTCCACTCTGAAAGTGATATTTTTCCATCAGCTTTCAAACCACATTAAGGCACTTTCACACTGCCCCATTGTATTTATAGATTTTTTAATTCAAGTCTTCAAAGTTTTTGTTTCTTAAATGGCATTGTATGTGAGAAACTAATAAATGCAAGTAGCATCTAGTTCACGTATAACCCTAAAAACAGTCCGCAGACGCACTTCCGAAAGGGACGAGACGTTGCGAGAAATGACCAGATCAGTTGCATGTCTCATAAACTATGTCAGAGCCAATAGCTGAATTAACGGTACAGCAGCGGTGCAACATACGTCCAAGATTATGGGTTTTGAAAATTACCATACCGGCCGAGAACGATAAATTAACAATTTGAATATGAATGACGGTACAATATAATAGTTTAGTCATTGTTAGAAAATTTTAAAGCCGGTTTTATTAATTTTTATCACTAATATGTTAGCATTTTATTTTATTCGTGCCTTGACAGGTCACGAATAAAATGCGGTGGGTCACTTGGTGACCCGCGGGCCAGTGCTTCGCCATCCCTGCCTAATCGATGTCTAACGTGTCAGCCAGTTGCGTTCAGCGCTAACTCTACGATTCTACGTCATAAATTACTTTGATATCACGTGACATGACACGTGTCTACACTGATTTCTTCTCGCTTCATTCAATCAGAATATCTCATTGGTTCATCAGAAAGATGCTTATTGTTGCTGTACAAGATGTCGCAGGCACAGAAATTGACTTCATTTTTATTTCGGTGTCAAAATTGCGCAATTTATTTTTGAACACTGAATTTCACCGTTTCAAAAATCATTAATCTCATAATTACTAATGGGTAAGATATTTGTTTATATCAATTTTGGATTCACATGTGTGAAAAATTAATGTTCCTAGTTTTTGGTGGGTATATACCAAAAGGACGCTGTGATGAATAAATCGATATGTTGAGAATTGGCGATTTCATGTCTGTAGATGGAAATAAACAAGAAAAACAACGCTTGGTTGGGAATTTATGATGCTCAGAATAGGCAATTTTCCACCGAGTAGAGTGAGAAAATTATTGGATAACACACCTTATGATTGTTTTTACCTTTTCTCCACCTTTGAGTGATTATCGAAACATGGTGTATATAAAATATTACAACGAGAAAGATGGTGAAATTATTATATCATCGACATTGGATGGGGTGGAAATGCGGTTTCAGTTTATGTTATGTTGAGGTGCTGCTGCTAATGAAGCAAAATTACCGGAATGATTTTTTATCAAATATAAGACCAGCTGAATTAATTTTTTTTAAGATTGTACATCACACCATTCAAAAATTCAGTGACTCAACCTGCGATGATGTTTGCAGATACTTTACGAAAAACGTGAACGGACGACAGGTCTGTAAAAAATTTTGTGGTTTTCTGTGTCGCCGTTAAACAGTGCTTTGCTTGTTGGATGCCCAAGATTTTTATGAAGAAAAATTGGCATAATCCCAAACAGCTTGCAAACATAATAACAAAAGTGAAGCAGCTTAAATCAGTAATATCTAAAGATAACAAACGTACCCAACAAAATTCCAAAAAAAAAACTATTTTGAATACTCGGACAAACCAGATATCTTTTTCAGAACATTGATGACAGCTTTTACGTGTTCGACCTCGGAGAATTGACAAGGTTGTACGCTCTGTTGGTAGAACTGCTCCCCCGAGTAAAACCATTCTATGCAGTAAAAGTTGCTCCTTATGATCAAGTAATCAATGCGTTGATGGAACTAGGAACAGGCTTTTATTGTGGAAGCCAGGCAAATATTTCTTTATATAACTTTATTTATTTCATTATCGTTGATGTAAAACCGTGAAGGCTACACATCTTGTTTTCTTGTTTATACGTTACCTCGAATATACGAGATGGGTAGTAAATCGCGTGTTTCCGCTTACATTTTATATCTGTGGTATGCGAATGATTGGCGTCGTATCAGATTGCAAATTTGCAGCAGATAATGCGGATGTCTTTAAAAACCTGCTAGCATGATGCTCACATAAACGCTTACTCTACCCAAGTGGTTTTCAACCTTTTGTTGGAGCTTAAAAACCCAAGGCATCATTCCAGATTCTCGAGGAATCCCTGTGATACAGTTTAATATTTTGTTGTTGTCTGAATTGTATAAAATATATAAATGAACACCCACTACTTTCAAGACAAATTGTAGCAAGTTAAATAATAGTGACAAATCCAAGTTGTATTCTTTTATATTTAAACAATATATACATATATTTATAAATGTATTCTCGGAGATTCGAATGGACACTTTCACAACATTAAGGTGCCAGGAATTCCAGTTGGAAGCCGCTGCTCTAACCTAACCATAGTAGTATATTTATCCCAACCCATGAACCCCACTTACTTCAGCCATTCGCCCTACAATACACCCTAACTAGAAATAGTGGAAGAAGCTGTACCACACATTCAGACAAACATTCATTATACTATGATATGATGGAAGTCAGTCAACTATACCGGTACTGCAATTGTCAATAAAAGTCATTTATTCTGTATTTCATCTGGTTTGCCAAACTTGTTAAAAAATGATTCTGTAAATCGTTACCGGTATATCAAGTAAATTGGCTACTGTGTTTATTTATTACAGTATGGTGTTTGCACAAGAAAGAAGTATAAAACTGTATTCTCTAAATTTTTTATTTTAATTTTATTCGACACAATAGTATTTATTATTGGGTCCGTATCAAGCAATACTAGTCTTTTCACTCTCTTCTGTTTTCACAGGTTGAACTTCTTCAAGCGAAACAACTTGGAGTGGATTCGGAAGAAATATTCATGGCGAATCCTTGTAAGCAAATTTCACATTTGCAGACAGCAAAGGAACATGGAGTAAAAATGATGGTTTTCGACAACGAAGATGAATTGAAAAAACTGAAAAAATATCATCCAACATCACGGTATGTACAGCATTAGTGTTTGTTTTCTGCATATGTTATTGTATACCTATTACAAGTCTGAGATTTTCTTTAGATTGGTTCTCAGAATTCACGTTCAAGAGGATGGCAAGATAAATTATTTTAGTTTAAAATATGGAGCTACGACCAAAAAAGCAAGGGATCTTATACTAATGGCAAAAGAATTCCACATGGACGTCGTCGGCATCAGGTTCGTATTTTCACTCAGATTAGATTATTTCTAAATCCGAATGGTCGTTAGTTTTGCAAAAATTGCACTTATAAGATATGTGATAATTCAATGACTACCTCGTTGATTATGTTACAATAATGTTAGTATTTTAGCAGTTTAATCATTGATTATGATAATGGCATCACATTGATATTAATTAAAATCACGGGTTTGAAACGGAGTGATACTGCCGACGTTTCGAATATATACCATGCACAATTCCTTATGAAAACAAATAAAATACGAATGATGAATCTCATCTGGATAACTAATATAAACGTTTACAGAATTATGTGTTTTACTTGTTTACAGTTTCCATGTCGGCGCATTACTGGGAGATAAATCAGATCAGTATAAACGAGCGTTGTTAGACGCAAAAGAGTTATTCGATTTTGCTGAGAAGAATAATATATCGTTCAGTTTGCTTGATATCGGAGGGGGTTTTAGAGTGACGGATCCTTTCTTACAACAGGTATGGTAATGGTTAGGTACGAATCACGATTTATGTAGGAATGTATACTCACGATAGAAAAGCATTATTTAAAATTTGTCCACTGTTTACAGTATATTCATTTCTATTTCAAAGAACAAATTGTGACATTTTGATGTGGCCGTTTTCCTCGACATTCGTGAATGGATAAGCCTTTTTTACTTATCGATCTTAAGATCGGTGAGAATGTTGATAGGTATTTGTATGTCTGTGTGTTAGATGCACGCAATATCTCACGAAAGCGAGGTTGAATCTGCTCCAAATTTTGCATGTGCATTCATCATAGCTCGGATCAGAAGCCTATTGATTTTGGATGGATTATGTCTTATAATTAGCGAGTTATTAATTAATTGGCGATGGGACACACGGTGTCACTATGGAGTAAGACCACTGTTTTGGGGATCCCCTAACCTTCGATCGATAAGTCTAGTTTATTCTATATATTCTGGTTTAACTTTCTTACTCGCATGCGTTTATAAGTTGTTTCCCTGTTCCCTGACTACGTTGATCTGAATTGCATCTATCGCGGACGTACTGTCGGAACAAACTATACGATTTGATCTATGCGACCAAACAGATATTTTCTTGTTAAGACTACGTCTTCGATCAACATTATTCTCGAAGAGCTGTTTCCAGTTTTAAAACATCCCGATTTGGAGATAATATCTGAACCAGGAGCTTTTCTTACTGACACTGCTTTCACACTGGCAACGAATGTAATAGGGAGAAGAGGTGAATGCCGTTTCTAAAATTGATTTAGGTTATGCGTTCGTAAGTGAAACCTACTGCGCGAGACGTAACAATTTATCTACTCATATATGGATATAGACATCTATTTATACTAAATACGGAGTTAACAGTTTTGATTTAAGTTTTGGGGCCTGAACACATATTGAATATATGATGCCAAATTTACTTTCAACTTCAATTTTTATCAAGATACAAATGAATACTTGTATTACGTTGTGGAATTTAGATCCTGTGAAAGAATTGAAATAGCCCAAAATGAAAACTCGTTTAATGAAAATTTAAACGAGTATTGTGCGTTGGTATTAGAAACAACATATTTGTCATTTATTGGTAAAACTTTTATCATTTTTTTGATAATTTCAAATGTATGCTTGGTATTGATTTATTGCACACAGAAAATTTTTTTTTTATTTAACCAGAAATTGAAGATTTCGAAAGTACTTACCACTATTATGTGAATGATGGAAAATTTGGATCTTTTTTCATTCAGTTCATGTTGAATAGAGACATGGGATATTTTTTCATATCTGAGGTAGGCACCATGTATTTTCAAGTTTTGATAGGATAAATCAACACAGCTGTAATATATACACTGCTATATTCACGATGTACTGTACTGATATAGTCGAATATATCATTAATTTATTATATGTCGTACAGTCAATGAAGCAAAAATCAACATTCAAGTCCAAAGTTTGGGGTCCAGTATTGACATCCTTGGATGAAGTGATAGACAATGTTTTTCTTCCCCAACTTGACATAGGAGATTGGATATTCTGGAGAAGTGAGTTTGTTGTATTTACTGTGAAGGGACATTTTTAGAATTGATACTTTAAAGCAGGAGTGAACTACGGCTTCTCATCCGGTTTACTAATCCATGTCGGGTATGAGATTTATTCAATGACTCGGATGTATTTGCTGCAAATCAGTTCCGCATTTAGCCGTTTTCTATATTCAGTTTTTGTTTCTGCATTCAATGAGAATGTCATTTGCAGTTGACTTGCTTTCATTTATGTTTACGATGTATGGGATTAAACCATTATTGTTTTTACAATCCTGGAAATACAAGCAATCGCGTTTCTAATAATCATGCCTACGCTGTTAATTAACTAAACATAATTAAACTTGTTACTGGAAATGCAACAGATCTAAGACCTTTACTGACAACATGCGTGAATGGGGATTGATCAGTTGCCAGATTCCTCCAACCGAGAATAGTCACAAACCTTACTTAAATTCATTATTGCTGGTTTTCAATTTATTGTATGTATAAGAAAAAAAGTTCAACACAATTAAAATACTAAACCTTTCTTGATAGGGCTAATACAAGGTAGAAATAAATCTAAATTTTGCAGATAAGTTACATTAACGATGTAAATTTGACACTTGGTAAACGTATTAATAAAGTAGTGTCGAAAACAAGAAGGGAATCAAACTATAATTGTACTGAATATTCAGTACAACTATGATTGAATATGGCATTTTCTATATTTGAATTATCGCCTTATCGACGCCACCGTTGTCGAATTTTACTAATGCCGGTATTGCTTCTTTGCACAGTTACAAAACTAGCCAAGTCAGTATTTTAAGGATTAAACGAATAGCTCACACAGCTACTAGGTTTCACTCACGAAGCCTTGGAGCTCCGTATGAGGCAATTTTTGAACCTTATTGAACTTTTTGAAGTATATAGGCAACGGGTCAAGAATAAATAATTAAAACTAACAACAACCATGGTTTCTTGTTTGTAGTTTTGTAACGTGTCGTTTATTAGATCACTTTTTTATGCAAAAATATCGGATAGTGTATCTGCCAATGATTATATTTGCGTTTTCATTTTTTAGATATGGGAGCATATTCTTTTGCATTCAATTCTAGTTTCAATGGATATAGAACAAAAACATTTTATGATGTCATTTCAAAAGAAGATTTGTGAGTATTATAGTGAATCCAATACAATTATTTATAAATCTTTCATTTAATTTATCTGTTTAGTAATCATTTCTAGCAATATTTTATTTGCTAATCATTTTAGATTTTTTGGACAGGTTACTTTTTCAGCAATTGCGCAAGAAGAAAACGTCTTCCCGTTTTTGTTTCAAAAACTTGGAATATAAATGAAGAAGGAGAGTAACGAGGAACTCGCTCGATTTATAGTTACAAATATATGATCCACATAGATTTAAAGTGACATATAAGGAAGCTAAAACAAGTTGCAGTAACTTTTGATAAATGCACCATTTTTTATTTGCAACTGCTTTTTATTATAGAAAAGTTTTAAAAATAATAAATTACACCTTTAGTGATTTATTGGCTATAGTAATTATGTAGATATGTGCGTTTCACATTTCCTCGACTGCTCTCGAAAAAATACGGAAATACAGTTGTTTTGATTTCATCTGCAAATTCTCATCATTTACTTTGTTCATTCAGGCAAAAGGAAAAATAAATGTTTGCTCGTTAAGTTAAGTTGTGTCATTGAAAAGTTCATTCCTTATTCAATGGCACCGCAAAATTTATCAAATTAAAACGAATGTTTGTGTCCGTCGCATAAGCACATTATATAAAAAAAAAGTATCCGCAAAGTATACCTGAAAAGAAGATTTGAAACGGAAGCACAGTAGGAGAGTCTGAAAAAAATTCAACACCGTAAAAATACTTCATATAAAACAATAATATATAACTAGGATATTTTATGCCTGAAACCTATATTCAATTTATTTATATATAAGCAGTCCATGTGTGGAAGTGCTTCAAGTAGGTACTTCACACACACAACTTTTGTAAAATCAAGAATTCGAGTCGACTTTTTATCCTCAGTTTTATATTTTTGTTTTTAAAAGTTCATTGCGATCCATGTCCATAACGGTTTTACGATATTCTGCGTCTTTATCCGAGTTCATTGTTCGTTTTCTTTCTGCTTTGTCAATTTCGTCCTATGGTTTCGTTTGTGAGATAGTTTTTTCTACTGTGGTAAGTTTTTTTGGCTCGGAAAACGATGCTTGATTTGACCCTTTATACTCTTGTTATTTGACTCCAATAGAAGGTTGCTATCTTTTGTTCAGGGCACCAATATAGCCAATTTAATAGTATATATGTTTTGGCGTTGTTGTACGAAGGCAGATGGGAACGGTACAGTCTTTAACTCAATCTTTATTGCACCCACTTTCTGAAATTACCTGATCTTCACTCCCAACAACAAATACAAAGACTTCGCCAGCACACAGTTGATATATTATTGCCAACTTGATCGACACAATTCTTCAGTATTTTAGGATACTCGTATGTACTGTTACTTTCTGTCCTGTCTCCACCCCCGTCTTTTTAATACGAACCGTGATTTGCTTATATATAATAGAATGAGTCCTTAGCTTAATATACTATCAAACACGGTAGGAGATCTAATCTTGATTGTCCGATCAAATCAATATGTGTTGTCCCCGAGCTATGGCCAACGACGAGAATGCTGCGCAACAACTGACAGCTAGAAAATGGATTGTTAGGATCAACTTGTTTTGTCCTAATTCGAAGAATCTGAGTTGATCCAGATTTACAACTAAAGCTTTGTTTTACAGTCAATAATGATAATTAAAATGTTCTAACTGAGCGTTGACGTGTTATAGCTTTTTTATATCACACGAAATGTATGAGAATCTTATATTTGTAACAATAAATCGATGGAGTTCCTCGTTACTCTTATTCTTTATATTCTAAATTTGTGAAACAAAAACAGCAAGTTGTTTTCTTCTTGCGCAATTGCTGAAAAAGTAACCTGTACAAAAAATGAAAGATGATTAACAAATAAATTATAGCTAGCAATGATTACTATACAAATAAATTAAATAAGAGATTTCTGTTATTGGCTTCACTATAATACTTACAAATCTTCTTTTGAAATGACATCATAAAATGTTTTTGTTCTATATCCATTAAAACTAGAATTGAGTGCAAAAGAATATGCTCCCATATCTAAACATGAAAACACAAAGATATTCAGTGACAGATAATAAACGACACGTTAACAATCAACCATGGTTGTTGTTATTTTAAATTATTTATTTTTAATAAATCTTTCCTTGGAGACCGGAAGGTTTGCACTATCTCAAGATGTTCAATGATTTAGGTATGCAAAAATGACTGAATGAATCGAAACACATTCCGATATACTTTAAAGTATCAATGCTAAAGTCCCTTTAGAGTTAATACAACAAACTCACTTCTCCAGAATATCCAATCTCCCATCTCAAGTTTGGGGAGAAAAACCTTGTCCATCACTTCATCATGGGATGTCAATACCGGACCCCAAACTCTGGACTTGAATGTTGATTTTTGCTCCATTGACTGTACGACATATGATAAATTATTGACATATTTGACTATATCAGTACAGTACATCCTTAGAATAGGGTTGCTTGATATTACTAACCATACAAAAACAATCTCGACATCTAGAGAGCACAAAAATATATGTTTTGGGTAAATAACGTTTTTTAAATCATTATCTAACCTCGTGAATATAAAAATTTGAAAATTGTTTAGTCTGTTATTTAATATTTGAAACTTCTTAAATTTTGCATTAGATTTCATGTAAGTATTGTACATGTTATTCTTCATATTTGACGCTCTGTGACTACGCTTTGCAGTGTATATATTACAGCAGTTTTACATTATCTTACTAAAACTTGAAATTACGTGGTGCCTACCTCAGATATAAAAAAATATCTCATGTCTCTATTCAACGTAAACAGGGAGAAAAAAGATCCAAATTTTCCATCATTTACATGGTAGTCGTATGTACTTTCGGGATTTTTAATTTCTGGTTGAAAAAAAAAACACAATATTTTTTGTGTGCAATAAAGCTATACTGTACGATGAAAATATTTGAAATCAACAAAAATGATCGAAGTTTTAACAATGAATGATAAATATATTGTTTCTAATAACAGCGCAAAATACTCAAGCCGTTGGTTTCATTTGAGAACGTATCACCTAAGTCAATTTTAATAACAGTATTCACCTCTTCTTCCTATAACATTCGTCGCCAGTGTGAAAGCAGTGTCAGTAAGAAAAGCTCCTGGTTCAGATATCACTTCCAAGTCGGGATGTTTTGAAACTGGAAACAGCTCTTCGAGAATAATGTTAATCGAAGACATAGTCTTAAAATATGAAAATATTTGTTTAATCACAATGGTTGACAAATTTAAACCTTACGAATCACGAATTTAGTAGGTGCAACTTCTGAACGCATGTGAACGAGACAATATATAAAGAAATATCTATTTATGGATGTCAAGATAACGGCCACACCGAAATGACACAATCTGTTCGTTAAAATAGAAAGGAATGAACTGTAAACAATAGAGATTTGCAAAATAATGCTTTTTCATCGCGAGTATACATTCCTGCATGAATCGTGATCCGTACTTAATCAGTACCATACCTGTCGCAAGTAAGGATCCGTCATTCTAAAACCCCCGCCGATATTGAGCAAACTGAACGATATATTATTATTCTCTGCAAAATCGAATAACCCTTTTGCATCTAATAAGGCTTGTTTATACTGATCTGATTTATCTCCTGGTAATGCGCCGACATGGAAACTGTAAAATGGGGGAAAAAAGTAATTTTGTAAACGCTTTTATTGTTTATCCTAATGCGATTCATTTTTCGTTTTTTATTTGCTGTCAAAAGACTTGGATATATATTCAAAACGTTGGCAATATTACTCCGTAGTAAACTTGACATTACCATCATCAACGAATAAACTGCTGAAATGCCAAAATTAATATAACATAAACAACGAGATATTCATCTAATTATCATCTATTTTATAGTGCATTTTTTGCAAAACTTATGACCATTCTGCTTTATTAACAGAAATAATCCAATTTCAGTAAAAAATTCGAACCTGATGCCGACGACGTCCATGTGGAATTCTTTTGCCATAAGTATAAGATCCCTAGCTTGTTTGGCCGTAGCTCCATACTTTAAACTGTAAACATTTCTCTTACCATCCTCTTGGACATTAATCCTCAAAACCAATCTAAAGAAAATCTCTCACTTGTCATAAGTATACGATACCAAATGCAGAAAACAAACACTAATGCTTTACACACTTTGATGTTGGATAATATTTTTTCAGTTTTTTTAATTCATCTTCGTTGTCGATAACAATCATTTTTACTCCATGTTCCTTTGCTGTCTGCAAATGTGAAATTTGCTTACAAGGATTCGACATGATTATTTCTTCCGAATCCACTCCAAGTCGTTTTGCCTGGAGAAGTTCTTCCTACAGATAAGCAGAGAATGATGAAAGTTATATTGTTTGGTACGCGTACGTATATATGATTGTGCCGAACGAAACGATTTTCCCTGAAATTAATCAAAGTATATATTTCATCAACTACGATAGTGTGTCAACTCAGTATATGAACACACTAAACATTATTGCTCCAAGTTTTTAACCTAATAGGGCACCAATCATTCACATATATATAGATGTGAAGAAATTCTGAAAATAACGATTCAGTACTCAGCGTATACGTTTGAGAGAGAGAGAATTTTATTGTTTCGTCAAACCAGAAAACACATACAATATATATATATGATAGCAAAATGAGAAAAATTAGGTTTCGGTAGATGACAGGGTGGTAACGATACGACCATTAACAGTCATCCGAGTCGGTTACCACCCAAAGCAAGCACATGAATAAATAAATTAATAACACAGGTTCTGTAATATTACACTCTCAGGATATACATATGGAAAAAAAAACTATATACACTATGTAAAAAAATGATATCTAATTAGAGATGTGAAAAATTTCTAATCGGGATTAGGAAGTTATTTAAATAAATTTTAAATAGAGAAGAGCAAAAAATAAGAATTCCATACCAAATTTATTATTATTTATTATATTAATTTACACTTTCAATCTGTTCTGAATCTTCTTTTGTGCTTACACATGATAAAATATGAGGGATAAGATCACAGGGAAATTGAAGGTTCTATGAGTGACAATAGTGTGTTGTGTGAAGAAAACCATAGATTGAGATATGAATTATAGGCATAACAGTAATACAATTTTATATTTTCAATTCATTAGGGTGAGGAAAAAAAGCAGGATGCATATGGAACTTCTGCGAGATTTACACATTACTACGCAGAACCGGTATTAAGATGGAAAACAATCAGATTGGCATTGCAACCCTTCACAAATAATTTAGAATTAGACAAATATGACTATGAGTTGAAATAGATATGTGATATTAAACAAATTTTGACATGAGATGAATAAGAAACAATGTTTAATCTTCCACGTTTATATCCCCAACAAAAATGATTTGAGAAGTTTATACAAAAAAAGACAAATTACCTGGCTTGCACAATCAAATCCTGTGCCTAGTTCCACCAACGCACTGATTACTGGATCATAGGGAGAAGCTTTTACCGCATAGAATGGTTTTACTCGAGGAAGCAGTTCCACCAACAGAGCGTACAGCTTTGTCAACTCTCCAAGGTCAAATACGTAAAAGCTATCATCAATGTTCTGAAAAAGGTTATGACTGTCAGAATAGTCAAGAGATATGTAAATTATGTTGAGGATTTTTGATATTGTAAGTCATTTCTGATAAAAGTCACTTTTATACTATGCTTGTAAGCTGTTTGAGGATATGCCTTTTCTGTTACTATTAAAAGTGCTTACATGGAACAGTATAGTATAATGTGAGTAAAACTATTCAGTGTTTTTGAACAAACACAATAATTTCTACAGACCTGTCTTCCGTTTACATTTTTCGTTAAGTATCTGCAAACGCCATCACGTGCTGAGCCACTGTCTTTTTGAAATATGTGAACAATCTTAATAAAAAGAGTATCGATTAATAACCTAACAGGAGTCTTAAATTTGATCCCTGCTCATTTCGCGGTTGTTGCTGGATGCACAACAGCACCTCAACATGACTGATACTTAATATATATTCAAGAAACTAAAAAAAGGGTTTGGCAAACTGTGTATACCGGCCTATTCTGTTTCAGGAACCTTGGTAAGATTGCAATCAAAAATTTTAAAAAAAGAGCACGAACGCCTACAATGATAGGTTTATTTTGTAGGCGTACAAATTATATATATATTGTTTTGGTATCTTCGGAAAAACCAGGGTAGTGGCTATGGAGTGTGAGAAAATCTTTTCGTTGACTCCGATTCTGGGTTGATAAACCGACCTCGTTTTCCAACTCCGACAAATACTGTACAACAAATATATTTGCATAATATGCTAGTCGGGTCATTAAACTGATTTCGTTTAGAGTTTTTGAAGGAAATTCTGACTAAATCATTTGTTGAATGTCTGAAAGTTCAAAAATACGAATCCGGCCCCTACCCCAGTGAAAATATGCCCCAAACTCCTGCTTCACAACCGTGGTATAAACATACAGCATCATGGGAGAACTTTCAGCAAAAAAACGACTATCACCCAGTGAAAAATGTATCACGCACAATAATCCTGAGTATCGATAACAACGAAATTGAAAATTTTGAAAAATCAACAGTATTTCAGATAGGTCTAATATGTGCAACGCGCAAATATCTTAAAGATATGTTAATCAACATTGATAGTCCATATTCGGCGTTGAAGTCAAACTAGGAACTAAAAAGACATAATAGCACAGGGTATCGCCCACCTTCGAATCCATTATCACCTTTTTTTATTGTTTTCCGATGTGAAGTCTGACAAGTTTTAGGTCAATTCTACAATTGAATCTCTCTCTATTTTTCTGTTATAACAATACGTTTCCAAAATGTCAAATGTATTCGGAAAAATTTTGTAGTTATGTATGACTAATTCACAAGATCCGATGAAATAGTTAATTACCAAAAACGCTCTGAAGACTACAATGTAGGTTTTGCTTCGGTGATGTAATCAGAACCTTAGCCATTTTGACTCATAAATTTACCTCGCAAAATTTGTGGAAAATACAAGCACTATACTTGCAAATTCCAATGTCGAACGTGAACTGCATCTGTTTTAAAACACAAAACTGGCAGTAGTGTACAGTATATATATATATATATTCGACCCAGACCATTAGCTATAAACCCTCGTGTACCATTTGTTTTTGTACATCCGGGATCTGACTTGGCAAACAGTATAGGCTATCCGGTTGAATAACACTGCCCTATACTATATCTGATCCATCCGTTACCACAGAAGACTATTGTGCTGCTGTATGTACATACAATAAACTCTACGTATTGCAGTCAAGTAACAGTGACTCGGTCATATTGTGAATAATACGATTGGTTAATGATTAAAATAATGACAAAAAAAGCAATTGGGCCTAGGTAAACAGAAGTAATTAGGCATTATCTTCGTTCAAGGCCGTACATACTCTGTAATGTAATATTGGGGTTAATTATTCTCGTGTTCCGCGTGTGTAAATTAGGAAACAAACATCTGCCGTGATAGGATAGGATTCACATATTTATCCTGGGGAGAAGAAAGATATAAGACGGCTTAATCATATGGCGAACCACGGCCTCTCGTCCGCGGTTACCAGTCCAAGTCGGGCATGGGATTAGTTAGTCGGTTATTTGTTTTCGGAAGCATGGACTCGATGGTGGTGGAAGCCGTAACCGAACAGCGGTAACGTGAACCACCCTACGGCGCGAGCAGCAATCCTCTCGCACATGATCATCCCCGCATGGGATTCGAACCCACGAAGGGTAATCAGAGTTGCGGTGGCGAGCGTATTCCTAACGCTTAGCGCGATGCGCCACACCGCCGAGCATAATCACATTTGGCGCCAATGGGATCATTCAGGTGTATATAACTAGAAAGCGCATAGGAGCAAAAATTTTGTGCCGAATTGAAGGTCGCGGCGGCCATCTTGGTACGCGCGACTTTCTGCTTGCGGATGCAGTGAGTAGGTTGGATTTGCCGTGTCAGTGGTGCAAAATGTAAGATAATTTGAGGAAATTCATCGTTCTGCGCGTTGTGGTGGATTTCCACGCTATTGTTGGTGGTTTAGCCATTAACTTAGAAACGGATAACACAAAACGTTTTTGCACATGAGTTGAAGAATCAAGTTTTGAAAGTTAGGTGGGTACGGTGCCGTACCGCTACAGTTTTTATATGCGATTTGGTATGGATACCGGTGGTAATACCATGACACCTAATATACGGAAGCATGTTCTGTAAATTAAGTCGGCTGAAATGCACGGTTTTGTCAGATTGCTGACATACCGGTACAGGTACCGTATTATTCGCTAACTAGGTTGTGCTTGATTCTGATGTGTTTATACATAGTGCAATGGCAGTCTAGGTATGAATCAATGAACAAGCTCAAATTGGAATCTGTTGAATAGCCATTATTTGTTATGACTGATTTTGCTTTTCATTTAAAGATAAATTTTACCAGAGAAACAACATTCATCTCCAAATTTGAACTATTAGATGGTTTTTGTTGAGTAGGTAATCGCTCTTCTGTTTATCAAGCCTACAGTATCGAACGACTCAAAATTTTCAGAGGAAAAGATTGTTATTGTCGCTAGAAGGCTATTACTTTCACTTAAACAGAGAAAATACAACAAATCCCAATTTAGGATTTCCGTATCAAAATATGTTGATAACAAAAATTCAGTTTTGATATCATATTCATGATTAGATCGCATAAAAACAAGTAGTTGTGAGCATAACGCCACTGCATTAAAAATCATTATCCCCTTCGTCTCTGCTTACATATGTGGACATGGGTTTTCTACACATGTTCAAATTAATACGAAAACAAGGAGTGCAAGATCACATGAGATAAATAAGTACATGTACGCTATTTTTGTTGAGTGGCAGTGGCAGCTAATTTAAATGTCGTCTGAATAGCACTATGCTATGTTATTCTAATGTTTTTTTTTCCGGTTTGAAAATTTTGCGGGTTCGCAGATACTTCAGAGCAGCATAGAGGGTCCCCCAGCACATAGAGGTTGAGAACCCACTGGTTTAGTCATCTTGCACTTTGAAGTTTCATCAGTAGCCCATAATATTGCTATATATTACGGCATTATTTTTACTACCTAACACCTTTTGCGTTATGTTTGAAAACCGCTTAAACACCTGTATCGTTTTATATTTCAGTTCACCATTTCACGCAAGCCCCAATCTTGTCGTACTTCATCGTTGAAGCTGATATTCCAAATGAAGTTGAGACTTGTGAACAGAAATATATTTTCCATATCATCCATGACCATTCTTCCAGCTGCGGTCTTCACAGGTTTTTTAAAAAATTGGAAATAAAAACAGAACAGCTGGAGACTATCAGGAAAAGGCTGAAAGTCCCCAAGCAAAAGTCAGAGCGACTGTAAATAATACTTCAAAACAACAGTGTTATAAAATCAATACAAGAAAAAAATTTAATCACCACTAGATGTGAAGAACTTCTAAGCTGCAGTCCTTCTCACCTGTACCTTCGGCGATTTTTAAGCAAATCCTTGATGGGCCCACCCACAAAAAAAATACCTTCCTGAATTGAAAGCATTTTCCCTTAATTTTAACTTTTATTCTGCTAATTCGTACCTATTTGTAAGGCATACATTTAATCTGGCTTATATCCTCCCATGTCAAATTTGACAGTTGTATTCCGAAATTTCAGCAGAGCCTGGGTTTACTGAGCTTTCATTTAATGCCTATAAGCATATTTGTCTATTTCTCTTTTTACACGTCCTTATAAATTTCAATTTTGCATATTTTTAGTATGCCATTTTTGCTTATTTCTCCTATTACACGTCCCTATAAATTACAATTTCGCATATTCCTAGTATGCCATTTCTGCTTATTTCTCTTTTTACACATCCCTATAAATTACAATTTCGCATATTTTTAGTATTTTCTTATTTCTCTTTTTACGCCCTGGGAAAACAAATCTAGCTGCATATTAAATAAACTTGAAAGTTTAGCCAAAATAGTTGAACAAATTAAAGAAAGCGCCACAAAAAACGAAATTGCAATCGATAATTTAGAACAATATGGGAGGAGGAACTGTATCTTACTGCATGGCTGCAAACGAATACCGAAAGCAGGTCATTATGGACAATTTGAAACATATGTGGCTAATACGCTAAACTCGGCCTTTGAAATTAGAATGGCCTATACAATATGGAGATATAGACGTTACACATATTCTCCCAGCTGATGGCAAAGGAAACGTTCCTATAATAGTTAAATTTGTGCGTCGCAGCACCAAAAATATGATTTACTCCATGAAAAGAAGACTTAAAAAGACTGGACTATCAATTACCGAATCGCTGACAAAACGTCGAGTCGAACTTCTCACCGAAGCAAGAAGAGTTCTCGGACTTAAGAATGTTTGGACTATGAATGGAGACATATATGGATTTCATAACGGTAAGAAAATAATTATTAGAACCACATCAGATATTATGATATAAGTAAGATACCGTAAAACTACAGACTATGAATTATTGATATGCTAGAACAGCCCAAATTCTCATTGTAAGCACTAAACACAAGAGCAACTTTTGTTTATTTACTTTTGTTTATCTTTTTTGCCCATATGAATGTTAATAAGAGAGATTTACCATGTCATGGATGCCAAAAATCTGTAAACAATAGGGAAAAGGGGATCTACTGTGATAAATGTAATCGTTGGATTCATCTAAAATGTAGTGGTTTAAATTTACAAGAGTTTCGTAAACTATGTAATGAACCAAATGATATACCTTGGTACTGTAGACTTTGCCTACGAAATAGCCTGCCATTCAGCTCGTTATCTAATACAGAAGTAAATGACCTATGCCTGAATAATGACCCTTCCTCGACTCTGACCCCAGAAATTCTTAACGAATTTTTTACTGAGGCTTCGTTACTGAATATTGATAATGATGAAATAAGCGATTCCACAAAAATTTGTATGTCTGATTGTCAATATCTTTCTGCCGCTAATTTAGATATCCTATGCAGTGATAACTT